TGGAAGATATAGCATACCGAATCCGGACAATTCGAATCTCGAACTCGGTTTTCGGCGCTGTGCGTCAGTTTTTGTATTTATAATTTATAAATCAGGGATGGGCGTTATTCTCTCGCGACGAAATCTATCTCGCGTGATTATACTTGTGTTTTCTCGCAAAGAGCCCGAACGCGTTTGCAGCCAACATCAAACACCGTAATCCCAGCTTGAATAGTCAGAACGCGAAGACAGCGTTATTGCACCGTTTTATTAGTGGTGCCGACTGCCATCATACAGGGGATTTTCCGATTGCAACAATCTTCATTTTTGGAATAGTGAAACATTCTTTATTTTAAATTAAATGACTTTTCGAATTCCCCCGGAAAATGCTGAGTACCCGACGTTAGATAATAAAACATTATTTGCGATTAATTTAGATCAAATTTTACTTTTCACGACACCCGGTTTCCGAAAATACGAAGTTATAGCGCAAAACAAAGCGTTTTGTTACATTTATTTTGCGCTCCCAATAAAATACATATATATATATCTTGGATTTCGAGTCACTGATAAATCCGTTCCTATCGCCCAAGCGCGACATACGCCTGGTCGAGTGTCGGGCGGTATTTTAGTCGACGATAAATTTTAAAAAAAAGTTGCCACACGTGGTATGTATAACGATGATAACTGGAAATTAAAATTTGGTAACATAAATGAATTTGTCTCAAGATGTTATTTTATAACTTTAGCTAGCAGAAGCAATTAATTTCTGTCAAAGCATAAGACATTTAAACAATAATCAGTCCGATAACCCACGTCCCTAATAGACATCGGCTACAGCCAGATAGCTGAGGACTACACGCGCAACAATATCGCGTTGAGACTGGAAAAGAGAATACCATGACGCATCACTCAAGCGTAACGAGAGAACTGTGAAACATAAATAAACGGAGACGAAAAAAGCGTGAGCGAACTATATTAAGTTACCTATGATATTTTCCATATAATTTTGTAGTCGATTATTTCGTGGAGTATATTACAAAACGCTGCTATGAGCTTTTTGATGTCATAAGCTATTTTCTTCATTTCTGGTTTTACAGTATTATTCAAGGCCTCAAAACTTAACGAGCGAACGTAATTCAGTATTTTATTTATTTTTTAAATTCAATACGTCTGCATATTAACAGAAAAAAAAACGCCGACTACCCGCCCATGATGAATCCCTTGAATACTTGAGGTTATCTCAAGGGTGGGAAAGGTTTTTAAACCAGGGACCAACAATTTCTCTCACCTATAATAGCAGGCCATGTATATGTGACATAACAAGTTACATTTTATGAACAATAGTTACAGTGTTACGAAGCAAAGGTGGAAAATAATATGCTTCGTGCCAAAACTAAATTGAATCGCAATCTCAACAAATTCCTTGACCTATTTTTAGCTAAAACATCAAAATTTGATTTCAGTTTGTCTGTGGCAGCATCAGGCGGGCCAAATTGGTACTGGTAGTAGGCGGATGCTGTTGTATCGTGAACAAGACCGAAGAGCATAGTCACCAGTACCAAGCTATTACAGATGTAGGCCTGCAGCCTAATTGTCACCCGACTAGCCAATGAAAAATCCAAACCTGATCCGATTCTTTTTAATTGTTCTGATGCGCGATCCAAACAGACTACTTCTCGAAGTTGTCTGTCGAAGCTGAATACTGCCGGTTTCAGCAGCCCTATGCCATCCATGCAAAATCAGGTATCAAGTCCATGCTTACGAAAACAAATAACTAACTAATCTCATACACGACATGGAATGGTAACCGGACGAGAGGCCGTCTTATCGGCTTTCCTCTCCCCCGGAATAAATAAGTAAATTTTATCCTATGTGACGGCAGCGTACTGCCATAGTCATCTTCGTGTTTTGTATTCAGTAAACTATGAAAATATGATCCTAATCGCCATTTGAATGGCGCTCTTCGTCTATTCGACTTTCGTACAACCAGTCTTGCGTTAGATAAACTATTACAAAGTTTTCAAAGTCATGTCCTATGCGATCCCGATAACGATCTTGTTAATTTACGTACCCTTCACAAAAGTCAAAACTCATGTAGCTCTCTTTATACATTGAATCTTTATTAGTAAAATAGATTTATTTTAATTATCACTCGTTTTTTTTACATATATCAGTAGAAGTAATTAATACATGTACTAGAATTAGCAAACACGAATCTTTAGAATTTTATGTGAGCACACACAAGATAAATAAATGAAAATAAACTACTATGACTACGTTTCTCTCAAGCAAATCTCTATATGAAAACTACGAAGAAATATTTTTATGAGGAAAACTTTGTGTTTAGGATATGGAAAAATGACGGCCGGTTCCATGGTGAAGTGGTGAATTGCAGGGTTCCTTCTGTATCAGTCTCTAAATCGCAAGCTCTGTTAAGGCTTATTTTGGCATGGAATTAAACGTAAAGATAATGGCAAAACAATATAAGCTTATGGGGCTAAACATTTGAAATTGAAATCTGAAGAAACTTCTCTAATACGAATACTATAGATCATTATAAACGATAAGGAATTTTTTCGCGACATGTTGAACAATATACTCGTATTCATTATTAGGTAGACTTATAATGAATGCTGGTTCTACAATGAATATAAGTATAAATATTACAAAAATCTTTGTCATGAGTTTATCCATTGCGATATTTCTAGTTCTAGCGTCCAGAGTTATGATATTCACAATAGTGGAACCGTTATAAATATTGGTGAAGTTACATACATGATTCTTACCCAACGTAATATAGGGCTCCAGCTTGACTTATATTGACCGAACATTGCAAATTCATCCTCCTAATTTTTTTTCTGTGCTATTTGTAAATTAGTTTTCGAGACTTTTTCTACATTGAAGTGTTTTGAACAGTAGCTAAAGGATTTTCTTTCTTCAGAGCGCATAAGTGTCCTGATATTTTCCCAGTTCTATAAAAGGCAATAGTACCTTTAAATTTTCAACTTTTTTAGACTAATATCTGATTAGAATATGAATGCGTATGTAACGTATGTAACGTATATAATGTCGAGATGATTGAATTATAAAAATGTTTATTTGCCCAAGTTTATATATATCAACAAGCAGTACGCAATGGAAAAGCAAAGCCACATTTCAGGCAGGATCACAATTCATATTCCAATAAAAAAGTTTCAGTTGAACTATCACAAAATTTTTTTTGTTTAAAAATGTCCTTCCGTTTCTTAAAAAAGTCCATTTGAAGATTCAGGTACATAATTTGTATTATCCAAATGTGTAAGTTGAATTAAATCCGGCTTATGGTGTGTAGTCGTTGAAAATTTTCAAAGACTTCTGTCGAATCGCAACATGTTGGCTAAGTAGACACGGTATTGCATCTGAGGTCCTTGATATCAAGAGATGGATGAGAACTGTTTTCACACATTCGAATTTGGTCGTATTATAACAGCTTGTGGAATAAGTCCTTGTCACCGTTAAATTTCGCAATTTCCCGTGCAATCGTGCCATATTTGATACGCTGGAGCAAGGCCGCAACCTCACGGGCATAATTACAAAACAAAAGTTCTCATTTTCGTCTCATTATGATTATAAGGACGTAGTCAAAATTAAAAGATTTTCATCACGGAGCTTTTTGGTTAACTAGAGATTTTAGAGTCCGTAGAAAATGTAAAACACAATAGCTTCGAATCCTTTTTTTCGTATGGCATGAACGTCTTATTGATTGTCAAGTCATTTACGTTATATTTGGGATCATTTGATATTGCTTTCAATATCTTAATAAAATTCGTATGGTAAGGATACTTTTGCCTCCACTGCTACTCGTCTAGGTAGGAGGCAATCATCGCCCTTTTTACCCCATGCATTCGCTTAAACACGTGGGACAAGTGGGACAAGCGGGACAAGTGGGACACGTGGGACACGTGGGACACGTGGGACAAGTGGGACAAGTGGGACAAGTTGAACACGCGGGACAAGTGGGACACGACATGTTTGAGACACCCCTCCTAACATCGCCAGTTGTCTAACCGTCATTCGATATGCCGTCTGTTAACGGGATACAGAATATAGTTCTTTTAAAGCCTACGAACATTTACAATTTTATTAGCGCCTGATTTGTATGGATGACTAAGGACTGCTGAATCCGTCAGTTTCCAGCAACTTCGTTGTTGATCGTTCAGATCGCGCATTAGAAAAGTCAAACGGATTAGATCAGGATTGGATTTTCTCATTTTGAATAGTCAAGTAACTAATAGACTGTAGGCCTACTGTTGTGTCGTGAACTCGGAGAATAGACAATGTTTGCAGATATTCAAAATGTATTACAGAAACACACAGCCATCGACTTAAGCATCAACAAAAGAAGAGCGAGAGAAACCAAGGTCACTCATGCAAAAAATATTGGGAGCCATAACACAGTATACCACACCTACATGTGTAATAGTTCGGTACTTGTAGACTGGTAGCTATGCCTTTCGGCTATATCCACGCTACAACAGCGTCCCCCTATTACCCGTTATCAACCCTGCACTGTCGCGGACCTCAAGTATTGGCGGGGATTCATGATGGGCGGATAGTCGGTCTGCGTTTCTGTTACTTAGCCAACGTATTGTCTTTTTTATCAAAAACTAAATTAAAATACTGAATTACCTCGCTTGTTACGTTTATGGCCTTTATTGATACTGTAAAAGCAGTGATTTGTAAAATACTTCACGAATTAATTCGACTACATAACTGGAATGGTGACCGTACATTTGAACCCATGTACATTTGAACCCATGCGTATATCCACGGGTTCAATCTATATGCGGGTGCTAAAACCCATGGGTTAGGGTTAGTATGGGTTTAACTATCCGTGAAACAAAAACAATTCCATAGGTGCAATAGCATACAGGTGCAGTTGTCATGGGTTCAAATGTACGTGGGTTCAAATGTAATGGAACCAACTGGAATATATAGTCCAAATTGTCATTTGGATGGCGTTCTCAGCAGAGGTCTATTGGATTGACATTAATACAATCAGTCTTGCGTTAAATAAACTGTGACAAAGTCCCGATTACAATCTTGTTAGTTTCCTATCCTGCACAAAAGTCAAAACACATGCAAATCTCAATAGTAAAATAGTTGAAAGATTTATTTCAATTATGTATCACGCGCTTTTTACATATATCAATAATAGTGACCCATGTACTAGAATAGGCAAATGCGAATCTTTCAAATTTTACACACACAAGTTAAATAAATGAAAGTGAATTACTATGACTACGTTTTCTCGCAATTGAATCTATATATGTGAATTATGAAAATATATTTCTATAAGGAAATCTTTGTGCTTAAGATATGGAAAAATGACGGTCGATTCCATGTATGTGAAGTGGTGACTTGCAGGGTTCTTCTGTATCAGTGTCTAAATCGCAAGCTCTGTTTAAGGCTCTTTTGGCCTGAAATTAAACACAAAGAAAATGGCAAAACAACACAAGCTTTTGGGGCTAACTATTTGAAATAGTCTTAATGTCTGGTTAAGATGTGATACTTGAAATCTGAAGTAACTCTTTTAATACGACTACTGTAATTCAATATGATATTAACGATAAGAATTTCTTACGGCATATTGACCAATAATTTTTTTTACTTAAGATTGACTTTACAATGAATGCTGACTTTCAATGAATATATATATTTGAATATTACGAGTAGTCTCTGTGATGAGTTTAATCTTCGCCATATTTCTAGTTATGGATATTCACAATGGTACCACCGTTGTAAGTATTGGTGAAGTTAACCCTTTATCGGGCCGAATATAATGGGCTCAAATCGTAAAAATTTCAATAGCTATTTTGTATCGTGCTTTGTGAGAGATAACCTAAAATATTTTTTTTTCCTAATTTTTTTTTTATGATGGGGGTGTAAATTGGGTGGGAATATATTTCCCACGGCCCACTCTCAACCGGGAATATCCTTACCACCGCCCGACTAGGTCAGTTAGCAAAACACAATTATGTCGGTATTTATCGTTAAATTTATTTTGAAAACAACTGTAAATATTGTATTTGTCAACATCGAACAAAATAGAAGGGCAATATAGAGCATACAGAGCGACATTCGTCTATAGAGCAACAATTTGATAGATTTAGATAAAATTTCTATACTTTATATAAATATATATAGTAATATTTTTATACTTGAAGTCCAAACGCAAACAACGTTTTTATTTTTAAATAAAATTCGAATAGGTTAGCAATATAAAAGTGCGGTATAACTTTAAAAATTAACACTATAACATCTTAGCACATGCTAATTTGAATAATAAAATCTAAACAGAACAGATAAAAATTCAACATTGAACAAAAATCTTTGCATGAAAAGTACCATACTTGGAGTGCTACAGCACGAACGCTTATGGTAGCTTTACCAGAGACGCGATTTAGCAATGTTTGGCCACCATGCAAAGTTAAAAAAATTTTTTAACAATGCCCTACTTTTGATGAAACTTGGCAAAGCACGGAATGGCACACAGTGGAATTTTGCAAGCAGAACACATAATTTTGCTTCTTTTATCATGAGTGTTTGTCGAGCAAAGACGACACCTTCTATATGTTCCGCCATTTTCAGGCAGATGACATCCGACATTGCTAAATCTTGTCTCTGGCAAAACTCCCATAGGTTTGCCACTGCATGTATACTTTTTATTCATGTAATAGGCTGTCATTGATCCGCACCTTTTCCTAGACGAAAAATTTTCAATTAAATGAAGAGCAACATGTTTTTGGAAAATAAAATGAGAGACATTGGTTTGCCCTCACCAGAATGAAACATGGAATGCATTATATAAGCGTTTACAAGGGCAGCATCTAGTAAAAAGTAGAACATCCTTAGCCAATATTTCTTTGAGCGTCTTGAAACTGTGTAACTTTCACGGAGTTGATCAAATCTATCAACACCCCCCATGTATGCAGTGTAATCATACACAGCTTTAGGGCAAGGTACAAGTGATTTTGAACCATCTTTCTCTGTCCTCTTAACGGCTACAATGTCATGAGGATTGTGGGCAGTTGAGAGCAAACTTACAGTACGGTTATCCTGCCACAAGATAGCAGATACATTTCGTCTTGCTGAAGATAAGTGTTCGCCCCTCTTTAATTTTTGTTTCCTTTTAAATTCTTCCGGTAATGTTTTCCTATTTATGCGCACAGTGCCAACAGAAAACAATTTCATTTCATACAACTGCTGCAAGAGCTCGTATGAGGTAAAAAAATTGTCGAAAACCACAAGAAGTGGAGAATCAAAGGTATCTATTTTGATGCCATCGCAAAGCTTTTTTACTACTCTTGTTCCCAGAGGATTTGATGATGTATCCGAAGTCATGGCTTTACCAGTATAAATTTCAAATTGCGACATGAAACCGGTAACTGGATCAGCTCTAACCCACACTTTGTATCCCCTTTTGATAGGTTTTTTCGGCATGTATTGTTTCATGGATGATCTCCCTTTAAACAAAATCATCGACTCGTCAATAGACTGACATGATGAGTGCTTATATTCATTTTGGAATTTGTTATTGAGAATATCTACCAACGGCCTGACTTTATGTAATTTGTCGTATCCGGGCTCGCCGTGACCAACAGCCAGGTCATTATCGTTGCAGTGCAATGCTTCCAAAATCTTTTTGAATCTTTTGCAGGTCATAACATTTTTAACAACGTTTGTTTGAACGTAAAATGGGTCTGTAGACCAATAAAGATCAATACAATGCAGAGGCATAACTCCCATTGCTACAAGCATTCCTGTGAAAGCTCTCATTTCTATATTTGAGACAGGTGTCCAGGCCTTGATGTCTTTCTGATTTGCATACCTATTAGTTTCACTCACCAGAATATTAAAAACACTTTCATCAAAAAATCGCTCAAAAAAGTGTCCGGGCTGCCCATTACAATCAAACTGACTTTGTATCTGTGGTGGACTGGGTTCCGAAAAGTTGGGCAACTTGGAAAAATATCTGGGGATAATGGTGGACCATTCTTCTTCAGCTGAAAAAATACTCTCATCTCGAGTGCTATTTCCGTTGGCATTCCCACCACTGCACACAGCATTAATTTCATGGCTTGAATCCGACATATTGGATGAAGTGGAATTATTTTCATTTATGACATCAGAGGAAGTGTTGCTAGTTTGCCAAAACTCATTTAGGCCTACAACAAAAGGTGACTGTTGGTTGTGTGAATTATTTTTACTACGTGTTTGTAATTCATTGTTTTGTTGGTTTGCAAAAATACGGATATTCACTGGCTCATCATCATCGGTGTCGTCCAAACAGTCCCCATCAAACTCTGAATCACTTGCATGATCAGGCAAATCTACATTTTCTCCCATCACTTTAGTAAACGCCTCGGACAAAGAAAGCTTTTTGCTGAACATATTTAATCATAAATCAAGTATGCCTATCCCAGAAAACAAATAGTCTAAAAGTTTAAGATGGAAATCACTGGTCATCAATTGCAACCACCGCGATCCCCCCGGAAACCGTTACCAAGTTTCTCAAACCACATATCCTATATGCTTCAGCAGCCTTTCAGTAGACTAACTTACAAAGTAGCACCGAACGTTACCCTAACCGTCCACTAACGTTAGCCTATACAATACAGCCATGTACCGATACGCGCCCTCATGAGTGTGCTTGAATTCTCCCGAATTGCTATGTTGCAACTAATGGTATAAAATATCTATTTTATCTTATATTTTGGTCAAACTGGACAAAAGAAAAATAATTGAGCGCCGCCAATTTGAACCTCGGCAGGCCACGGGAAATATATTCCCGGGGACATGAACAACTTCAAGCCACCATGACACTAAATAGTAAAATGGAAATGGTAAAGTTTACGTCAATTATAATACCACCAAATGATATGGAATATTTTTAAACAAAGCTTTCTGCACAAAGCGAAACTGATGCGCGCAGCTAAATTTACGAAACAGCATCCTCGCACGCGAGATATCCCGACAGACGACGAACGAACGGCAGAAAGGCGGGCGATACGCTTGACTAGCGACACCAATATTTTTTTGTAAATTGACCAATATATCCGCTAGGGGCATCTCTATTCACTTGCCGTAAAGTACCAAACCAGCTCCCGCGAAGTTGAACGGTAGTAACCGGGAAGATATTTACCAGTGCTTTATAAAGGGTTAAACGAATTATTCTTACCCATGCGTAATATAGGGCTCCAGCTTGACTCATATTGACTGAATATTGCAAATTCAGCCCCCTGATTTTTTCCTGTGCTAATTGTAAATTAGTTTTCGAGATTTTATCTACATTGAAGTGTTTTGATCGGTAGTTGAAGGATTTTCTTCCCTCAGAGCGCATAAGTGTCCTGATATTTTCCCAGTTCTATAAAAAGCAATAGTACCAATGAAATTTTCAACTTTTTTAGGCAAATATCTGATTAGAATAATATGTGAGGTATATAATGTCGAGACAATTGAACTATAAGAATGTTTATTTGCATAAGTTTATTCCAACAAGCTTTAGTATGTAGTGAAAAAGCAAAGCCTGATGCATCGACCAATTTATATTTCAATAAGATGAAGAAGTTTCAGTTGAACTATCACAAAATTTTTAAAACATTTCATGATATGCTGCATGTCAATCGTGTCTGACCTAAAGTTAATTTTTCTCTCATTGAATTTTTGATATTATTCAATGCATTTCTATTTGAGTTCATATTCTGAAAAACGACGATTTTTTACGTCGTTTTCATAACCTTAAAAATATGAACAAGGAATACAAATTCACACGTAGAAAATTATTCTTACTTCCAACCATTTTTCCTCTTCCCCGAGAAGAAGGTAAACAACAATCATTATATCGTGAATACGACGAAGAGGTTTATTGTACGAACAAATTTCCATTGTAGACGACCTTGATATCTTTGCAGCAATTTCTTTTAATCGGAGCTTTTGAGGATCGCTTGTTTTTGGTCGCTTGTTCGGTTTTTCGTCGCTTGTTTCATCAATTTCATTGCGGATGCTTGATGAATCGGGAGTTTCACAAAAGTTTGTTTGGGTGTTTTTGTTTTCTCGGGACAAAGGCGGTTGAGGTTTCCTCTTTTTCAAAAGTTCCAGTTGCTTTTCAGCTCCTCTGATCTCATTGTTTCCGATAAATACAGCTCGTCGTGCTTCAGCTATAGCGTCTTCAATTTTCTGAATATTCAGAGTTTTCAACGCACTCTTCAAATTTTTCTGAATGCTTTTCGATGATCTTATTTCAGAAATTACCATATTTAATCTCTGTTTTACATCTAATACAAACAATTGGTCACTTGTTGTCAAAACGGTTGAAAATGTTTTGAGAAGTGCCAAAGCACTTTTCATATCTTTTATGCCCTTTTGCACGTCCTCGAAATATTCCGGCTTCATTCTAGCTTCGCCAATAACTGACAATATTCCTGTAACCTGCTCTAATAAAGTCTGTTTAGCCTTTTCCAAAGAAGCCTTAGCTTTACAAGCTTCTTTAATACGGGTTTTGTATTTCTCAGTAAGGACTCCAAATTCAAGAGCTTTCTCTTTGAATTCTGTAATATTCTCAAGCCATGCACAAATATGCTTGTAGTTAGCCGGGTGTCTCGAAAACAATTTTTGTGGTAAGTTTTCTTCCGATTGTTTTAATCTGTTTTCCATATCTAATTTGATAGCTCTATACTCATCCAATCTTTTTTTAGCGTCGGAAGAATATTTTTCGATCTCATTCTTCAATTTTACATTGCCTTCACGTAAATCGTCCAAAATTTTGTCGGCATTATTTACCGCCTTTTTTATTTTTTCTTCGTTCTTTGGCGAGACATTGAGTAAAAGAATTACTTTTATTCTTAACCAACTTTTTTCCAAGTGGTCACACTTTACTTCGATTTCAGTAACGGGTTCTGATTCTGGAACATTGTTAGATTCTCGTGGATCTTCAGTCACATCGTTATCGTCAGTATTTTGTTTTAACGTTGATGGACTTTCCTGGGCGACATCATCGATCTCGTTTGTTTCGTCCGTTAGTTCTTCTATTTTTTCATCTCGAACAATGTTGTTTTTCAAACAGAAGATTTTGTTTTCGAATGACTGCGGATAATGTTTTTCAAAAAGTTTGTCGGCTCCAATTTCTTGTTGCAATTGCCCAAACAAAGCCATGAAAGTGATTAACGTCTCTTCGTTCCCCGTACTTTTGTATTCAAGTAGGATGTTGAATGCGTCTACTAGGCGTATTAACATGTTACGTATTCTTTTTTCAAATTTATTGCTTATGCTCTTTCTCTGTAGTTCTGTATAGTATACATTTTGCAGTAATTGTATGTGAATTTCAGTTCCAAGATTAGACAACACACCATGGCAAATATTTGAAAAAACGCCACAAGAACGTTTTAACCACAATAATGGCATTTTTCATTTTAATTCCTTAATTTTCAAAGATATAACAAGGCGCATTACAAAGAGTCTGGATTAGAAGAATGACGCAGTGTTTATAAACGGTTCATAGATTATTATTTATATAAGTAAATCCAATTCCGGCAGGATACATACGGCAATGTATGTATGTATTGTAAAATAATTTTGAACCGTTGACCCCCCAAAAAACGTAACTCATAGATTTCCCACTTACTCTTACCAACAATGGAGTAAGTATTCAATTTTGTTTACACTTGAACCTCTGTTTGTGTATGATTTTACCATAAAATTTCAGTTATCTGGGACGTTTTGCACAAAAGTTGTGTTTTGGTTCTCTAAGTAATCCCACACATAAAATTGAAAATCAAAAACCTTGCTTTATGCTGCGCAATTTTATTGAGTCATTGCATTCCATCGCCATGTGAATTCGATCTCTGAAATAACACGGAAATAGTTTATTCAATTGCTGAATGATATAATAAAGTCAAAACGAGCCATAACCATTTCAAATTTGTGTCAGATAGTTCTTTACTTCTCATTCTAATAACATAAATTTATTTTAATTGCAAATATTTGAATCTTGGGTTACTATAGGCTTATAGTGACTTTATCTACGAAAACCCCAAATTTACACCAATTCGGTTAAAAACGTAAATCGTAACTGTTACAAAATTACAATTATGAATTTCTTGAAATTCAATTTCGCAATTTAAATTTCCAGGAAGATGTTTTTCTACCAGTCATGATTTTTTCAAAATTTCCCTGATTATTATTCACTTAGAAAAAAATATGTCAACGATTTCGATGTACAACATACAAAATTGCCTGTATTGAGTGTTTCTGCCTATGACGTACCACAATAATATGTTCGTTTTCAATTATTATTCACTGTTTGATTACCGTATACTGTTTAATATCCCTCCGAGAAGAATCGAAAGTTCTGAATTGAGATGTATGATTGTATTCCGTATATTGTTCGAAAACTACAGCAAAATCAAAATGCGTTTTAACGTATACTCAGTAATGTTGATCGTTGGGACAGAATCGGTTTAAGAGTCGGTTTGCCTGGGTCATCCTGTACATTTCAGATCATTAATGCAACAACTAATATTGTAGACTGATCCCTTCCGTATAATTATTACTCACTCAAATGGTTTAAATGTTTTCAGAATGTCTTCCATAAGAGGTTCGCTGTTAGATACCCGTGGTAGGTTTTGTTTGGGATGATCAATGAAACATAGAGGACACGGGTAGTAGTTATACACAGACATTCTAAGATTCCGATATCTGGATTCCAATTCAACAATCATCTTGGACAACTCGTGATCTTGTTGCTTAAGATTCTCACTAAACGGCAAAACATAATAATAATAAAATTCATATTTGATTTAATGAACAGTCCTTTAAGCAATATAAACGACATTATACATAGTTGGTTGAAATAATATATTACATGGCAGATCAAAACACAATTGTTTCTCCAATTTAGCTTAAATTGGAAAATCTAGATAATCCAAATGCTGTTTTTATTTCGTAAATTTCGTTATAATGTAAAGATTATTAGGATATTATTAATTGTCTTAATTACCAGCCATATTCAACATTATTCCTTATTTCCCTGAATATTATTTCCCATTCATTCACTTCTTTTTCGATATCTTTCGATGTGGTGTATCCATCCAACAGTTCTTTAGAGTATTTTTCTAACTTTGCTTTTTGATCACGAACAAACGTTATTATTTCATCCGGAGATGATTCAATGTTTTCTTTTCTGTGCAAAATAGATCGATAATTATTTCAAATTTGATTAATATTGTCAAACCTTAGTCAAAATTCATACGTTTACTTTTGGGAAAAAAAAAATTTTTTCAATCAAATTTGCCCGATCAAATGTTACTTATAGTAAATAAAACCAGATGTTACACTAGATTAGGGCGGGACGTTTTCAAATTGAATATCTAAATCAGATATTATTGTTAATTTGATATTTTCATTTGAGGACAAGATGGCGGCGACTCGAAATTTTCGTTTCGTTCATAATTTATTATTCGATTTCCAAGCCCTACATTGGATTAATAGGCAGTTATCACGAATAGACTATTTCTGTAATGAATAATTTTTTATAAAAGAGAACTTATTCTTTGCCTCCATTTTTGTTGAAAAACTCACTTTAGGCGGCTTTCAAGCTGCTCCAAAGTTCCCTTCACTTCAGGCATCCATTTTTCTATCCACACGCTGGGAAACGTTTTATCGGTAATGTAATTGACTTGTCCACTAAAAACAAATACCAACGATGGAACTCTTTCTCAAAAAATATGTTTTATACCGGCCTAATTTTTTATTAATTGTTTTAATAGCTTCAATTCGAACAAATCTCTCGACAAACACGCTTTTCGGTTTGGCATTGTCTTTGAATTTATTGCACTGTGAGTTAATTGGTGAGCATGGAGGTTGAATACGAGGTTTTTAAACGACGATGCTAAGATAAGTTCAAACAAACCTGGCAGGTTCTGTCGGTGATAATTCTTGTTCTTGTAAGCATTGGCTTACAAATTCCGACAGCTTTTTCGGATTATAACTTTCGCTGAAACAACAAAAATAGCAGTTACCGAACAAAAGCCTGGCTTTGAAAGTTCGATACAGAGAATCCAAAATGTTTTATGGCATATAAAAAACTACACAACAGTTTCATTCCAAACCACGCAGCACAACTTTCAACTCAATTTGGTAAACGATTTATGATATCGCACTTTCAGGAGCAATTGCACTATCTTCTTCAATCCGGGGTCTCATGAAACCAGAATGTATAACCTAGTGCTATCCTGTCCCGTTAAATAAAACAAAACGAGTAATTTGAAGATTTGTTTTAACAAGTTTTTTAATTATGACATTAAAACAAGTTGCTCTAACCATACCGTTTGCCTGCTGTTAATGCTGTTTCATTATCCTTTGACGTAAACAAGATGGAAAGTGCATCATTCAAAACGCCGACCCATCGCTTCTTGACTTCTCTAATTTGTTCACCAAGCCATTTAAAGTGGTTTTCTCTAACCGTTGTGGTAATGATGCCGAAATTCGTTATAGCACTATTCAATAACAGTTTTCTCCTAAAAACAATATATATATCAAACCATATGGGATTATAAAGTAATGATTTGAATATAACTCACCTGTACGAGGTTTCCGTCTGAAACAAGTTGAGCGTTTTCAAGTTCTTATATGCTTCGTACTTTATTTGAGTCAGTGCATATTGCGCTTGAAGATTTCTAGGTAAGAGATATATATACCGGTATATATAAGTCAATACATGTTAACATAAGAAGAAGACAAATACGATTCGTTTAAAATTCAATAAATTAGAAACTGGAGGAATATATTTGCAGATGAACTTTTTCTAATGTGGGAAGCCTGTACATTCACTCGCTTAAAATATTTGGGCAACTAAATATAAAAAGTTTTGTAACTTACTCTTTATTGCATTCGACGTCAGTAGTTTTCAACAACTTGTTTTCAGAATTTTCCCAAGTATGTTTCACTTCTGTATTTTTAGTCATATCGAGTAATTTTTTAACGAAATCTTCTATTGATTTATCAATGTCTTTTGTAGCACGGTTAATCAGACTTTTCAAGTTTTCTGAAGTATTCCTGTAATTTATTTTATTGAGTATATTGACATCGTTGAATCCCAGCACCTCAAATAAATATGGTTTCTCGGAATGCAATAAGGAAAAGGATAAATCTTCAAAAAACGTTTATAATTACCGACATTGGCTCAGGTCTGCTAAAAGAAGCAGTTTTCTTTTTCTCATTATTGCTTTTGTGTACAAGGCTTCAACTTCTTCCCAACATTGACATCGTAAAAATTGTAGAATTTCTTCTATATTACTTTCATCTGTGTCACTTTTTTTGCATGTAAAATATAAATTAACTACTACCAAACCCGATGAATAACAAAGAACGTTAACACCAACTTATTTTGTAGTTTCGTTCTGAAAATTTCTAACTCCTTCTTCCATTTCCCCTCCATTTCCTTCCTTTCCCGGTGGTTTGCTGATCCACATCCTAGCATTTCCAAACAGTCATTCCTATCTTTTTCCAGAATTTGCTGCAAATTTTGCTCTTTGTCTTCTTTCTTATCTCTGCTATGTAAATTTAGTTATTACTATTTTTCAATTTTAATCAGTTTTGCATTTGGCGCTATAACACACCTGTAGTAAATTGCTTCTTTCAGGTTGAGTTCCTCGTGCCATATCTCTGCTATTTTTAGGTACAGATTTTTTAATGTAGGGAAATTGAAATATTTCAGCATCTGTACACCGCTTCTCTCTTCATAGCTAGGGTTTTGATTTTTATCAATTCTAAAAAACAGCCTGTTTTAATTTTTATTTTTTTTAAGTATCTTTTGTATTTTTTATTGAAATACCCCTTGCACCGCCGTGAAACTACACCGAAACGTTGCGTTCTGGCTCCCGGGCCTACCACAATCCAAAAGCAGTTGCATCAGGGGCCCCGCATGCCGTTTAAATTATGATATACAAGTGAGTTAATACATTGTTTGATAACATACTTAGATCGAGGGCAAAATACTCATTTTTAGTGATATATGGAGTAGTAAAATTTATATAACATAATGCTTACATTCTTTGTTGCTTAGATAAATTTGTATATATATATATATCGTCAGGCTAATAACCGAATTGCGTAAGTCATTTTTAGCAGTTTTGAGAAAAACGTAAAAAACTTCCTAATGATATTGCTACGCCATTGAGAATCAATAATTTGCCATAGTTCAATTTTTTGATCGTAGCCGAATTTAAGTTAATTTGTATGACGCAGTTATGTGACCTCATGATGGCGCACTGTGACTTAGGCAGAAATGTTTCTATGACTTGGGGACGCGCAATTTTGCAACTTGACCATCAATATAACACGCTCTGCACACCCACCGAAATAAGACTAAGATTAAATATAAAAAATAAAACAGCAATGTACCCTTATATTGTAGCCAACCAAGGTGAATCGGAATCAGACAGTGAATATCACAAGTGCACGCCTTCATATACTGTAGTATACATTCAAATTTATAAGCGTTAAGGTAGAATCTGAGATGCGAAAACTTAAAAATCTTTTGTCGAGGTTATTTGGCCTTTGTGACGTCACAATAGTCCTGCGGTAACAACGATAATTCATTATGACGAAACAATTGCACAAATGTGCATGTCATACAATATCTTCATTTTTATGGGTTTCGGAATTCCTAAAATAAAATCTGAGTTAATAGACAGGTGCGCAGCATTACATAAATACCTATTTTATAAAAAAAACTCAAAACCCCAAAAAATGACTTAAGCAATTTGGTTATTAGCGTGCCGATATATTAAAATCATTTTCAAAATTCAGGCTAGGTCTTGTTTTCGTGGAAACACGGTAGAAAAAATTGATTTGCAATTTTAGAGGTCAGGAACGTCCATTGGTACGAAGGTCATAAGCTGTTCTATGAACTGTAGTCCTTGTTGGCGGGAGTTGTGCATTGCGCTCTGCCGTTCGGTTGCCGCTCGTTACTTGACGCTAATATGGTTCGTGTATTATGACTGTTTTAAATACGAAATGGGCGTTCTGAAAATGGAAAAAATCCCAACCGGCCTAGCAGGCTACACTTTTTCTTTGTTTGGGATGTCCTTGTTTGCTAGTTTATTTTAAAATCAAAAGGGGTAGGCTATTCCGGATTTCTTGTTCGCTCATCTCCGTGCTTTCATGCCTTACTGTACCGACGCACTCGTGTCCAGCATTGCCCTGATGTTTTTTGATTGGAATATTGCTCATTTCGCTGTGTCATAAGAGACTAATTTATAGTTTACGATAATAATTAGGATACTCATGATAAGTTAGAATATTCGGTTTCGTATCAGGCAGCAGTAGTTTACTCAATTATACGGTAAGAGTAATACTAACGTAAACCAGACCTACCTTGACGTCTGCATCTCAAATCCATGCTTTTTATGGAAGCGTGGGGAATTCTATTGTTATTAGTAGATAGGTTTTTTTTCTAATGGATAGTTGCAGTGTAGTGTACTTCTTATACCTTCTTCTGGGCTGCCTCATAACGCACTTGTTTGTGGTATTATAGCTTTGCAAGGAAAATTGATCACAACTACGTTTGTTTTTGGGGCGCCGGCCGATAAAACACTGCTTGCTATTTTTTTCATGCTATGTCATATAAATTAGGCTTAGACTTGCCGTGCAACAATTCTCGTTGCCTCTTCAATGTCGAAAATAGATTTTTCATGGGCCTTGACAAGTGACATTTCCATATTTTTGTTTTTAAGCAGCCATCCCATAATGTCCTTTCCAACCGATTTTAGTTCCTTCATCCCTATATCCACAATGTTGCTCGAATCTCTCATGTCAGATTTTCTGTCATTACTGCATTAATTAAGATATAACATGCAAATGTACTGTATTTTGAATAGTATATATAAATATATATATATATTTATCAATTACATGAAACCAGAAAGAAACCGGATTTAAATAATACTTACGTTTACAATATTACATGAAAACTCATACATAAGTGCAAATACCTATCAATCATAGCGCCACTCAAAGCCTTGTATGTTACAAATTCCATCTTTGCTTCTATAAAAAATTTCTGAAATTCATCCTCTGACATAATCTGTTGTGATCGTAGTACATGTTGTAATTTTTGGAAAGATTCATTCTGTTTGGATCTAAAAATCGGGTTCATTTTATTTTTAATTATACGTAGGTAGTCTGCCGTAACCCATAAAGGCTTTCCCTGAGCACGAGACCCTCATAAGATCCCGAAACATTTACAATTCATTTTACTGACGTCATCGCATAAAACATCCGATAGAAAAACGGATCCCACGGAAAGTTTTGAAATAAAATATAAATACACGAAAAGGGGCTTTGGCCCAGTAGTTAACGAGAAAAGCGAGTTTTTGACAAAAAAGGGAAATACCAACAAGAACAACAACATAAAAACAAAACGATCCATAAATACATTTCGTGTTCAATTAGATATGAAGTGAGAAAGGAGTACACGATAGGGTGCTGGACTGGAGACAATAAGACGTAGTAAATAAAAAGTTAGTTGACACTTTATTACATTACTTTTAGCGGTTGCTTACTCATATGTCGCTAACATTTCCAAAGCTTTCTTGAATATTATGCCCCAAACATTCTCTTTATTCCAACATGTAGACATCATGCGAATTTCTTTTAAATTTTCAATTATTCTCTTTTTTTCTCCTTCGCCGTGTTTGCTAAAACAATTAAAAAAGAGCACATTATTGTGAATTCAAAAAATAAATATCCTTTATCTTCAATAGAGGCAATTGAATATTATTTTATTTGAACAAATCTCATATCACTTGTTTTTGATTTTCAGGTCCTCTATGATTCCTAACACTCACTTCCGATTTTCGACAAATCCCTTTAATGTATGAAATCCTAATGCATTCACTTTTTCGGCATCAAACATATATTTGACCGAATCAGTCTCTGAATTTTGCGTTCGATTATCAGTTGGAGAAGAAATGAAGTACCTTATAGAGCCTGAACCAATATAAAAGTAGGTAAATATTTGTATTTAAAATATAGGCTATAGATCAGGCCTGCCCAACCTTTTTCATCTCGCGGGCCACTTTCACATAAGGAAGTTCGTCGTGGGCCGCAAACGTTTGTACCAAACTTTAATACCAACTAAGTCCTGATTTCGTTAGAATTTATATAATACATAAAAGGCAAGATTATTAACAAAAAATTAATCACGTTAATATTTATTTACTGCATGGTTACTCATTAGTGCTGGCGAAATATTCGAAAATGGAGTAGAATATTAAAATAGAAGTTCAATATTCGAATATCTGGTAACACAAGGCGTGGACACGACACTCGCGGGCCGCTGAATCAAAAAATCAATCATTACACAACGCACTTGTGAATTTATGACGACCATGCGAGAATCTGCACAGAGTTACTAACAAACAAAGCCGTAAAAATTGAGCCTTATATTTGAGTCATGGTGTTTAATTTTTAGTGGCTATGATATTGTCTCGATGAGCGTAATGTGCGACAAGGTCGCGGGAACATCAAGTTTTGGTGGGCCGTTTCGTGAAATTTGAAACATCAATACAAGTATTTAATGAAAAAAACATTATAATAACTTTTGGACGAATACACCGTATAATATACTAATTTGAATATGTAGAATTGTCAATTTTATCAGAATTATTGACGGATACGCAGTGACTATATTTTCGGCATTTTATTTAACGCAAAATAAAACATAAAAGAAAAACGAACCCGGAGCCAGCAGCAAATATTATTGTTGACTATTTATTTTACGTTGGCGATAAAGACGATCAAAGCCTACACGGAAAAAACAATCAGAATGAAACTAATTTGAAAACTTAGGTTCCAAATTCAGTCCTACAATTGCACTCAGCGTTCGTCGCCTATGATCGCACAACATCTTTCGAGATCGTCGAACAGAACGCACAATTCCGCGAAAATAAAAACGAACGTCGATGTCCACCAGGGCATAAGACTTGATACATAAAACGTAATAATAAGAATCGGCATTAGGATGTATAGATAGATGGCGGGAATAATCACATCAAAACCACGAAACATACTTAAGCCTATTTATACCATAGTGAAAAATTGAAAAGTCTGCTTACAAAATTTATTGGGCGGGCCGCAAAAAACAGTCAGACGGGCCGCATGCGGCCCGCGGGTTGGGTACCCTTGCTATAGATATAGTTTGCATCGGGCTATTCTTTTCTCCATATTGATATTGATACCCTCGAACGATAATGAACATTTACGTACAATGTAGAAGTATTACCAAAAAGTTTGAAACTTACTCAAAATTTCAATTTTATGGTGGAATTTTCTGACATGGTATAATAGATCAAAATGGGAGACACACAGCGAATACTCGGTAGTCAACTCTTTCCCATAAATGATCTCAATTTTTGCAACCTCTTGGTCATGAAATTTCTGAAACGATGGTAGTTAATATTTTACGTATCGTTCTACAATTTTTATTTGATTAATAAACCTAAACATCTTCATCGTTTTCGACAAAAGTTGAATGCTAAGAAGACCGATTGGTTGATTAATCTTACGTGTTTATGAAAACGGTTATTGGATGAGCTAGGCAATGTTTTGGTCAATTATACTGTGCATAATGTATTGCAACTTAGGTCCAGTGAGGTACATTAGAATTAGATGACATACCCTAACGGTGGTGACAACACCTGTTAAAAATCTTTAACGTATGGTACAGCAATTGTTCGTGGTAATAACTTGTAAAATACTATACTTCATTTTTATTCTTCTTTGAGTCTATGTAAAACTCTTCACACAATTCTTTATCCGTAGAGTAAGTTCTATCAACTGTCCAACGAAAAAGGATTTCTCGATTGTTTTTCCCTTCGATCTTTTTCAAGTGCTTAGTAGGAAACGGCATCACTTGCACTTTGTTTTTGCAAGAAATATTTCCAAGTAAGTTACCATCTTCATCCTTATCCTGAAGTCATAACGGTGCAATAGTAAAGTTGAAGTATAACACAAACATGTGCATATACAGAGAGTGTTTCAAAAGATAAGTATACACTTTTATTTCTAATTTTCTTTTCCTGTATTTATCATAGAGCGTTCACTTCTTCAGAAAAGTAGTAAAATTTAGGTATTGTTTGCATTTTTTATCAACCCACAGAATGACAAAGCGATTACTTCAAGAAATGAGATGCAAAATTGCTGTTTGGCAAGTAGCATGTAGTAGAAACGGGCTTATTTAAAGTTATAGGTGCTGGAGGTATATATGCGTATTATCATTATTCATATTATATATATATTTAAAATAAAGCTTGGTAATCGGTGCATATAATAAACGTCCATAGACCTTTCTGAACCGCCAACTTACCGGGTCAGGATACGCATGTAATAAACTGACGTTGTTCTTAGTTGGCTTGATTAGTATTTCAATGTTTCTAAACAAACATTCAAATTTTTCAATATGTAAACTTAAAAGTTGGTATCTAAAATACTATAAGTAACAATCCTTGTTTGAAAAGCATAATCACCTTCATATTGCTTGAACTAATCACAAAATTGTATTCGATTATGCATCAAGGTTATCTTATTATATTCTCGACTGCATCGTGATCAAACATCATCAGTTTTAGACAGTGGTGGGATTATAATTTTTTGTTAGCCGGTTCCATCACAAAAGTTATATGTTTCAGCCGGTTCTGTTGCCAAAAAGTCATTGACAGTAATCAGTAATGCTAATCGGTTCGCTGATCTCATGAAAATCCGTGAGACGGTTCTATAGAACCGATGCGAACCGGCTGAATCCCACCACTGGTTATAGACTATATTAATCATAAAGTCTAAACGTGATATCAGTAAAACAAGTTCGGTGATCAAAATATGTTACCTTGGATTTGTGCAGTTTCGCCTAAGCTTGAGAGCCACTTTTATTCTCATCTTCCCTGCAGACGGCGGTTCTTTCATGTGATCAAAATCTACGTTCTGAGGAAAGATTTGAAAACGATAAACGTTTTCTGGAGGATAAGAAGAATCTTACAAAATATTGATCTTAGATACGAATCCTTCATTAGAGATTGTTAAACGCAATATATCTGTTACAAGAGCATGTGTATAGATGAACTGGTAAAATACGCAAAATAGTAAAAAACTATTTTTTTTGGAGAAGCTTAATGTCTTCTGAGTTCATATTTAGTCCGCGATTTGTACCACAAACGTGTATCATTCATTGGCTTCATGATTTCAATATACAGTTTAAATAAATTATACATTTTGATAGCCATCTTTTTGAAAGTTTTCCAATTCCAAAAACTTTCAATTATAATTATCGTCACTGACTGACTTAAAACAAGAAACATATCTTCCTCACGTAAACTGAAAGACTGATATCATCAATATCAGTTATATTTTCTGCATGTGAGCTGGTTACGACTGGTTTAGAAGTTGACGCTTCGAACTAAAAACAAAGTAACATGTAACGGCACTCAATAAATCACTTTAATTACAATGTTATCAAAAAATTGGTTACTTCAGAAGTACTTCGGATAGCGGAAGGTCCACGGCTCAATTTACCTAAAATTAATAAATGTCAGGTTCAGAATGTTATTATTAGGTTGATAGAAGAACAGTAGGCTACATGAAGCTAATAGTAGCCATTTGTGAAGCTCAACACTTAGAAAAATAGTATAATATTTACAAAAGTAATTCTATAGGCAACTATAAATTCTCGCCTATTATAAACATGAAAATTATCCTGACTTACATGAAAAATCAACATTGTTGTATTCATCAACATCGGGATTTTTGCTCTTGAAAACACGTGACCGCTCATTCGGTAGTAGCATCTTTATAAAATGGACTGTTGTTTGTGCCTGTTGTTGTGTATCCAAAAAGTCAACCCTAATGTCTACGATTTCTTTGTTCCTAACGTCCTAAATAAACAGAACATGTGAGTGTAATAACTCCCCATCAAAATATGCATTTAGTGTGACAGTGAACAGCTCAACGTTTCGAATATATATATTATTACGGTATTATTTACAGCACCTTTATGTTGGGTCCAAGTAGCTCCAAATTAAATGCAAAGCACATTTTTTCTCCAATCTTTAAAAAATGATTGAAAACTTCGAGCTCAGTTGAATACTTCCGACTTTTATGTATTTTAAAATACTCCTTATTTAAATTCATATTGCTTGGTTCATCTTCCTGAAACTGGGAATATAAAATTATTTTCAAAACAAAAAATCCATAGTCACGAAAACGAAATATTGTATATATGAAAAAAAAGTTCATTCAAAGGTCTCAAAATTGGGTCCGATGGGCGAACCTACATTTATGATTAACAGGCACATAAGTTTACATTGCTATAACTGCATGGAATGCTAAGTTGAATCAAAAAGCAAATTCGATAGTTTTATTATAAACACGCTCTATCATAACGCCGCATGTCAGTGAGAATCCCCCAAAGTCTTTGCAGTGTCTATGACACACGCACAGCACTAGGTGTATATTTAATTGCACTGCTCTGATTTCAAGTTGAGCGGTATCGTATATCTTAAACATACAAATTACAATAGTTCCAATTTGCCAAAAAACGCATAAAAACAGCGGGAATTCTGCAAGTATTATTTTATGCATCAGTTGGTCATTGCGTCATATAAGTAACATATAGAGTTTTCATTCACCATCAACTTTTGTTGTTGTTTCCGGGATTAAGTTTTTTCATATTGCAGGTTGTTTATTCACATATATAGATTGCGTCACAATAGTCGCACATATCACACCTGAACTCCAAATCAAGCCGTACGAGCCTAAACTTTTATTCAAGAACACTCACTTTTTTCTTTGCAAATTTTGGATTTGTATAACAGAAATACACTCCCAAGTCTGATTTAGCCATAAGTCTGACACGTATATTCTTTAAGAAATCAGAAGACCTGTTGGGTAAAATAGACAATAACTGAATAGCAAAGAGAAGCTATCAGTCTCTCTGAGTGAGGTAACTTGTGGATTTGCACGCCTTTTGGGTAGGTTGGTAAACCTTTATCAAGCTAATATCATATACGACTTGAACTCGTAATCAGACGAAAGGTAGTCTGACATATAGTTGTGTATAAACAAGCTTATTATATGTTTTGTAGAAAGTCCCGCTAATATACATATGTATATTATGTATCGTTTATTTGACCTAGGGATGCCTCGTTTGCCTTATTTAGAATTCTAACTTTTATTCTTTCTCATCTTTGCACGTCACTTTAAAATTCAACGAATGAAGAAAATTATGTTTTACTTCACATTCTCCATTTTTTTCTTGAACTGTGCGTGCATATTGCTAGCGAGACTTTTGTTGTTTTTTGAATTAGATGTGTTGTCTTTTTTATCTGATTCCTTGATGTTGGAATTTTCCTGAATTTTGCTGTCTTCCATACTCAACATATAAACGGGTTCACTGCCAAGTTCACAAGCTATCTAAACACCATTAGAGATAAATTAAAATGTATGGAACTCAAAATTTCAATATTAACAAAAGAGCTCAATGCTCAGATATACGAATAATCGTCAAATGTGTCTCCTTTTTACCATATTAACGCCGAGCATTTCAACAAGACTAAAAACAAAATAATAGCAAAACGATTTATGTGCAGAGTTCGTTTACAAAAATGTGTCCATATATATCTTATTTATACGTTTTTATTCGAAAATTTTCAATCGAGTTGTGCAAATAAGGTGACAAGTCCTCAGATGCCACTTGAAACAAGAGAGCAATTCTCAAACATTCGGACACGAAAGTTGCGTATCGGTAATTGCGCAGTACCCCTTAGCTGAACATAAGAGTTTCCAAAAATATTTAAAGCCAAGCGTGACAAAACAAGTATTTCCATATCTTCAAGTACTGCAAATTGCAGATCATTGGCCCACTGATTAACATGAAATCGATAAATATTGCTAGTAAAGATAAGTTACTTAATTTTAACTACATATGACGTCAAGCATACTTCTTGGAGCACGTTTGTAGAGATTTTGGAGAATACGGTGACGGGGACGCGTCTTCCTAATTTATCTTCTTCTGTCTTATATTGTTCTATCAAATTATTGGCTAATCCATCAACGTGACCGTCTGATATGAGAAAAATATGGCGTTGTTCATTTGGAGTCAACGGTGAATGGAAATCCGAATCTGCGGCGCCAAGTCGATGGTTCAACCTTAAAATTCACCACACAATTTCCTTATTACAGCTACCTTACCTTCAGCTATACAGTTTAGTCTGAACAATAATTTCACTTTCACCAAGTTTTATTAAAATATTTAAAGTTTTATGGAAGGATTTCTGTATTTGGAAGTATCTAGTCAATTATATCCCTATGGCGATGTTTTTAGGTTTTTTAAATAAAAATTCGTTGCTCATGCATTTAGGTTATGGTATTTTGTTGGTAATAATTCTCATCACTTACGTTTTTTCCGGCCCAAGTCTCAACGCTTCAATTACACTAGAACATGCTTTTTGGTAAAGTTTCCCTCCTTCCTTTATTTTCTGATTGTGCCGTTTCACCTTATTCACGAAGTCTTCTCCGTACTCGTTCAGAATATTCAGGACTTCATTCTATATAAGTATGGGGGTTAGGACTAAATATTGAAGAAGTTCAATTGAAAAGTTAGACAACATGCAGTGTATAGAATATTATTGTTTCAAGATTAATCTGGAATTAAAATTCAGGGACCAAAGACTCAGTTAATAAGTTCGGTATAATCTTTTAATTAATGTATCTATTGACCAAGCACCGAGAATTCATGTTCTCAAAATTTGTTTCAATGAATAAGTTGAATGTAAGAATAAGCAATGTCGATACCTCGTGAACAATTTAAAATATTCATATATCATCAATAAATACATTTATTTCAATTTTTCATCACCAGGTTAAATATTTATAAGAGAATATATATAATTTGAAACTAGAAAAATTATGCCCAGAACTCATGAGTCAGTTACCTTATACTTCTTAACTATTTGTAGTTCTGTCTTTTCATCAAAAATGAGAAGAGAAATATGATCATCTGTTTCTATTTCCTGGAACGCTGACTGAAAGACGTAAATGAATTTTAGCCACTTGTAAAGTTTCTATTGGATATACCCATGACTCCATTGTAAATAATTACATGAGATTTATATTATTGAAGAAGAGTTTACCTAATTTTCAATATTATATATAATGTCATATGAAATCACGCAACAATATGTTATACCGGGCAATAATGTTCATCGTATCTGCTTTCGATTTTGTACAAAAAGTGTCTTTTAGAGACTTGCAACAAATATATATTATGTTGAATATTGCTTATAATAAGGTTCGATATGATTTTTTGTATGTATGTTTGCATGGGAAATTGGGAATACGTAACCAGTTAATTGTGACAGTCGCAAAAAAACGCAACCGAACAGGTGAAACGTGAAAGACAAGCAGTCTTAAAATTCATACATGTTGGGATCCAAACATACAGTTTGTAATAATGCATCAAAGAACTTTTCCGAACCATTCAGAATGGCAATTTTTCTGTCTATCTACAATAGATATAGGACAGACCGACTCTGAAAAAAGCTATATGACAACCACTTTATAAATGTTACAATGTATAATCCAAGTGATAAAATGACCTTAAATTCAATGAAAACGTCAATATCAACTACGAATATGTAATGCGTTTCATATGATTTCCGGAGCGAGGTTGTCGAGTATTTCTTTGGCTCCAATTCCATAATAACCTGCATTCTTAGTGGAGATTCTTCCGGGATAGATAAAGCGCAATCTTTAGTTTTCTGTAGCAGATATACGAATTCATTTTTATTATTTCATAAGAATGATTCTCTCATTACATTATTGATATATTCAGATACTACACGATGGTTTTTGCCTTGTATGTAAAAGTGCTACGTCATATTTGTTTGACAATGAAAATCGTCATTAAAACCAGAAAACAACATGAGGTTTTTTGCCTATCATTATTTATTTTAATATTCCAGTTATATCAGCTCCAACTATACCCGACTATTTTACCATCACAAGCCCTAACTTGACTCGAAAACACCCTAAACTAGGTTTTTTCATGCAAAATCTTTTAAAGCTAGAAGAACGATTGAAGCATTTCGAAAAATTGCCAAAACAAAGTTAGTAAACGTTTCAGACCTGACGCTCAAAGTAGTCGTTCATCATTTCCAATATATTTTTCCAATTTGTTTTTATATTTTTTTTTGTTTCAGACACCACTTCCTTGAATTCAGTTGCTGTAGGCCTACTATGCTGAAAACAAATAGGCATATCACGTGGAACAGAAGAAAAATGCACGCCGAAGAAAAGGTTGAGTCCCCACATGTTGGTACAATTTTGCAAAATCTAATATTGCAACTAGAAACTTTCATCTTTTTATCCCTTCCAGGACAGTGAATTGAAAAAAGGGAAGAATTTATGCTTCTCTAATATGTTTTATAAAGTTTATGCTTCTATTTAATATATTACCCGACATTTTAACGCTGGAATCCAACAATTCTAAGCCAGAATATCAACATTCTTCATTATTTTTCATATTTTATACACTTCATGATAACATCTGCATGATTTTGGGCAGCACAACAAATAAGTTTGGTTTGTAAGGGCAATTATTGAAAACTATAATATGAAAGCGCGCACATGTAAACTCTCATTTAAGTAAATGTAAGTGGTTCAGTGTATATCGCGCAGAAACCTTTTGATAGAACGACATTTCAATGTAAGTTTGCATAAACAGATTTTTGCGCGGATGTAGTTTTGCGAGAACAGACTTATTAAAATGTCTATTTGAGATCATACACCTCCCAGTTATAGTCATGTTTATTCATTCATACCAGAAACGTCTTACTTACGTCGTTTCCTGACGTTTCTGTTCCTGGATCTTCGTCATCTTTTTTCACGCTGATTATCTATATGAATGGACAAATAGATATAAATCTATTGTACTTAATATCGAGATAAATTTAAAACCAGAAGGAGATATGTCAACCACATTTTATATACTGTATGTCCGGTTCTATAATACATGGTTTATGATATTTACCGATGTCTACCTCCATATTTGCCCGAATGCGTAATAAACTCCCTCACTCCCTCACCTGCAATGTCCTTTGTTTGCAGTAAAGTTTACATTGTATTTTATCGCTTTTCCCGAAGATATTTGCAATAGCAGACATGCTGAAGAATTTATACACTGAACCTCAATGAGCGGGAGAAAGTAAGTATATCCTGAAAATAAGTGCTTAAAAGATGATAAAATATAATGCATTTTTCTTCAACTCTTAACAGTTTCAACATTTACTATTTTTCTTATGTTGAATACTAAAATGTGTAGACGTGAATCGAGATATGGCGGTAGCTTTAAATTTCAGCTACATCTGAAGGCAATATTCACTGCAGACAAAATTGCACGAAAATATTATTCTTACCTTCAATATTTCTTCAATATGTTAAGAGAGTTGAACTCGATTTGATGAACTACACATAATACCACATATAAGTACCGTAAACAAAAGAATGTCAGATATATTCACCTGAATGTAAACACAGCAATATAATATCTTGATACAATGTTAGATCAAGTCGTAAAAGCAGCAATTTGTATAAGAAAAAGTAGTACAATGAAAAATCAATGTTTAATTTATACGTTCCGTGAGTAGTTGAATAAAAATATTCAAAACAGCGACGCTTGTTTGAACAAATATTTAATAAAAAAATAAGTGTTTGTTCCGTCAACAGTTGTATACAGTATGCAAAAAGCAAAAACGCGACGCTACTCTGAACAATTGTTCATTGTTTTCCCCTACTTGAACATCCTCCAAGTGTGGAGTTTATTTGAACACGATTGGGATATGACACAACAATATTTGCCATAAGTGGTCTGTACAATAGTAAGACCCTGCAGTTGTTAAGTGTTAAGATCATGAGCTGTGCATGTATATATTCCACACATCAATAAAAATGAAAAACAGTCCGTTTGAAATCTTGTGATTCGATTATATCGTTTTTTTAAGCTAAATTTTATAACATTTCAATTTGAAAAGGTGACCACATGTCTCAATACTGTTGTTGAATTATATTTAATGGATACGAGTCAGGGCGCCGACCTCTAGCGAGTGTTTGTTGAAATATCAATAAAACCGACCGAAAAAACATAAAACATAAAATAAAGTTTATTGGACACTTTATCGGACACTTTAGTGGAAATTACGATCGTTTCAATATTATGTTGTTGGACTTGCAGTGTACATAACGATCGTTTCAATATTATGTTGTTGTTGGACACGTCAGTGGACCTATGGATCGTTTTGATATTATGTTGTTGTTCTTGTTTAAAAACTATTACTTTTACTTATTTCAAAAATTTCTGTGGACTTCAAGAGATTCGTTTTTTATGTGTCAGAATAAAAAATAGCGACACCTTGTGACGTGTCCATATATTTGAAAACTGCTCTCATGTTTTCAATGCGTTTTGAAATTTATGATTTCTTTGAATGAAGATGTAAATGCATCATGAACATTTAAATTCATAAATATATTCTGAAAATCACTTTGTACTTACCACTAAAATATGTTTGCAACGAACGTGGGCATATTCATTTTACTATTTGCTCGCCACAGATTCCGTATTATTAGCTCATATTCACGTACGTAAATCTGAATGGCATTGGATTTTACATTTCCCAGTAAGGGTTCAAATATTCACAACGATATATATATACATATATATATATGATTGACTTAACCCTAATCTTTAGTTAAAATTAAATCCTGATTTAATAAAAAAAACTTTTTCATGTTCTGACCAATGCTTGCAAAACCCCCGCTTCTGGTTTGTAAATTCATATTTATAAGCGCTCAGTTAAAATGTACGCACACAATTGAAAAATTGCTTCACCGATTCTTATTGGCGTCTGTGACCTCACATTGGTTAAACAATGATAATTCATTGATACGTAACAATTGCAGCAATGTAAAAATATATCGTTTTGTCTTTCGTCTCCATATATCTGAGCATTACTCTCTTGTTTTACCTTCAGTTAGACTTCGCAACGTATTAACGAATTTTTGTGTTTAAATATTCACGTATTTATCTATTTTTATATTAACTAGCACTTAGGTTACTCGACCTCTCAACTTACTTTCAGATTATGGAATGAGCCGAGGTTTACATATCATTGCAGGTTGTACACTGTGGTACACTGTTTTCTTTTCTATTCCGCTACGTAATAACCAAATATTTGATCATCTCTCTAGTTTTTTAAAGCTTATTCCGGTTATCAAAATTGGCTAATTATTAAAATCAAACTGTATGGTCGTAACCGTGGAGACGTTGAGAAGTTTGACATTGTGAGGTTAACAAATTTAGAGTTGATATGTCAGTTCGAAACTTTTCTACAACCTTTCGTTTGTTTAATAAGGTAACCCGGAAATATTCAGGAAAAAATGTTTAATCAATATATATGCGGTCACAGTTGTAGACAAATCATGACTGCGGACAATACATTGGACTTTCAATTTCATTGATTTATGTAAATTAGTCAGCGGTATCCACTGACATCCATCATAAAAGTATCGATATGTTTGGTTGTAGTTGGAAAATTTGCAGACATTACCTTGAATTCTTTTATATTCGTTGTTGTATGTAAATCGGTCGGTGGTATCTAATGACACTTATAGATTATACATACATATATAGCTTTCACCTCGTCTCTGGCAACCTGTGGACCTTCCTTCCGTGTTCCTTCTTATTTTTCGTGAGGGTTCCCGTTTTTTCATGAACAGAACGTAGCCTACATACAACACATACGAATATTTGACATCTTTAAAATCACCGTGCAAAATATCAGTATCATCATAAACAGTAAAACAATAGAACGCATGGATTTTGCAGGAAATAATATTCGATAGATAAAAAAAAAACGCTTTAAATCAATCACAAAAGAATGAGAACCATATTGATCTTCAATATCAGTTGACTGAAAGATTTCAAGTTTAAGCCTAGATCGAATGAGGCTTGGAATTCGAAATTGTTCGTGTTTATAGGTTTATAGACTAGACCCGAGTCGATTTTTCTTCTTCTTTGCACACAGTTTTGCGAAATCTAACCATCTTCACCCATAGATTTTTCAAATTAAAAACGGGAAAGTCAAAACAACATCGCCAAAGAAACGCCAAAAGACATAAAATAATCAATAGCATACCTGCAGAATTGCATTTTTTTACTACACTATCGTTTGGGGCTCAAAGACTTCGTATAACGTTAATGAAAGCTACTCTGCGGTTCAGTTCATAAAATTCGAACAAAATTTAAATGTTTAGTCGATGTATTTTCTGAGTGCAGTTTTATGTCCAATCACAGAAAATCTTAAAAGGGGAATAAAAAACCGACAAAATGATTTTTCAAATACTGCTGCATTAGAATAAACAGTATATCATATATATTTATGCTACTCGAATGCTTCAATTCTATTATTTATATTAGGAAGTAGATGGCGCTTTAACCCAACAATTCAACGGCTTGCTCATTCGGTATCTCCAAACCTAGTATACAAATCTTCAAATATTCCCTTCTCCCTTGGTTAGTTAGACGATGAAACACATTAGGTCATTCGATGAACTAACTGATACTCATTAAGGTTTTATTCAATTATGATTTCATTAACCAATTACAATTTAATATTGATAACACGATGCGGCTGAGTTTGTCAAGACGTCAAAGATTTTTATCCATATTGTACTGTATAATTCTATCAATACTTTGAACATGCACACTCATAAAAACCTAAATTTAACATCGATATACATTGAATGTGTAACAGCAAAAATAATGGTGATTATACCATTTTTGGGGTATAATACAAGTAAAAAATATTTTAAGATAAACTTCGTTTAAAATAATAATAATAATAAAAGATAAATTCCTGAACGAAAATACGAACGAGCCAAATATAATGTACAAACATAAAAATTCAATGTCACGAGAACAGTGGGAAATTTCCATTAGAAGAATGTTCAGTGAGTGTTTAATGAAATGTATCTTAAAGTGTTTGGTTTTTGAGTTACTCATTAATGGCTATGTTGGTTAGACGATGTGATTGTGTCGCAAATAGATTTGATGACGTAGAAAATCTGCTTTAATTGTAGGTAGAAGTAATTTTTTTCGAGTGTCTGCACTTGTAAGTGTTATTTCTCGTACACAAATATTCAGTCACATCACAGGTTAAATTTCAGTGGGTTGAAATAATTTTGTGGTGAAGTAAGATGAATTTGATGTCGATTACGTATTTCCATTGTTAGCAAAACGTAAGTTTTAGCGAAACAATTCTCGGGCATTTCATAAATATGCACGTTGTGTGGTATGATCAGTTTACTTTAAAAAAAATAAGATAAAAATTGAAATAAGTCGGAAATTGTTATATTCTCTAGTCCACTTTTCAAAGGGATGTTTGCAAAAAAGAAAATGGCAAAATGTAATTGTGCTACTAATCGATTCAAATACTCAAACGCAAATCCTACCGCTAATTCTCAAAATTTTTTGGCATTCCCGAATCAACGAATCGGACATATCAAAAGCAGTCTTGCATACACGCGCCATCTATATTTGCCAAACATATCATTCCGTTTCATGATCCTCTAAACTTTTCGTCTGTAGAAAAATATTTGAACTTTGGATATGATTACTGTCTTGTAGTTTTGCCAGTCACATTGAAAATGAATAATTTAAAACTTCAATTGAACTCGAAAAAATTGCCTTCTGAATTTTATCGATATTTCATTTTGATCGGCCCTATTATATGTCTTGTTCCTCGTTAAGCACGTCAGTACATTTTGCATACAAAGTGCGTGATTTGGATTTCCGATTGGATAGTTTCGATTTATATGAAAATATTTTGCGCTTCGGACGCTAAGGTCATAAAATTTCAAGACGCATTGCATCGATTGTTTCGATACATAGTTGTTAATCAATAAATTATATTAAATATCTAATTTGATAATAAACTGATAAAACTATTTTGCTGAGGTTTTCAAGAATCCGTATGATATAATTCCCATATGTGATCTTACTGCAATATGAGAGTAAAGACGGCGGGTTAGTTATATATGGCTCTTGCTTTAATGGCGGATAAGTTTCGCATATAAATACGCCATACAACAATTATATGAAAAGGCAGAATTAATATTTAGATTGATTATATTGGAGAGGCGAAAGTCGTGTTTCTATGTAAACACGCATGTTATAATCGCATTATATTAAGTGCCTAACATATTTACAAGATTGACAATGAATTATATTATTCTATTATATGCGGGTATTGCAGCAGCCGATATAGTCTATTTTGCCTTGAGCATCTGGAGATACTAAAGTTACAATGATACCTAGAGTAGGGTTACCTTGATACGAAAAATATCACTTTGTATTTTTCTCATTTTATTTTAGGCGTTTCACATTTGATCGTGTATTTTTGATTTACACAAAAATGTAGTTTAAAACTCTCAGTCTGATGCTGTTATTGAACTCAAGTGGTTGGAATAAACTTGTATATATTTACCGCTTCTTCAATTTTTATAGGTCTAGTCAGTGAAAAATTATTTTGTGTTGGTACAACATTAATCCTAAAGTTTATTTATTTTTAAGGTTAAAATCCAGCTAAAATTGGATTGAAAAAATAGTGACTGTAACTTCATCCAGTAGACAAGACAGGGTGGTAACTTCAAACATCAGTAACGAAATATTCTGCGTCAGTAGGCCATTTGAACAAATAGATTGTTTGTTCTTGTAACGTTATGCTGGTACTCACTAATTAACAGCCACAATACAATTTCACAAAGCAATGCAATAAACAGTGATAAGCGCATTATTTGCGAAAAGTGCAAGAGACCGTGTCCGTAAGATATCGGTTTCGTTCATATATTCGTCTCAATTTTGTAGACAATTGGCACTTATTGGTTGTATGTGGTCTTCGCAGTCGGAGAAGTAAATCATCGGTATTTTCGAAGGTACTTTTTCACATACCAATTTTCAGATTTACTATACCGTTGAGTGCGTGTAGATTCCAGATAGGTATACAACCTTAGGAGTGATTTTTTCAGTGGCATAAATATAGAAAAATGGCAGAATAGACAAGGAAGATTTTTAGTGGAATTGTTTCAGATTTATTCAATGCTTATTCGATTTACTAACTCTAAGGTGTTATGCACCTTAAGAATTTATACCGAATAACTTCATCAAGGTCATGCCTTTGTCACCGATTGTGCAATTAGCGCCAACAGACCATAACGTGACAGATTTCGTAGTAACTAAAGCCTGAGTAATTTGGGGGAATTTAGCGCATTATGTCGACAGAATATGTCTCCGGTTTTCGGTAATAAATTCGATGATGTTCTGCTAGTAACTTTCCCCTAAAAGTATATACTGATTATTGTTAACTGAAATTTTAATGAACAATATATTTGATTCAAGTGTCTTGCTGCACAGTGAAACAAGTGTATTACTGTAACGGGGTCAGATGTCTTTAGACGAACATATACAGTCGCGTGAACAAAACGGCTAAAATCAATATTTTAAAGTAGTAACAGTCCACGGCTTCTACATTTTGTGACTAAACCTATTATTGATATTTTTAATTCGACAAATATTCCGACTTTTCGAAAATTAAAGCGTTCGTCAGCGTTCATGAATCAAGTCTACTAAGAATATTTCTCTAATGAATATTTCTCTAATAAAAACATTCTATTGCGCTCAGGTTACCATTGCTACGAATCACTGACAAATATGCACGCTCCAGACCTCTGGTTTACTTTCTAGATGAATGGTTCATTTGCTTTAAACAATATAAAAATTACAAGTTGGACGTGATTGATCATTTTTGATCACATACGAGCACAGATGAAAAGCGAGGACCATGTATAACTCCCACGTGCTAAAAACTCACATTACTTCTCCCTGAAACCCGACATTAAGGTTTTACGCAAGTAGGTATGCGGTTACAATGTAGTGTGATCTGGCATGACTGAAAATAAAACGAATATAAAGTCGATTTTGTGGTATAATCATTTCAGTAAACAAATTTTTCACACATGACTTATGAAAGCGAACCGATATCCCCGATAATCCTGCTACGCCAGGTAAGATCCAAATTAGTGTTTGTTGCATCCACATTTCTTGAGGTACACGCGTTCGTATATGGATCACTGTTAGAGTATAGCATCCAAGCGTGGCCCAAGTATATGTTTCCAACGTACCTAAAATATTTCTTCATAATCCCTAGATCATGTTCGATATAGTGATCAATTAATTTTCTCAAGTTGTTTGGAAAACAACTTTTCTCATGCTATTATTGTAGATTGATTGCTAAGATAGGCATTGACAGTACTGAATGAAATTTGGTTAAGATTTTTGCTGGATCAAGTTCGATATCCTGGCATAAATATTTTCGACATGTTGATGAATTTGATGCGTTGCGTAGCCCTAGGGATACGAACTGCGATAGAAGAAGTATGTATTACAGTCATAAGCTGAAATCTTTATGTAACGTACATGGACGATATTGGTTTTAATCTTGCATATTATCAAATTAAACAAAGATTTCGTAATGCAAATATCATATCATAGACGCCGGTTGTTGTGTAATTGCCAAGAGACTGATAGTATACAGTGACAGTGTGATGGAAACGTGCTTTGCCAACAGACATTTTATATATAAGTTTTTGAGCAGATAAAATTAATTCTTACAGATTCGGTATGAAAGACGATAGCGACTAATAAATAGTTATTCCATAAAATAATATTCGGCAGGCAATAGTTTTTTTAGGGCAAGAAATTATGATATTGAATACAATTCTCCAATGAAAATTTTATTTTATGCAACAATTCTCTTACATAGTATTGTTGTGATATAAATTCTCACGTAAAGAATCTGCCTGGTTAACCCTTTGTGCGTTTATTTGGAAGCTTATCTGTGCTAAACATCAGGGTATTATGCTCCTGACGTCAATTTGAATGATATCATAGCCACAAATTAATTTTCGTAGCATACTCTGCTAATTAAACTGGAAGGAACTCGGGTAAAACCTATAAGCAAAACAGACGGTGGGAGCAAAGACATTTAGTAAAACCAAAAACAATGATTCACTACTTTCTTGTGCCAAAACAGAAACATTATCGCCAGTGAAAATCGACTCCAATTTTTCTCCTTACCAGCTGCTTCTGTACAGAGAAGGAACGACATTTTTTTATATATTCAACAGTTTTATTTTCTCAGGCTGATGTATCGTAAATCTCAAGCTATAGAATATAAAAAATGATTACTGAGATTTTAGTAATATTAGCAATAACGATTATCGTAAAAGTACTACGCACCAAACATGAGAGAGTTTTAGGAATATACAGTCAACCAGGTAATTATGGGATAAATATTCATGTTTATTAACAATAAATAAACGAAGTACATGATAAGAATTGGTTTCGTTTAGATCAAGGGTGATTTTATATTTGGCATATGTCCAGATGATTCTAAACTAAAGTCTCGATAATTTTCAAGGCTGACCTTAAAGAAAAACACGGAATAAACTATGTAAACTCTCCGTGGAAATGGCGGCAAGGACGTCGAAAAAGATTGGTTGCCCGATGAAGTATTTATTATACAGTACTAGTTATTATACTAGTACACTGTTATTAGTTGTAAAACCGTATTTATTTTTAATATTATTTCCATTATTGTCATTCAGGTCCATTTTATTGGATAAAATGGATCTGTTTCTATTTGTTATACCGATGGAGAACGAGTAGAATATCAAAACAAGACGCTCAATATGATGATGGATCTGATTTGAGATACCTGGAAGATGACAACGAATTGACTAAAAATGCTTCATCGGAAATTGATGTTGGAGTTGGAAAACACCAGAATCTGGGACAAAATCGCATGGAAAGAACACAACCGGTTGCGGATTCTCCCTTTGTAAATGTTTTTATGGTTTGCCAACGCGTAATTAAGTTTCGGCTGATTCAAATAATGTTGAACATATGTTAGTCCTAGATATTTACTGACTTTTTTTCATTGTTTTCTATTGTCTTCAGATGTAATGCATCAGGACAAAAAATGTGCAAAACTAGTATATTGATGATGAGAATTGCAAAAAATTTGAATTCTATTGATCTGAGTATTAGGCTGATGTACACCTCCTGATTGATTACTAATTTGTCTTTTTTAAAACCTTACCTTTTACCTGAATAGTCACCGTTCCCACCAAATTCAATGTAATGTATGTCATATAAATAAGCAGCTGGGAACGAAATCTTCACTCAATGTGCAGCAATTGTTTCGGTGTCGGGTCACAGCTATCACAACCTATGTGTTTATTATGAAAACAAGAATAATAATATCGATGTATCGGTTCAATTGCTAGGCAATCGACGCAGTTTATTTCAATGCATATGAAGACAATGTAAACTCTGTGGTAGATGGTGTTACCGTTGTTATGGGATTTACCATGCGTTACCGGAACTACGCTGAAATTTTGTTTCTCGTCAACATTCCTGGAGTCGGATTACTACAGGTACTTATACACATTTCCATCGCGGATATTTTGGCAATTCAGTATATATGACAGTTAATATTATACTTGACATTAAGAGCAACATACTTTGTATTCGCCATCGGATAATTATTTCAAGCGTGATAGAAATGGGGAATCCTGGTTCCCCTGTTTAGAATTTTCAACATATCTTCACTTGAAATCAGTTAAGTTTTTCTTTGTCTACTCACATCATCGTATTGTCAGTGGGTTCAAAAGAAGCTTATATTAAGTCAGTGGTCAACTCTACTCTAATATATTTTCTCATGGGCGAGTGTGCTCAATTTTAATTGGAGCTAATTTACACCAAAAAGTTCAATCACATCAACTTTTCTCCGACATAAACTGAATTTTTTCACACGTTCCCCAAATACGATGAGCACTCATTCAAATTCACAAAATCATTATGTGATGTAAAAATTTCAATGCAAGAAATAATGCTCAAAGGGACAGTATGGACTGATTCAACTGCATTATTCGATAAATATGTAATATTCATTTGTCAATGTGTGAACGGCGTCCGATAGGGTTTTGCCTAAGTGGGTGAATGTAAAATTCCTTTTTGAAGCCAAGGACCGTATCATAACATGAAACTAAGTAACCATGTTTATATATTCTTTCAGCACCCAAGTCATCCTGATAGAATTATATGTGATGCTTCGTCTGATGATTATGCCTATCATGGCCAAGGAATTTCAATCGAGATGTTGGAACCAATGCGAAGATGGAAGATAAAATACAATGGCTTTATGAGGTCAGATATATGTTTACTAAATGCTACTTTCATTAAATATATTCCACAACAATATTGGGCACAAATTAACATGTTGTCTCGCTAAATTGTTATTTATGGTAGTGCTTATGTTATTGCTTTTAAGAGGTTTTTTTTAAGGTTTGTTTCCTTCAACTGCTCAACCAATCGCTTTTAAAATTTCTCTAAGTTTTTGTTCTATTGATTACAGGGTTGTAGATTACAGCAATAATATGTATTTTACGTTACCGGTAAAACATTCTGTCCATTTGTGCGTCGCTATCGCTCTTTTATTTTTTTTATGGCAATCATTTGATGTCAAGCCGATTAATGCAATATATTGTTTATCGTCAGATTAAACTTTGGAACTTAGAAAAATAATTGTTCGGGTTAGAGCCAGAATTACTCAGCTTGGGTGGGGTTTGGGCTTGAAAAGACTCAGTCGCTTACAACTTAAATCATCATTGTATAACTGTCATTGAAAGCATAGCCACGTCGAATCTATTTTTTGCAAAAGTGTCACAAAGCAAATAATCACATTTTGATTTGTTTCTTTTTAATCGTAATTGTTTTAATTCATTCTATATAATCTGAAATATGCTGAATCACAGCCGTGCCTCTATGCACACAATTATATTTCAATTTATACCATTAACTAGGGCTTTTTAGAGCCATAAATCCACTTGAATTACCAATGATCACACGGTATCTGTTTAAACTCCTCCATCGTTGTTTAAATAGATATAAAAGTGTCACTAGCCCAAATAGTAATCGGACAATCAAAGGGAAAGTTTCTAGAAAACCAAATTTCAAATTTACGCTAAATTTTAATGGCAGGTCAATATACGCTCAACGACAGGGGTCATTCAAATAGCGATTGGGACGATCGCGTTACTATATTGATCATCCCTACACCTAACTAAATTGATGAAATTTTTGAGTGTAGTACAGTACAGCAAATCAGAAATCCTTTCTAGAGAATGTTATTATTCTAAGAAGTAACACTTTTTGTTTATTTTTGGATTTCTTCAACAAAACTTACAAAACTATCATCAAAAGCAACATTGCCCAAACATTTTAAATAATTCAAACTAATTTCAGATTGCGGAATTCTGAAGAACACGATGCAGATGAAAGTACAGATCAATCGGGAAGATTAATTCACGTCAAGTTTTCTTTAATGTGAGACTTCGTTCAATCTTCTTCTAAATTGTCGCAGAAAGCGTATTATTTGACCTTCAACTGCGGCTGTATCGAAACTTTATTAATGACAAAATGTATATATTCTTTGAGTAAATAATGATGGAAATACCAGCTATACGTGATCCCGCTATAATGATTTCTCGATTACAATTAAGGCTCTTACCTGACTACCAGGTTCGACCTTGACACTATATTACTTCAAATAAATCAACATATATTATAACAGAAATAGAACTTCGATTGATCTTGTGTCGATCTCAAATTATATACCACAAACAATGTAATATAAAAATATAATTAATTAAATCATTATATGATATACATTATTAAATTTAATTGTTTGAATAACTTGAAATTCGAAAAAATATTCCATGCGTTCGTTATTTTATCATTTCTCGCAAAATCCCTCCATGCTTGATAAACTCCCAAATGGGCGGAGAAAGCATCATACAAAAATGAAGAAATATGCTTTAAACCCTAATACGTAGTAAAACTTAAAACTGATGCGTGGTATTAGATTTGCTCAGTTATTGCATTGATTTTTGAAATCATTAAGGATATTTTAGATTGAAATTTCTACCCACAGATTGGTAATCTCCTAGGTACAGCGCTATACTAACTGCTATAGCACTTTAATGTGCTATCAAAATTAATAAAAGCTACTCGTTGTTTATGCAATAATATATAAAAAAAATATTATTTTCCCTACTTATGGACTAAAAAGAGTTATGGACATTGTTCGTACGAGCGTTTTTTATACAAAAGCCAAAATGTTCTAATACAGATGGAGATCCTATTCACCAGTCATCGAATTTGACACCGACATTAGCGCATCGTGTATGGCGAACGCATTTGCATCTGAAGAATGGAGCCGAGAGTTCTTCAATAATATTCAAAAGTAAGCGATTGTTGCCGGTATTCACGGGATATTTTACCCGGTAGTATTAATGGTAGTAGCCGAGTAAATATTATCCCTTAGAGCCACAAAGGCATGTATTTCAATACGTGTAAAACTGTAACGTTAGTTTAAGGTATGAATAGAAGAAGATTCGAATTTCAAAGGAAAGAATTGCAAAGTTTCAAATTTACTTGATAACGATTTTTGTAGACAAAACATTTTATCAACAATTTTAATTTCAGATATCATTCTCATCAGACGCACTATGAGCAATGGGGACAAATGAGAGGTCTCATCCAAGTTGAGGAGGAGGAACCAAGAGAGGTTCTTCTGAGAGGTCTGCGCGATCACTCGTTCAGTAAGAGAGACTGGAGGCATTTTCACAGATATATTATATTTATGATACATTTGGATGATGGAACAAGCATCAATGCAACTTGCATTTGCATGGACGTTACAATATCGAGGTAGGTGTAAATAAATATATAAATATCCGTATGTTGGATCAGTCAATTTTGCAGCGAATAAAAAATTAAGAATGAAAACGAGACAAAATCGTGCGATAAGCGAACAATACTTCGCGACATCGTGGTACGTTATGCACGTGTTATATTGCTATTTTGGCATTTCCAAAAGCGTGGGCAAATAGTAACCTTTGCGAAAACGGCAAATAACTCCAAATGCGAAAGTATTGGTCGTATGTTTGTAGCGGCTTATAGACGGTGCGGCCCACGGACTTTTCGGTCAACACAGGCTCGAGTGCGCAATATTTTTTTTTATTCGAAGTGACGTAGTATTTCGGTATTTTAAATAATGTAATTAGAGTCAAACTTTCCAACGAACACAAAACAACCCAATCTTTCATTTTTGGATATCCATAAATTAAATAACCAAATAATTCTAGATTAACATTGGGATATATCATTCATCCAAATCTTCGCAAGGAAAGTGTCACAAACGTTGATCTGGAATTGTGGAAACATGGCGAAGACGGCTCTATTCCGGGCGAAATTACTTTCAAATTTAAAGCAGGTAAGTAGCACATTTATAACCTGGTAATTATACTTTTATCTTCATGGTTCCGGTAAGATAAATCTCGTATATAAGTCTTTAATTAAGAATCGAATGTACCGAATATCTAAAAAATTATGATTGTTGGCGTGATGAATAGAACAGTTTAACTAATAAATATAGTCTGTGATCAAAATGGTATTATTGAAAGATTTAGATTAAATCAAATCAATAGAGAATAAACAGTGTGTAGGGAGCGTTTGCTAGAATCGCGCTGTTTCCATACGGTATTTACCTCAGGTAATCGCTTTTCCTATTTAGTCTGGTTGCTAGGGAAATCGTTAATTTTATCTGGTAAAATCAAATAGCAATATTTATCCTAGGAAATCGTCAATATTCTGTCTTATGTCAAATAAGGAAAAAAACAAAATATTACTGCGGTTTCGAATGGGAAGGCAGGGTTCATGAAACGCTTGCAGACTATCACGTCAATGGAGTTAAAGGACATGGTATAGCTGAATTCTACTACAGGTATATAAATCTTATGTTTGATATAATGAAGTCATATACACACAAGAATAAGATAAGAAGACATTGCTCAACGCAGGCCAATATGTAATAGATATATAATGGAAGTTGCGTTTGGAAGTATGGATTTTCTTCAACTGGTAATCACCTCCTAATTTATGCAAAAAATGACAATTTTTTTTAACTGTTTCGTTACAGGCACAACGGGGATAAACGTTCCATGGCCGATTGCCCTAAGTCAACTGCAAAACGTTATGACGTTTCCGATGAAGATAATCGGAAGTTGAACGATCTAACTCTTTTGAAGTTTGAAGACAGTTTGTGCGCCAGGGATTCATTAGTTGGAGGAAAAGGAACCCAACTTGCAATATTGACACAATGGTCTTGTGAGTCCGAAAAGGTATTACATGATGTGTTAAGTAACTGTGCCCATAAATCTAATTTTGAATCGGATTATCACCACCATAATTCGATTTGGGTTTCGTGATGAAGGGCATAACACGCATTTTTCAGCTCATGAAAGTTCAATTTTAGGCATTCTTTATACTGGGTCAACGGCGTCGTTCAGACTACTTATTCCAATTCAAAATGATAAAGAAGTGCACGGCTGTAGTTGTGGGTACATTCGAATTATGACGTTGCGCTGAAAAAAGAACACTGCGATTCCTCTGATATGTCTGAAAAATAAATACCTCGTTATATTTGTTTTGCTGGTTACAGTAATTTTCTATCGCCTAACCTGTAAAATATATCAATCTATAAGACGCTTTTGAAATCAAAAAGGTATCCCGACTGTATTCTATTTCAGTATTTAAATTTTATTCATTTTATTTTTATTTTTTGTTTCAAGTTTATAGTGCCACGAGGATTTTGCGTTACGACATCTGCATATAAAAGACATGTCCAGGTGGATATTCAGTTTGTTCAATGATATATGAACTCTAAATATTTAAACTAATTTTGGTATTCCAATTCACATTTAGGCAAACAAAAGCATACAAGCTCAACTGAATGAGCTAGACAAAATATCATCCCACTCGGACAAAATGATCAAAGATTTTTGCGAGAGGTAATTTGTTGCATGATTTTTATATTCAAGTAATTTGTAGCAGTGATAAGTCTTATAATGTTCTAATATATCTAAAATCATAACGTTTACTTCTCTGTGTAATGATATACATTTTATTTGTTTCAGAATTCTTGAATTATTTGAAAAATCAGACATGGATCAATCGTTATCTGAAGCAATTGAAATTTACTACAGAGGTTTAGACGAAAATATGAAAGTACCGGTAAATATATTTGCCCTCATGATTTAAGTTAATTTTAATATTGTGCGACACATTTGGAAATATTTAAGACACACGCTTCGATGTGATATTCAAACGGCTGGTATTTCAAGCCCTTGTAATTAGAACATCTGAATTTTTAGAATTCAAATGCAAAAGCTATAAATACTACAAAGTTCGAACTCACAGAGAGGAGCGCAAATCTGAACTTTTACTTTGTCGTTCCAGGTTGCAGTTCGTTCCTCGGCTGTTGGAGAAGATTCTGCAGATCTATCTGCTGCTGGACAGTTAGATACATTTCTTGGAGTCAGTGGTCTTCAGGAGGTGAGTCTTGTGAGCTAATAATAATGAATTCAACTTTTTTTGTCTGGTATTTGATGTTTCAATATTTTTACAGGTTTTAAAAGCTTTGAAAAAATGCTGGGCATGCCAATACTCCTACAGCGCTCTCCAATACCGGAGGTAATAACGACATTATTGTTTTGACTTTTTCTTAAAATATCGACTGAAAATGACTTTTACTTTCCGGTATTGATTTTAAATATTTTAAACATCATAGCCAGATCTTCAACACTTTATGTCAAAACGATCAGGAAAATAGCCCAGAGATGATGAATTCCACGTAAACTAATTTGGGATAGCACCCTTCAGTGGACTCGTTTGACTTTGATTTCGCAATCTTAACTCTTGCTATTTCAGAGTTTTTATTCGACAAAGCATTGACTTTAGTTTTGCTTTTTATATTCCGCACAGAATATATAATTTCTTCATTTTGTTTACTTCAGTTTTTGTATCCATTTGGGTATAATTACCAAGATTCATCCTTTATTTATTCTGTTGGATTTATACAATTATGCAATTATGAACAACACCCGGAGTTTTCATAAAACAATAGTGCAAAATTGCACACCTATTATATGTCTAAAAAATACATGATGTTTGAATAGTTAGAATATGATTTTTTTTCAATCACATTTATATTTTTTCCAAATCGTAGGCAACATGGACAACTTGTTCTATCAACAATGGGCGTCGTAATTCAGGTAATGGCTGAAAAGCCACAAGTATCCGGAGTGTTGTTCACTCAACATCCAGTGACCGGGAATCCTGCTCATATCTTGATCAACTCAAATTATGGACTTGGCGAGGTAAAACAACTAGTAACACGAAAAGTTACTACTTATAATTGTATATATTCTTTTTGTAATATTTGCTATGGATTGCTATGCAACCAAGTATCTTCTGTGCTTTTGTGTATTTACTGAAATACTCCTAATTTAATATTTCTTATCATATAACTAAAATACTTCAATATTCAATAGACGGTTGTGTCTGGAAGTGCCGAACCCGACACTATTGTCGTCTTTAACTCTCCGAATAACAATCCTGAAATTATATCGAAAAAAGTTGGAAGCAAAGCTGAAAAGATGGTTGTCAAAGGTAACACAGATTTGGTTTAGAAATAAGTCAATTTGACAGTACAGTGAATATCGAACTATAATTTAACAATTGCAATTTGTTTTTCGATTTGAGCTATGACGTTTTGTGTATATTTATAGATTCCGGCGATGTGGAAACATTGGAGTTGTCGCCAGAAGAATCAAATAAACTGAGTTTGTCTGACAAACAAATTTTTCAGCTTGTAGATATCGGAAAAATTATTCAAGCAAATTTTGCTTCTCCGAGAGATATTGAATGGGCTATTTCAGCTGAAGGAAAAGTAATAACTTACTTATGATAAATATTGTATCATTGCAGATGCGGCCACATTTTTCACAAGTTCCTTATTTTCAGTGAATATAAACTGATTACGGAACTTATACGATAATTTCTTTAAACTGAATTTAGATAAATTTGTTGCAAGCCAGACCTATCACCAATGATCCAACTGAAACAGAATTCGAACTTCAACATGAGTTTGACAGCGCATTTTCAAGTAAAAATTACATGTTAACCACAGCAAACATTGGGTGAGCTCGAAAAGTTTATTTTTGGTGAACTCTTTAATTCAACTCTGGGCCGAAACCCAGGCCCACGGGCCACATGTGGTATCATTATATGTGACCCGCGTCACATTTGCTTGTATAGGTAACAAGGTAACCAAAAATCGCTTATGGCGCTGTTTCATCATCAAAACAACTAGAACTGAAAAATGCTGCAAGATGTGTCCATGTACATTTTTGTTTTATATTGTGCTGTTTATTCATTCCTAGCACTAAAGTGGCCCGCGAACAATACAAATATAACATTGTGGCCCAGATGCCGTCAACCTTGTTCAACCCATATACACATGAGCCCCATTGTCTTTATGTCGCCATTTCGAATGGTTTATGGATTAAAATATGGTAATTGTCAGCTTGTGCATGTCACATCCCTTTGTCAAAAAACAATATTTATTTAATTTAAATAACCTGTAAAAGCTTATGGTATGGCTATATAGTTCTATATCCTATTTTTATTATCGTGACATGCTTGATTTATTGTTCCAGCGAAATGATGACGGGAGCCGTTACTCCTCTCACTGGCTCTGTATTTTTCCGGGGAATCGAATATGCAACCCAGGTATGATCATGAGTGATCACTAGAGATACAGATCTTAACTACTTACTGCCCCTCTCTCACAGCTATTGTGTTAATCATTAGTGGATCCGTATGCACTGTCAGCGCGATATTGTAGGAAGAATCGAAACGGCTTTAATCGATCAAAAATGTTGGTCATGCAAAACTATACAAAATATAATTTGTGAAAGTACGATGCAAGACTTCTGAGCCTCTTAATACGGGTATAAACAATTCTTATGTACAAATTCACCAAATCCGATCATCTTAAAATACCGGATTATAATTTCGTATGTTACGATGAATTGTTCGAGTTAGTTGGGTCATGCTGATAACGAATAAATTTACAAATACTTTAAACTGCCTTCTCAGCATTTCGTTCTAAAGTACTTGCAGTAATCAGATTCCAGATTTGCAGTTGTTAGCGACGTGTTTTGTGATCTAAGAATTATATACGATTTATGTCAGGAATCAGTTTCCGAACATATTAATAATATTGTTTTTCCAAAATTCACGCCTAGCTTCGAGTAATTTGCTATAATAATTTCAACACCAAAATACTATGAATTTACAGGATTTCTTTGACAAGGGAAGTCCACGAAATCTTTTCAACAGGAATGATGTTTACATGTCCCAGTCGTTTGGACATTTGTTTATGAATTACACGGTAATAAGCTGATATTATTATATTTTGCCTGGTGGTAGCTAATATATATATTAAAATTAAGTAACAATTTCACAATTGTATGTCGAATTTTGAAGATAAAAATGTGATATGTATATCATGAATATTAAAAAATGCCAACTCCGTTTGGGATTGTCAAGATAATAAAACTTAATTTTAACATATTTTTTTTATTTAATATATAAGGAAATGACGCGATTACATTCAAAGACCGTGTTTGGATCTCAGAAGGAATCTATTGATCTTGTTTTATTCGGTTCTGTCTGTGAAAAACTAAGCACAGAAGATTCAGGGAAATATCACGACAACTGTCACTCTCTTCCGGGGCGTGTTTGGAATGCCATCAGATTTGGAAAGGTATGACGTACGCGCAAGATCGTAGCAGGTTGGAATTTTTGAGCGGATGGCAAATTTTTAGTACAATGACGTAAAACGACGCTCACTCGTGTCTTTTGCTCCGAAAAGGGACAGATAAAAATAGCTACTCTTATCTAACAATATCTTGAGGAATCGCTCTACAGACGTACTTCGCTGTCAAAGTTATCCAAGGCATTTAAGCGTGCATTTTCATCTATCTTGTTTGGGTCATTTCGTGAAAGAATTATCGATAGCAAGCCAGAAAACGTCCAGTTTTCAGTAAATCGTTCAAGAATAGAGAAAAATGGTGTTGAAAAGGGCGTATGAATTTATGTCTTACTGCAAATGCCGCAAAATTGCATTTAAGAAAAAATGCTGGAAATTTTGGAGGGGGCAGGGCCTAATACGGAGTGTTTACATTATTTATATTTAGAGCATGAATGACGCAACAAAAGAATTTGTCAAATTAGTCGAAGAAGTGGAAAATTTACGACTGGAGGGGGAAAACAGCAAGGATCTATACAAGTAAAAGCAAACTTTTGTGTTCTATATACATTTATCAAAGATTGTAGTACTCGCTTGTATGAAAAATATCACTATTTTTTTTATGTCAATTTATACTTTATACAATTCTTGTGCGTTAACTAGCCCACGTTACTTATGTATTTCTAGTTGCCCAATATCCCAATCGCAAAAATATGCAACTTTGTTAACATAAAGATTGCAAACAAACCATTTTTCCATTACGCTACTAAGTCTATATAACATTATGATGGGACATCACGCAGACTGCCGCGAGACTTAACATGGATTTAGTAATATACTTTTGACTTGTAAATTTACAAAACGATCGCTATAAATTCGTAAAAAACCTAAACCTTTCATAAATTTTTGTTTTTATCAGAGTCATTTCAGAAAACCTGACACCATACTACGTAGAAGGTTGGATAAAGTATCTAATGTATGCAGCAGCATCTGGAGTCTCTAGCTCTGTTTTCATGAGAGTACTTTCCGGAGGAAAACTGAGTGAGTTATATTATATTTAAATTAGCTAGTATTATCATTCTTTGTCACGATTATGTAAATTTTTTTATCTCATTTTTATTCAACTGCGCTTCCATTATTTGTTCATCTTGTTTTTGCAATCGTTTTATTACAAATATGATATATTAACAGAATGGGAAATCGAACATTTCTCCGATCTCGCAGTAATCTTATCTTCTTGTGAAAATGTTGTGTCCGCGGATGCTCCATGTTTGCTCAGGAAAACTGCGAAACATATCTTTGAAAGTGGTGAAAAAGACACGTTTATCGACATGTCACCAAAGGTAATGAATGCATCATGTTCTATGTATTTTTGTTTCTATACTGATAAAAACGCAATTGTTTCAAAGACTATGACATAAACAACACAAGAATGACTAACTTCTAAACTTAACGAAATTTTTTTGTACATTATTAAAATACCAAAAATTCTTGATTTTTGACAGGATGCTATTGATTGGTTAATAAAATCTAAAAGTGAAGCAGGAGATTCGTTTCGATTCTTTCTGAAAAATTGTGGACATCGATGCATACGAGAAGCGGAATTTCGAGAAAAATCTTGGGCTGATGATCCCGTAAAGCTTGGAATTTCGTTACAGGTAGGACGTTCAAAATTTTCTATTGACATTCTTGGTCGGTCAAGATTTTCTCAATTTTCCCAAACTCCTAATTTGTCACCTGCATTCATCTTTGTAATGGCGGAGTTGACAAATTGTAAAAATTGTCGTTTGTTCTGATACTAGTGTTATGGTAAAGCACCATATTTTAAATTTCCACAATACTGTTAAACGGTCACGTTTTTCTCTGTTTTGACATTAATGAATATATACAGAAATATTTAAGTTTAGTTTGGATACTAAAACTATTTTTATTCCAGACGGCCGTGAAAAATTATGTTACTGAACCTGATAAGCATTACATGTCAACGGAAGAAGTAATTAAAAAGCTGAGAACGCCAGTTTCGTCATTTGTGAGGTAACGATTTCATTAAATCAATTAACAAATTTCCCAACGTATTGGTTTCTATAAAATCAAATCATACTATTAAATGTAAGTGTTTTATACTTTTATATATATATAATTTTCTTCTATGTTAAGATTTCTCTTGAAGTGGGCTATACCAAGAGCTAGAAAGTCAGTTGGTGGTCGCGAATGGGGGAAATCCAAGGCTGTGGATATTTGCGACAGGTTTAAGAAAGCATATTGGACCCTTTCTAGTATGATGGAAAAGGAGGTAAGGCATTATATAAAAAAAGGATTGTTTACTTGATTGCAATAGAACTGCTTCTATCATATCACATTTTCATTCCCATCTTGTTCCAATAAAATTGACTCTATGGCAATATTTCTAAAATCAAACATTTTTTTATGTTTCTAATTCGTGAACATGACGTTAAAAAGGCCGGCTCGCTTAAACAAAACGTAGGGTTTTCGAAGGTTCAACTGAAGATATTCTTTTAAATTATCTCTTAGGAATATTTACCCGACGGTGACTTGATGTTTTTTTTAACACACGGAGAAATTGGGAAACTGTTGAGAACAAGATCAGCTCAGTTAGTTACCAGGTTGGAGTCAATATTATTTTATACGAAATTTATAAATTCGTTTAATTATTTTATAGATATACAAAGAAATCAATACCAATAGGACGTTAACTTCGTTTTTCACTAAAGTTTTTTTTTATAGGGCTCTTAGGCGCCGAAGGGCACATGGCCATGCTCAAGAGCTCCTGTTTGATGACTTTTCCGAAAGGATTCCAATTTCTCCTATTTCGCAAGATAACGATATAGTTGAAGAGGAGAGAAATGGACTTAAGCTTACGGGGTTTCCTGTTAGTCACGGTGTGGTCAAGGGAACCGCAAGAGTGGCTTTATCTTTGGAACATGCGAATCAAATAAAGGTGGGCAATAATATTTCTTTTTACCGATAATTCTTAAAATCAATTTTTCTACACTTGTATATCCTGGTTATCCGAAAACTCATCAAAGTATGATTATAGTTAATTATTATCTAGATTCTAGATTATCATTTTAATGAGTCAAACAACACATATTTTAACAAAATTTTGAGTTTGTTAGGTGGCGTTGTCCTCTAACCTCCATACGTTTTTTATTTTATTATATATTAAGAAAACAAACTTCTAAATTACAAATTATATGCTATCAATTTTGTAAATATGCAATAAATAATAATATGTGCTTGTATTGGTAATATTCCTGCTTATTACCGCCTACGAATATCCAATTTATAATTTCAAATGTCCATTTATACTCTAAAAGGTCTTGAGTCTTCATTAACATAACATTTTTTCTACCTACAGCAAGGTGATATTCTGATTGTGAGGACAACAGATGTTGGATGGAGTCCGTATTTTCCGTTGATATCAGGATTAGTGACAGAAATCGGAGGTTTGATATCACATGGCGCTGTCGTCGCCAGAGAATACGGACTGCCGTGTGTTGTCAGTGCAAAAAAAGCAACAATTCTTTTCAAAACCGGTACCATCTTTTATACTCAAATTATAACATAAACAGTGCCATTTAAATTTAATGCTCGGGATATAATGCGGTTCCAGGCGAAGAGAAATTTTCACATTCTATTTCTGCTATAAATACATATATATACGAAAAAAGCCTAAATATTTTAATTGAAAAAACTATGTAAAATCAACTTGTTTACAAGCTGTCGGATTTTACATGGTCGATGATCCCGGAAAACAAGTAAATGGTATACATGGGTACTTTTCGAGTAAAATAATAATGATATTGGCTAATCGAGTATACAATAAAAAATGGAATTAAACTACTTAAAGGTTTACTACCGTAAAAAAATATACTAATGTGGCGATTTATATTATTTATAAGAATAATTTCTGCATTAAACCACATGCGGGGTATATATATTTGAGCAGAAATAAACATCCAATAACGAAAAATTAAAGCATTTATTATATTACCCAAATAAGTGCTTTTGATGAAAATACTGTTTTTGTTTTTAGGAGATTATATCATGATCGACGGCGGGAAAGGAATCATTCAGAAATTGTCTTCGGAATAATATTTTATTTTTAACAACGTCTATATGAGAAATTCAACCTCAATCCGTGATTTTTAATGACCTTGTATTTTGATTACCGTTTTGATGCAATTTTGCCTTATACTCCACTGTCTCTTATTTGATAATTGTACTTTTATCAGCAATCGTGTGATATCAATAATTTTCTGTTATATATAGAATAAATAAATATAAGTTTCATAACTGACAACAACGTCTCTGTATAGTATATTTATACGGCGTCCTACCTAATATTAACATATGGGATATCAGTATTTCGTTTGTTAAAAACACACCTCAATCGATGTGGATTGCATAGGCGGATTCTTTGTAAAAAGGCACAAAACACGCCAGACATACTTAAAACAGCTTTGGAAAATGAGGATTACGGGTAACTAACTGCACCAGTGTTATATTTGGTTCATCAACTTTTGGTAGTATTATAGAAGAAATTCCGGAAGGGGTATAATCATCATTCATGATAAAATACTGTTTATATATATATATTGGACAACTTCAATCTAGACCAGGGATGTCAAACTCGTGGCCCCGGAGAACTTCCAGTGCGGCCCTAGAACGCTTAACAATAATTGTAATAGTATTTTGGAAGTTTTTGGACACGTAGTGGACATAACGATCGTTTCAATATTATGTTGTTGTTGTTCTTGTTCTTGTTGTTCTTTGACACGTTTTTAAAAAGTCGCTTTTCTCTTCGAATACTGGACCAATTGCTTTGAAATTTTCAGTGGTTGAAGATTAATTTTTTCGCTAGAAGGCTATTACTTTTGTTTATTCTTAAATTTTATATGAATCCTATGAGATATGATATTTCATACAAAATTTCGCGGTATTTATTTTTACTCATGGGAACACTGTTTTACACTTATTTCAAGCGGTTTCGCGATCGATTGTCTTGCTCAGTACTACAGCTACTGTAGGTCGGTACTGGTAAGTTGCCATACCGGTGCCGTAACGCAGTGAAATTGACTTATTCCTTCCGCGGTATTACTAATGCTGCAATGCAAGTTTTATAGCCTATCGTATGCGGAACGGAATATCAGACCTACAGGTTCGGTACCAGTACTGGTAGCTCAGTACGTAAGTACGATACTGGTACTGGTGCCGGTACCGGTGTCTTACCACAATGAAATTACCGTAACTTATTCTTTCACGGTCCTACCAGTGCAGTAATGCAAGCGTTGTAGCACTTGTAGCCTACTATATTTGTTTATTTTGATGAGAGTCTACTGGAAACAACATAAAATTTGAAAATGAAGAATTGTTCTGTGATCAATTATCTGTCCTAAAGTGTAAATAACATAAAATTTGCAAGGGAACAACTGTTCTGTGATCAATTACCGTATATGGCCTACAGTGTACAGGTAAGATGCTGGCTGACTGCTAACCGGTACTGGTAGCTCAGTACGTAAGTACGATATTGGTACTGGTGCCGGTACCGGTGTCTTACCACAATGAAATTACCGTAACTTATTCTTTCACGGTCCTACCAGTGCAGTAATGCAAGCGTTGTAGCACTTGTAGCCTACTATATTTGTTTATTTTGATGAGAGTCTACTGGAAACAACATAAAATTTGAAAGGGAAGAATTGTTCTGTGATCAATTATCTGTCCTAAAGTGTAAACAACATAAAATTTGCAAGGGAACAACTGTTCTGTGATCAATTACCGTATATGGCCTACAGTGTACAGGTAAGATGCTGCCTGACTGCTAACTCAGTACCGCTTGACACGTTTTTAAAAAGTCGCTTTTCTCTTCGAATACTGGACCAATTGCTTTGAAATTTTTAGTGGTTAAAGATAAAAATTTTCTCCAGAAGACTATTACTTCTTTTTTCGCTATGACGTCATCAAAATTATGTGACTCTACGTGTCCATATATTTGAGCATAGCTATCTTGTTTTTTATCTAAATGTAATATATTTTTCAAACCTTTGAAAGTGAAATTGATTATTTACACAGAAAACAATTTACTGAAAGTAGTTTTGGAATATTAATTTTTTTTTGTCCCCATTTTGACCCAATTAGGAATACACAACAAGCTAGCCAAAGAATACTTGAATAAAACACTTGAGTGATTGAATTAAACGCAAAGTACATGAAGAAGGTGGCATTTTCGAAGAAAATGGGAGTTGCAATATTTCTGCATTTCACAAAATTATGAAGCACATTGTTTAATTTGTCATATTTCCATCAATACAATGAAAAAACACAATAAGCTCAGCAGTCAATATGACAAATTCGAAGACCAACTTCAATTTCAACCAAAATTTCCATGTGTTTGTATATTAATATAATTATACAACGACTTAGTTACTAAAAATCAATATCAATAATAATTCAAGCAATCCTATGCCACGCAATGTGGTGCGAAATGTCTTGTCGAAAAAATCTGTCATTTGTTTTTTTACTGATCTATACATGCAATGAGTAACTTTTTTGCATTACTGGAATTAATTAAACATTCGCAAAGATCCAGATTAACCCATGATCAAGTGACCTCGTTAGTTAGAGTTGGTACTATAAAATCATTTCAGCCTGGCCTTAGTATGCTGGTGACACAAAAAAGATGCCAAACGTCAGAACAAATGTAATTAAAAAAACATTGAGTATATACTGTAGTATTTTTGTTAATTTTAGGTTCATATATTTAGATTAAGTAATTTTTAGTGTATGTATTATTTTTTCCTTATCCAAAGCTTGTTCAAAAATGATTTTGATGGTTGTACATGGAATTTTATGATTTTTTATAATAAATACAGTAACTTGCAAATGTTGCAATAATAGTGGAATGCAAATATTAATATGTAATTGCATTTGAAATTGAAGAAAATAATAAAACTTAATCCAACTGTTTAGTTGCATCACAACATAGGTCACAAACTAAAACTATCTTAAAAATATCTTTCAAGTATACATTATCAAAAACTGTTTGCGGCCCTTTTTACAATTTCCAAAATGCAATGCGGCTCTCGAAAACCCATGAGTTTGACACCACTGATCTATTCTAGAGGATTCAAGCATAGCTTTGGGAAAGAATATCACTTCATTTAAATTGAAAAAAAACCTCGCTATATTAAATACAAAATCGTTGCTATCATAAAGGTAAACCAATTCAGCCACTCGAAATATATTGGCCTTCACAAAGCAATGGAGGCAAAATTGAGAGTTCATTAGCTATGAACATTTGTTCTTTTCGTTGTCTTGAACTTTTCATACTCCACAGCCCCTGTTCGTTTTTTTAATTTTAATTACCATGTGATGGTCATACTTATCTTTAACTTGTATTTTCTGTCATGATGTATTATCTCAATGTGTCAAACTATTAATTAGTGTGCATATTTTGCTTCCAGATGACATAAATGTATTGTCTTGTTTATTACCTCAGCTTGGAGTATTGACAAGAAAAAGGTGCCAGTAAATTAGGTAAAAAAATTTTCAACTCTTTGTTATAATCAGAATTCACAATTAATAGGAATTATAAACAGCCAACAATCAATATGCGAAATCCCTCAGAATAAAGTTGTCTAATATCGGAGGAAGGCAAAACATATAGGAAGTTTCCATTCACACAAGCATTTCAAGAAGACTTGCTCGAGCCAAACTAAATGAGCATCGTCAAGTGATCGGTAAGGCTGCAAGTTGAATTCAGCCCTGGAACCTCCTGCATAGAAGATAATATTAATTAGTGGGCTATGAGCTAAATTTCTAAATTTAGACACAAACCTATCTACGATGCATTATGTACCAGCAATGTTACCTACGATAAACTGAATATGTAATATGTCTAATAAATTCACCTAGTTCGATAGGTGCAAACTTTGTGTTATAGAATTGTATCACAGCATCGTTAAGAGAAGTAAAAACAGTTTTGTATGACACCCTCTTTAAATGAAAATGCAATGTTTAAGCGCAAACATCAAAATTACTAACTTTGAACTTTGTCATTATCTGCAAAATGTTCCACACAAATCTTCTTAGATAACTTCTTCTTCACAAACTTCTTAGATATAGAGATTATTTTCTTTTGTTACAGGCGCAAAAAGGCAGGTACTACACGTAAAAAAGACGCCGAGTAGCAAGAGCGAGCGGAAAACGATCGCGAAAGGCGATGAGAAATATGTGAATTGGAGCGTATCATGAAATACAATCTTTCGCCTGCAGTCTTATGGAGTGACGTCAGAGTTGCCTATCATGTTGTTTAATGTCATTGCATAGAAATAGCTTTGCACTTAAAAACGAGTTTGATACCAGTATAATTTCCACTTTTTCACGTGGACTGGCAGTTTACCTATTTTTGCAGGAATAATTTTCCGCAGTTGATAACATGTTTTACTCCATATAAAAATTGAGAAAATTGAAACCTTTCTTTACTTTTTTACGACCAAAAAAATCACCTCGCCAAATCTATTTGACCCGGGCCACCCGACCGCTTGATATATTATGTAGAGATGTGTCAATCAAAACACTTATCGTGCCTGGGATTCGACAAAACTGTTTAAAGCAAGGTGGACATTACCGGTACCAGTATTTCTGTAACCAGCTTTCAGGACATACCGTAGTTATTCGTGTTATTCGATTTTGAATTATTTGGTGCAACTGATATTTAACCTCACAACTCATGGACAAATCTTATGAAGTAGATACTGGTGGTGCAACATATCGTTCGGGAGACCCCATTAAAAATTTTCGTCTCAGGTCAGTATTTCATCATTTATTTTCTTGTAATTCCTCCTGCTATTTTATTACCAATGTATCATTTATAGTGTTTAAATATTGAACTCATTTATTCATCATCTATTGTGAAATAGAATGCTGCAGTCAATAAAGAAATACCAGTAAAAGTTAACGTTAAGTCAAACTAAGATCAGACGTACTAACTATGATATTTCAGTGTTCAGTCTTTTATAATTATGCAATAGCAATTTCAATATAGATCTAGTTCTTACTTGATTGAGCCAATCTGATAATTTTATATTATATTCCACCCAACTCCAGAGGGTAAAAACAAAATTATTTATCCTAAATATATTTTCAATATTGTTTTGATAATTATTATAACTGAAATTACCTTAAAGAGACAGAGTATCAAATTTGGCGTTATCACAATCCCAACATTTACACCATTAAAAAACCCTACACTAGTTAGACAAAAGCGAGACATGGTTAAGCTTAGTTTCGATAAGATTTACTGATCGGGTTTACACTTCATCTTATAATAGATCACATACTTCATCTGATTAATAGTTCATTTTGTAAGTACCAACTAGCCTCTTACTCTATTTCCTAAGCAAGCGATTTCCAAAATTTTTGTTCTTGCTATGCCAAATTGTCAGGGAAAAAACTCATTTCATGACTTACACGAAAACGAAATTGCTGCCTTCGAATAAAACATAATTTTGTGATCGTTATTGTGTATTTTATGCTTTTCGGAGTTTGTAAACGTGTAAAGAATAAAGGCAATATCAACAAAACTGTACTTATTTATCTAATGAGAGATGTGCGGCTTCTTCTCTGAACATATCACTTCAAATATTCAATCATATATTTGTTTAACATAATTTTGTTAATTTTTCTGGCGCACTTAGCAAATGCCACCTTTGGGAGCCGCTGTTCTATGCTATGCCATAATTTAATTTATAGCATTTACAAAAAACCTTGAGGTAAGCAAGCAATCAATTAACTCTGTAAATAGGATTTTCACTATAATTAAGCTGTGCTTCATATCAGTGAAATTTATATTCAAGTGCACATATATGATGCTTATTATGCTATACTGAATAAGGAAAAGTTTATTGGTAATTAGTTCACAGTTTTTAGTGAGTCGAGTTGATCATTTTTGGAGAATGTCCGACAATAGTTTTAGATCTTATTATTTATGTCATTTACTACCTACTCATTTACAAGCTGTCTAAGAAAAATATACATTCCTAAATATTGGATTGAATCCGAAGTCTTAAATGTGTCTCTTATGACCAAGATCTTGTTTGTTTTTTGTCTTCTATGTATATTGATTTACTTTATTCCGATTATTTTCTAAATATTTTTAGGTATTATCACAATGCTCCTGAGCTTAACACAGAGTATAGTCTTGTTTTTTCACTTACCTATTCCATGTCACAAGGTGGCATTGCTTATGTAGTGCTTTAAGTCTCATGTTTTCAATCTCATTTGAGGTTTTCATAACTTTTAAGTATTTCAATCCAGTGTTTTCGTCTTGTGTATTGTAATTATTTTGTACCATGGTAGATTTCAAAAAAAAATTATTATCTTATCGAAAAATAATTTAAATTTGACCTTCGAATATTCATCCATTGATATTATACCCTGTAAGATTATCATCATTATTTTCATCTTTTATTGCTATTACAATTGGAAACCTATCAGAAATTTAGTCAACAATTTTTTTCTATTTATAATATATTTTGTAACTGATGGAAAATACTTACTCGCTTTAGGGAAATCAATATAACTAAATTAAGAATTTAAAATTGTTTTGCAGTATCAATCTCCAACGTGTCAGTCCAGCAATTCTAGGATTTCTTTCCTCTCGTCCTGCAACAGCAGGAGATGCAGCAGGTGACAGTGGCACTGCTGTGTCTGTTTCTAGCACGAGCATCAATGAATTTGGTCAAACCATTCTTGAAACTGAAAATTTAGATTGTAGTTGGCAACAGAAGTTCTTTTCAGCTGTAAGTAATGATATTTTTCACACAAATGTCATCGAAATGGGTTCATTTATATATGACAATGACATTGTACTGATTGTTCATGGTTTGGATCAAGCATAGCGAATTTTATGAGAAAATATTCCATGCCTACAAGTCCATATACAGGTGTTAAAAAAGTAACGCAAATTAACAGAAGTAAAAATGAAGTGCTACTATAAACATTTAACGCCTGACACCTTTTAACAGTATTGAATTACAGTGAATTGCCATTTGAACATTTCACGATTGACACTTTTTAACTGTTACTTTTTATCGTTGCCATGACGAACAATTTCACCTTAATTTACTTTAACTTTTTAACACCCTGTAGTTTGTCTCCCATTTACTGGCAATGACTCTTTTTATCTCACTTCATTGTGTTTTCATATTTTAGTTTGCAGATATTTTCTTCTAACAATAAGTGTCTTTTCTGGTTAGCACCCTGCCTACACTGCCATCTCATTTTATTGTGGAATTGTTATTTGTTTATTCTCATTCACAGAGAGAATATGAATTCTACTCGAACAGTCCAGTTGGTGGCACAGTACAAGATTACAAGTATCACAATGATGTTCAAAAATTAAAAGTAGGCAATTTAGTGTTCACTATCAGCTGAAGAAAAGTTAGTCAGCTCATGGATTAAGATTCTATATGGATATATAGATACTGTATAGAAAAATGATCAATTACGAGTTGCGATGTTCCTCACCTGCTCATATACAATAACTTATTTCATGTTTTAATAGTTTTTGCAATCTATGTAGTATGGCAACCCGTTGTTATACATATCAAAATGAATTTGTGCGTCTAGTAAATGACTTCATTATCTTACAATAGTACAATTTCATTTATAAGAGTGTGAAATGCTTCCGAAGGTAATGGCTATAGAGCAGTGGTTTCCAACTGTGTGCCCGTGGCCCACCAAGCGGGACACCGAGCAGTGGGGGAAGGGGCCACCATGCCAGGAACAAAACTAATTTTATTTTTGTGTTTACTAGGATAACTCCCCGCTCATCCTAGTTTCATTGCTTGATAAGGTTATTTCTCACTTTTGTTTCTTCACTTTGTTGAATATGAATTATTGAAATCTACCAATCAAAGTAACATTACAAATACCACTGGAATATTTAACAGGGGTGCCATCAGTGCAGTGCTGAAAGCCTCCATACGGAGGCCACTGCCATAGAGCCTTGTAACAGTCAATATAAATATTTATTGAAATTACTAGGTAGAATTAAAAAAAGATCTGAATTAAACATTTGCGGATGTGTGGTCAATATTTACCTTGTGTGTGCTGGATATTTTCAATTTTTCTGGTTATTCGATTATGAATTCTACTACTATATTACATTTCATAATTATTTTTAGATATTTAATCTTCTTCTATTCTGAATATCATGATTTTTAGAAAAGTGGAGGGCGGAGGAATACGAGGATCTTTACGTATGGCGAAAATGATACGTTTTCTCCACCAATTGATGAATTTGAATTAATGACGACTTCACTGAAGGAAGTTCCAACAAATTTGTCACTGAATGTTTCAGGATTAAGAAGACGAAAACCTGCGGCTGCACCTGGTGGGAATGCATTGTCATCACAATTGAAAAAGTGAGTACTGCTAAAAGTTTGGTTTCACTTATAATGGTTATTGGTTGCACTTGCATTGCATATTCAGACAAAATGTATTTCTTTGTGTAAAAATATTGTAATACTAGATTTAGAGCTTCTGAAAATTTAACGAATGTTTGCATTAAAAATGTCGTCTTTGTGGAAGGTAGTTCTGTTCAACATTGTATCTTAAGCCTGATCCTACCACTTTTTTCTCTGGGATTTTCGAGATTTATGACTGAACAAGTAATTTAAAAATTCCAATTGCTTATGAAACACTTATGTTTTCAATTTAGTGTGTCTATATTCTATATATAATTTGGGCATTGTTTTTATTTTTCTGCCTCCTTGCTGTCAAAAAACATATGATATAAATTTTTCATTACTGATGGCTATTTCATAAGTCTGTTTCTAACCTGCCGTAAAACATAGAAACAATCATTTTCAGATTTTTTTTTCTTTTTTTTGTTAAAGGTAAGAAATATCTTTCTCATTCAAGTATGATACAATATTCTAATGATCACACAGACACCCTGTTTAGTAAATATTAAACTCATGATAAATTTTTATTGACAAGTAGTAGTTGATGTGAACACAAAAATATAACTTTTTGAAATGTAACGACCGATGGTGTACAACTAGTACAATTATTGTGAACAATGATCTTGTAGTGACATTTAAATGTACAAAAGTTGTAAATTGTGGATGCAATTTACTTGACTCAATCTAACTTAAAACTCCAACTGTAATTGGGATTCCTCTATTGGGAATGTAAGGAGTTTCTCGTTTCTCCATTTTTATACAATCGATAATAGGACATACACTTGCACAAAGTGTGCATCCTGTACAAGAGTCATTTACCGTTGGAAGATGAGTGACTGGATCAAACACAATTGCTTGATATCCTGAATCATTGCAAGCCATGTAACATTTTCCACAATTAATACACATTTCAGGGTCGATAACAGCAACAACCTGTTCTTTGTTGTTCAAATCATTGTATGCTCCAATCATTGGTAGAGCTGCACCGATTACATCACTTACTGACACTATTTTTCTCATGGGAATATTAAGGGATGCTGGAGTTGCTGATGTGTTACTGATATCTAAAGATTCTTTGGATTTTGCAACAACTGTTTGTCTTTCTTTCTTGAATGGACCAAAGTGAGGTAGATCTTTCCCGACCATGCTGGACATATTATAGGCCTTTTTTCCAAGCTGGTGTCTTGGTGTGACTGGTGACTGTCCATTCCAACTCTTATATTCTTCAGAGGATTGCATATATAGCAACGCTTTCAATCCATTCACATAATCTTGGATTAAAGTGAAATCTTGATTTTGGATTGCACTGCACACTTGAAGAACAGTTGCTCCAGCCTGGAGGTATTGCAAGCCAACCTCTGCAGAATCGATACCACCTGTTGCTAAAATAGGAAATCCAGGAAGGGCACGAGCAATTGCTGAAACAGCACGGAGGGCAATAGGACGTATTGCATTGCCTGACATTCCTCCATATGTTGTTTTCTTACTAGCTCCTACTCTGGGCCAAGCACTTCCATCTGAATGTAATCCCATCAGTCCAGATACCGTGTTTGTTGCTGTTACACCATCAGCACCTCCCTCCTTTGCAGCAGTAGCAATCGTAACGATATTTGTAACATTTGGTGTAAGTTTTGCAAAGAAAGGTAGCTTACTTGCAGCTCTCACCCACCTACATATATTCCTAACAAGTTCAGGATCTTGCCCACAAGCCAGCCCCATCCCTCGTTCTCCCATGCCATGGGGACAAGAAAGATTCAGCTCTAAGGCATCGGATCCAGCTTCCGTTGCTGCTTGAGCTAGTTCAGTCCAGTCTTCTTTGTTATAACCACACATGATACTTGCAATCAATATTTTTTCTGGGAAATCCTTCTTCAGTTCAGTTATACTTTGGCACCAATACTGACGACTTTTTTCACTAATGAGCTCGATGTTCAAAAACGATCCTTGTCCTGGACCGTAAAGTTGTCCGGATGTTGTTCCTCTAACAATACGAGGTGACACATTAGTCACAATATCTTTTTCCAGAGAAAATGTTTTTGTTAGAGCAAATCCCCAACCTTCTTCGAATGCACGTCGTATCATTGCAGATGTTGTTGTTGGAGGTGCACTTGCTAGTCCAAAGGGATTTGGAAATTTCATACCACACAGCTCTATGCTCACATCAACTTTATCTATTGCTGTAAAGAAATTTGGCAACCTCGGGACTTCTGATACACTTTGGTCATGGCAACTCTGAAGATATTCATGCATATACCAGGCTGCTGTTTTTCCATCATTTACTGCTTCCACTGTTGTATGTGCTTGGCCTGCAATATCGCCACCGCAGAAAACCCATGGCTCACTTGAAACCATTGTGTTGGTATCAACTTCGGGAAAACCCCAAGAATTGAATTTAATCGGATCCAATGCATCTTGCACATCGGTATCTGTCAAAGAAGATCCAAATGCTGACAAGATATAATTAGCCTTCAACTTTGTTGTCTGCTCATAATCTTCTACCCAATTGCCATCATCATCTTGAGTGGTGCGCACGAATTCCATGCCTGTAATTTTGCCATTCTCACCTTGGAAGACTTTCAATGGAGACAGGAAAGGTAAAAATTCACATTTTTCTTCTCTAGCCAGCTCCATCTCCTCGGGCACAGCTCTAATATTTGTGAATCCTTTGCGGAAAACTACAAATACCCGGCGTGCTCCACACCTTAATGCTGAAGTGGCACAATCAAAAGCTGTATCCCCTGATCCAAGAACAATAACTACACCACCGATAAATGATGGAAGCTGAGTTTTACATGAGCACATACCAGGCTTTGAGCCTCGAGCAACTAAGGGAAGAAACTCTTTTGAGCTATAATATCCATTATCCCTCGTGAGATCTTTGAATACAGGGATTTTCTTTGGTTCGGGTAGTCCAATACCAACAAAGACACTTGTGTAGTTGTCTTTTTTCAATGATTTTAATGTAATTTCACCTGCTTCAAGAGCTTTTCCAGTTTCAACTTTAACTCCCAAATCTTTCATCAAATCAACTTCAAATGAAACAACATTATAAGGTAGTCGAAATTGAGGAATCTCAGATGTACTCAATCCTCCAATGTAGTCCATTTTTTCGAATATAGTGATATCTGAATATCCAAGTCTTGCTAGAAATGTAGCACAACTTATGCTTGCTGGTCCACAACCAATTAAAGCAATCTTTTGCTTGTAAGCTGGTTTCTGAATTTCATCCCCAATAGACGGGTCACGTATCTGTGGGATTCTCATATCACGAAATATCTCTGTTGCAAACTGCTGTAACCCGCCAATATTTATAGGACCTTCTTCCGAACCATACAGATTGCATCCACCAACACATAAATCACTTGTTGGGCATACCATTCCACAAGTGAGTCCGAGAGGATTATCGGAGAAAATCTGTTTAGCTGCACCATAGTAATTTTTATTTGCAATGCTAGTAATGAAAGACTTAATATCTAGCTGAGTGGGACAGCTCTTCTGACATGGTGCATCGGCGCATTTCAAGCATCTTGCCGCTTCCTTTAACGCTCCACGCTCACTCAAAGTCGTATGTTTGATATCGTCAAAATCGTTTTTCAATGGTTTACATGTGGAACAAGATTTGTCCGAATTTCTCTTCCAGTGCTTACGCGCTTTCTTTGTAGCAACAGTCGTTGTCAAGGTAGCATGATGTTTTGTCCGTGGATTCAACGCCAAAATGTTTTCAATGTCAGGCAAATCTTTGCTTAGATTTACGTACGCCATTGCTAAAATTAGTGTAAAAGATAGTAAAGTAAAGATAAAATACACTTTGTAAATAAATGCGCCGAAGTCCTTGACACAATTTTCTCGTTTCTTGCGCCGCTACACCACACAATTTAGCTCTCATCAATAGCGAGATTGAATAAACTAGTGCTCTGCTTTCACGGATGCGTGCAAGTAATTTGACTAGCAATCACGCTTAGCAATAATAACCCTGCTTTCAAACAATTCCCGGATATCCCGCCAAGCCCGAAGTGTCGTTAATCACAAGCTTAGGGAAGGCGCTGAATATGACGGGTATATTTATGACGCTATTTCTGACCCCTGTGCCGTCTGCAAGTTTCTGTTATTTTGCAAAGTTTGTACTTCCCCATATTAAAGAACAAAGTTTCTTTATATATTTGAACAACGCCAGTACGAATACCTAGATGCCCCGATTTTAACTAGATATATTCGGCGACTTTGTTATGTGCCGAATGAATGTTTACCTAAATCGACAAAATAAGATGACGATTTTTTACTATAGGAATGCACAGCGAATTAGCGGAAAGAATTAAAAATCGCGGAATAATTTTTCGTCGCATAGAATGTTCCTAAAATTTAATGCTTCCATCGCAAATCCTATCCCAACACTGGTTATCTTACATTTGGCCACGACCCGTGCCCGTGACTTATCTGTCTGCAAACTCATATATTCCTTATATATCTTGGAAATCAAAAACAGTGTTTACATATCAAACAACCCGTAAAAAGCAAATACCGTATGAATTTTACCAGCAACGTTCACTGCAATACTTATAATATATGCCATTCATTCGATTTCTAATCACGCTCTCAATCAGTATAATTGCTATGTCAATCTATGACGCAGTGTTTCAAACTTTACAGTTATATAATATCCAATACCGCGTTAAGATAAGTACTGTAGTAGTGATATAGAGAGTTTTTTGAAGTCTAAATTCTAAACGACTGCTCACAGTACATACCCGCTCTGTGATATCAACAACGGCGCATCTTATATATACTGCATTTTCTGTAGCTAGCAATCTTACACCGTCTGTGGCCTAGACGCAACTTTAAAACGCAATGTACTCGCGATAATGCGATCTGTTGTGTTTGTTTTCCTATATCTGATCGTAGAGCATTGTCTACAAAATTACGAATACGTGACGTAAACCACGATTGCCATGATTCGTAGAAGTTCCCTTTTTCGCGTTTGTCGCGTCGAAAATAACAAATAATATATTTACCAAAACGGTTATAAAACGTTTAGTTACATAATACTGTTATGGAGCGCGAGTGGCGATTAGCGATAAAATGGAAACATATAGGAGCGACTTATTTTTGCAAAACCGATCACGCGTAACCTATCGTTAATTTTATATAAATAGTAAAATCGCAGTGCTTATCGTCGTTGCGTCAGGCATGCTGAATGGCTATATCCGCCAACGCCCATATTTATTCGAGAAGTTTCACAATTTGACTAGGTAAATAAAATTGATCACGAATTTATGATCGGGGTTACTAATGCAGCGAAACGAATTTTAATTATAATTTCACGTCCTAGAAAGAATTTCATCCGATAGCGCAAAAATATAACCTTTTCCTCGAAAAATCGAACTCATTTCATACATAATCAAAACCACTCGCCATAATCTGCCGCGACGGTACGTATGAGCAGACTAACGTTTGCAAACTGGATGGGAAATATACCCTCGAGCCCAAAAATAATGTTTCGGTACTAAAGTAGGCTTAACTGAAATATCCCGATCAATTAATCATTGAATTTATCCTCTTTGGCAACCTCGCTGTTCTTTCCATTATAAATTGGAAACGTGTGACACGTGGTGTTAAGTCATTTTGGTCATATTTTTCGAATGTCTCGTAGTTAAATAAATGTATTGTATTGGCGCATTACAATTTAAGGCCATGTTTTACAAGTTTTTTAATCTAGCAAACAACCTAAAATCTCAATCTAACAAATCTCGTTTTCAAATTACCGTCAACTGATCTATCATTATAAAACCATAATATACATTTAATCATTTCATAATTCCCGTTTCTACTAATTTGCCTGTTAATGTATAACGCTTTCAAATTTATAATTTCAAACATATTTTGATCACACCCACCTTTCCACGACGTTGCGTCAATAACTCACGATCACATCCGCAAGTATTGCTGTCGACGACCTGAACGCAAACCTTATTGTTCTTTTAATTACCGGATGTTGATCTCCCTGCGTCCAGTCGACTCTTTTTAAGGCCTCCCGCACGCGTCGTTTAAGTACAAATGGTTGAACTCATAATAGAAACAAGGACGGGGCTATAAACGGCACTTGATAATGCCAACAACGATTGTATTGTTGTTGTTGCAAGGCGCAATTGGTACATTTCCGACCACACTGTTTGCTCCGCTCGTATTTCTTACTAATTTTTCATGACAAATGAATAAAGTTACATTTAGTACGTTTGGCCAAACATAGGAAATGATCGAAACGCGTGTTTTAAAGAGCGTTCTTTCTACAATCCGTACCTGATACGAACAGCTACATCAAACTATTTGTTAATGTTGCTTCAACAGTCAAGAACTTTGCAATAAAGACATTTTCGTTCCCTAAGATAACGATAAATTGTGTTAACGAAATCAGTGCAACGATGTAAAACTAAATGATACTCTAGAATAGCACAAGTAATTGAATAAATTTGATATCAGACTTTGATCATTTCTCGGAGATACAAATTATTCACCAGCGGAGTTTCTGTATTTTTTTTTCTTCCGCCCAATTAGTATAGTACAACGTCGCACAATCGCGTTTTAGATTGCCTTGCACTGTGCCATGTCCTATAATCTCTAATGATTCTAAGATATAAACACCATTAGACAATTATTTTTTCTGAGACGGAAGAACATACGGTACTTACAAATCCAATCCGTCTATTTTACCTCACCATGAATTAAATTACCCTTCAGAATATAATGCAAGTATATTTGCACTCGGCTTCCTGAACCTATATAATTTTATATTAGTCGTTTAATCATATTTGTCGAGGAACTGCCTTTTTCATGTTGTACCAATGAATATGACACCAGTTCAACTACGGGGCATCGACAAATCTTTGCTTCTCAGCAAAAATTTATTTCGGACTTAAACGTGATCGAACTTAATTCAATATTGAGAATCAATAAATTGGAAGAACACGGTTCCATGCTTATATGTCACAGACGATAAACACGTGTTCTGGACTCGTGTGTGACCTCAAAAACATTTTTTGTAAATACTGAAATCAATCTACAAACAACGAAGAGATTGTGTTTGAGGGCAGCGTTTGGCGCACCGCTGATTACCCTGCCTACGCAGGTTCGAATACCGTGGGGGATGATTGCCGGACTCCTCGTTATCGTAGGGTGGTTCACATAACAGCTAGTGAGTTTCGGATTCCCCGACCATCCCGTTGATGTAACTGGTTAACTATTTCCGACTGGTAACTGGACGAGAGGTCGTGATTCGTCATATGAATAAGTTGTGCTATCGGCTTTTGTCTCCGCTTGTGATAAATATGAATATCTTATCCTACTATTTTAATATTTTACTATACCTGCTATTGGATCTACACAAGCATCCTTTCTAAATTGAATATTGAAAACCAAACCAGACATCGAATATATCAATATTGTCAAATCTAATACACCATCAATCATATAGGTATCAATTTATGAATTAATGAGTGCTTACATAACTTTATATTTCTGTACATCTTTATTAGGAAGTACTTTTTTCATTTGCCCAGCTATAAAATATAATGATCTCCATGTGATCCATGCGATTGAAATGCAGAGCATAATTTTGGGGAAGTTATTTCATTGCTCTAAATATGCCCAATGAGGTTGTTAAAAATGATAAAATTGAAAATTGCTTACATTATTGGAAATAATAATAAATATACGTTTAAACTCTACAGGGGCCAAGGTGCAAGAGGTTTGAAAATTGTGGTGAAAACTCCAAGTGATGAATTTCGACAAAACAATCATGTGATTACCACACCGACACATCGGATGCTTATCATGGCTGACCTCAGTCCTGAAGGGCAGTAAGTACTAATACACTTGTATCGTAACGATCCCATTTTCATTGTAGATTATGGATAGGATAGAATAGTTGTGTGATATTTTCTATGTCTATGGTATTTCACACCTGCACTGTATACATGGTCATTAATACATAAGGAGCCACCATTTTTTGAAGGACCCGAATCTTTTGTTTGCTATTGCCCACCCAAAATAAAATGAGAACAAGAAAGAGAACACATTCCAAATCCCATCACTGATCGTGAAAAAATGGGATTCACTTCCTTGGTTAACTTGGGACTCATACACTGCCAAATCGTTTTATATCTGTTGTTTCTTCTGCTCTAAATGTGGCTCAATGAAATACAATTAACGATATAATGGGATAAGTCAGTAATAGTTTATTATTAAAGCAAATAACTCAAACCGACATAGCACATGCTAAACATATCATCAAGGCAGACTGCCAGTATTTATACTGGTGACCAATGAGGCCCGCAATGAAATAATGACATGACAGTAATGATTACTGTAAACAAAAACATAAGATTAATAGGTAACTATTGAACTATCATAATGTACCCAATTTATTGCCCTCTGCTTGAAGTGGTGGAAAGGGGGCACGAACTACAGATCACAATGGCCTGCACTATCTTTTCAATGAAATGAATAGAGAGTGAAATTCTTTGATATCAAGCTGTTTCTAAACAATGTATATAGAGCGCAACTAATTATCCTAATTCACTTATTTTCAGACTCGGCAATCCTGCTTATGAAAAGACTTTATGTGAGATTGAATATGATGAAAATGGTGTATTGAGTATCAACCCGGATTTTACCAGATCAAAGCTACCTTACAGGTTAATTTACATTTGTTTTTTAGTTATATTTATTTAGTTTATTGTGTGCTTGAACATTTTTCAGTTTAGATCTGATACATTTATAGTGTTTGCATTGCAGAGTTGAATCCGGATTGAGTAGAGATATATGGTTGTATAAAATTGATAGCACATCAACAACAATGAGTCGCATGGAGATACAAAAAGAAGCAAGAATGTTAAAACAGGTATAAAATATAGGATATTGCCGGGAACTAGAACTGCAACCTCTATTTAGTTTCTGGATATTTAAGATTGAATTTAAACATTGTTTTACGCGGAAAAATCTTTATTGCAATGACATTGCTCAATACACTTCCAGGGCTCTCAGGTTTAAATTTTGCATTTCCCCTGTGTGATCCATTACAGAAGGGATGAGCATTTTTGAATACCTGATGATTTCAGAAATGAAACGAATATTTTTTCTAATCGAATCTCGAATATTTGGAAGATATAGGATTGTATGTACCTATTTAATTGCAATGGGTCCTCCATGCACATAAGTTACTGAAAACATAAAATCCATCACAGTTCAGTAAGTTGTCACACTCAGTTAGAAACATGTTTCATCTACAACTCACTAGGAGTCAAAGGTCAGAATTGCGTTGTAAAATATGGCTCCAATAAATAAAATTGAAAGATTCACCCCGACCTTTGACAGACAAAAAGAAAACAAGATTACAGCGATTCCAAATTTTCAACTGATCCGATTTGAATGATTGATTATTCAACTCGAAATTCCCAGCCCTATTCATTACTTCTGCAGGGGTTAGTTCCTGCTTCCGTTACTATGTGCATGCGTTCAAATATTGATATGGTCACCATTTGATTAACTTGTCTCATAGCATTTCTTCTCTTCAAACACAGATATAAAATCTCATTTAAACTAGCCTGCATTCATAGTATTTCTGTCAAATATAGCCACGAGATAATGCAGAGTGGTACTAATATTTCTTTACTTAAACTACTGTGCATTAATCTGTCATAATCTAACGCTGAACTGTCTTGTTGCAGCTTTATATCAAACACCAAAAATATCTGAGTGATCTCGTCGGTTCTGAATTTGAACAAGTACAAACTGGTGTTCTACGACTTGTTGTGAATGGTGAAATAATAAAAGCACAATCCTTTGAATATGATGATTTGCACATAGAATATTTTCTGGATTTACCAAGGAATTGGTCCTGCTCGGCATGTAAGTATATTAATGAACTTTTTTTAAAAGGAATAATTATTGCTGTTGTGTAGTCCCTTCAGTTTCTCATCTAATTTTTTGTTTTATATGCCTTTCTCTCCAAACAAGGTTCTGCACAAGCAGCCAATGCTAGGTAAAAAACTACCATTGTCTTGAAGGATCGAAACCTTTTCAGTTCGGCATTACCTACCCAACTTATTACAATTAGTATGAGGTGGTGGACATGGGATTTGAACCCAAGATTTCAACTAGGGATGTCAGCAAATTTAAGTCTCACGCTTTAATCACTGGGCCACAGCATTCACTTGTTAGTATCCATTTTGAATCCTTCTTCAGGCTATCCTATCTCATTCAGATATTGGTTGTATTACAATGTCATTTTTTGTTCTCTACCATTCACAGACTTTTGGTTTCTGCTTAATTTTTTTCATTGATTAAACCCATAATAAAACTTTCTGGTCTAGAATTTAGTATTTCAAAATAATTCTGATTTTCAGATGATATGCTCTCTGGCTGCACTCATACATGTAGAACAAAACTTGAAGAAAATATTGAAACAGCTTATTACAGTCATCCATTCAGTTATGACACATATTTGAGTTATGCAAAGGAAGATTTAGGTTTGTATTTTTCTTATAAAGTGTTGTTACCACAATTACAGTGAAGTTTTTTTAAGCTTTCTCTCAATTTTTCTTAATGATTACCTAGCCTTCCATTCTGTCAAAATTTTTGTCCGTATTTCTTGTATGGGAAAGATATTTTTGGACTGATGGCATCTAAGTTTCGTGTAATATACTGATTTTTGAGTTAGAGTTGTAATTTTGAATTTCTCAGAGCAGTAAAGTAAATTAGACTCAAAATTTTTAACCAACACAAAAAGTTTTGCAAACACCAAATATTAATTCTGAAAATTTTGTTGTGTCATAATCAGTAGCCTGAATCTGAGCCTAAATTGGTATGGATTTGTTGAATTAATGTAGGTCCCATATAACTCAGCATATTGAAATAATAAAATGTGTTGTTTGTACTTTTATAACTTCAAATCTTTTGATGTATAATTAAAGTGTCCATAATTTATATTTACATAGATTCTTCCAATGAGTGGCCAAAAATCTTTCTTCAAGTGATATCCTCCGATACATGGGGTCGTCGTAGGACAGAAGGATATGGATATGTTGCACTTCCATCGACTCCTGGTTTACACATTTTGAAAGCTCACTGTTGGCGTCCAACCGGAAATGCTGGTCAAGAATCAGTTACTAATGAACTGAGAAGATTTTTTATAGGTAGTTCGCCTGAATTAGAAGACGCAACTTACATTGCAGTGCCAAGCAATTTTGAGGCAAGTGATAGTTCTTCCAGTCATGCATTCAGTTTATTTCATGATCTATATTGGTATGGTATAATTCAAACCTAGATAAACATATTAAAAGAAATTATGTAATTTATCAGGTGTTTAATAACTTTGTTCTAAGCAAGACTCAGGAAAGTTACAATTTTAAACTCTCAAGTCAGGAGTTTAATGGTGATAATTGGGAAAACAACAAGTTATCAAAACGTTCTCAACAGTTTATTAATGAAGGCTAGCATATGCCAAGTTTTCAGTTCAGTTGAAATTGTTTTCAACCCGGTGTTGCAAAATTTTCCCCCTCCACATCCCTGCTAAAAACAAGCACCAACCAGACATAGGGTTTTTAAAATGACAAATAGCCATTTTCGTATACCATAATGAGGTGGTGGGCTCAACAATGTAATGACTCATCTTAGCTCGCTGAATAAGATTGTCTCTGTATTACTCATCATATGTGGGCATTCTATTCAGCAGCGTATCTCATCTGAATATCACTTTCAATAGACAGATTGGTCATCACCCAATAAGCAAAATTTGATCACTTTAATATATATATATATATATTACAGGGTAAAATTTTAAACAAATATGGAGTGAGGACAGAGTCCACAGGATCTGTAACCATTCGTATTAACTGTATTGTTCAACAACAACCAGAAACAAAGAAACCTGATGCTGTTGGTGATCATATACGAAAAAGAAAACAGCAGACAGCCATACAACTGGCCAAAGGGAAAGCTGCTAACGAAGCGATTCATGGAGTTATGGGTACTATTCCATTTCATTTGTTGTCATTGTTATAAACGAGGAATTGAACAAATTCGAATGGAATTGAACACAGGAACACATTTTTATACTGGGAAATACCTTTATTATTATCCTTTCCGATTTTGTTTGATTTGGAATATCTGATATCTGTCGTGGATCATACCTTTAATTGCTATGTACAAATTTAACATCAAAACTTGTATCAAGTATATTCGGGCATCATCTCAAAATAAGATATGTTCATATGGGGAAAATCAAGCAGGTTGTACTGCTGCGTAGTCGCAAGGTTTCTAATAAACTGCTTGCACTAGTTGCACATATTCAAGCAACAAAGCTTTTTTTTCAATCAAAGCTGTGATAGACTAAGATCACCATCCTATTCCTGTCACCCGTTTGTTTCTAACTTTTCACCCTTTCAGATGCATTTTTGCGGGCAAGAAAAAGAATGCAGACAGCAAGGGAGTCTGTGCCTGAACATATTAGAAAGACTGCAGAAGATCGAAGCAGAAATAATATGGCAGGCGACAGAGCACAACATTTGAGTAGTGTTCTTTCTGGAGATAAAGTATGGAGAAATCAAGATGAAGATGATTTAAATCATGAAACATCAGCGTAGGAAATAATATACAAAATATGATCCAGTAAATCCACAACCCAATATTAATTCTTATACATTTTGTGATTTGCTGAAACGATAATCAACCCTCACCCGCCTGCTATCTGTTTTTATTTTATTTTTCTGTAACTATTACTATTTTTGTAACAAAGCAAAAACACAGTACATTTTTGCCATTGTGTTGTATGATTATTGTTAGTTCCTAGCTCTGGTCGTGGATGACTTTATCTCTTCTTACGAATAATGTGTATGTGATGGTGGATATACGTTGATACGATCATATCGTTACGGACCCCCTGTGCAGTCATCACGGACCCCAGTTTGGGAAACCCTGACTTAGAAAACAAGCCAGGTGTGGAGCGAGTTAAAAGTCAGAAATAAGCTTTTGTTGAAAACGACTTGAATACAATAGTAAATTACAAAACTGCCATTTACTTGCTCCACCATATATTTTATCATATGATATACAATAATACATAAGACACATTATCATCATGGACAAACAGAAGAGCTTTCTAAAATGTTTACACACTTGCAATCACACAGTAACATCATGATATAAATCTATGTACATATAAAAGATGCCCTAAACATCTTAACAACCCCAAAGACTAATAAAAAAATAGCAGCCCAATTTTTGTTATTGGTGATTAATGGTAGGTATACTATATTATGTACACTTATTGCAGAGAGGGGTTGCTCAAAAGGCAAGATACAAAAAGATGATCGTAGTAATAAATCATATGTACATCAGAATATGTAATAGAAATATTTAAATTGGTGCCCCAAAGATCACACATTTTGACATTGTACTTTCCGAATTGAATCAGTGAACAGTCTCTTTGCAGCAAATAGCAAAACAAATGCTGGATTCTCTATTCATTTAGGGTGATATTTGTATTCAGTCGCTAAGAGCTTCATACTGTATTGCAGGAGCTTGGTATCTTTGTTGCTGTGGAGCTGGCTCTTGAGCCGGTGCAGGGGATTGCGATGCCGTTGGTTGATTGGGTCTTCCACCTGAAAAAATATTGTGTTGGTAATAATCTCGAAAAAAAAAATTCAGAGTTAAGTATTGGCAGCTACTCACCAATACTTTGGTAGAACTGTTGTTGCCTCTCATGTGGTTGTGCTGCTGGCGGCTGCGTATTCTATGGAAAATATGAAATTTAATTTATTATACAATAAAGTCATAAATACAATATTTTCATTACACAAATATTTCAGGTGGGCCACCATATGTTTTTAAGTGACATACCTGTGGTTGAGAGCCTCCTGGAATTTGTCTGAACATTAGAGCACTCATGTATTTCTCCGATCCACCTGAAGAAACATTCAAATATTAAAAGGTTATCGAATTCCATTTATAAAAGGTTAAAATATTTTTAGGGCTCTTATAATTATTAATTAACAAACTGCTAGTCTTAACAGATTGAGGCCATTGTATCGTGTAACAAAATAAAAAGCCTGTGAATGGTATATAGGGAAGGAAATAGGTAATATATATAATAATCCCTGTATCAGCCATAGAAAAGATTTTCTGACATATGGTATAACACAGTGGTTTCCAACATTTTTTTCAGGCAATCCATATTTTGTAAAAATTTAATTCTGTAAAATCTCACGACTCAAGGATATGCTCAAATTCTAGGCACTGGCAGCATTTGTAGTACTCTGTAGTCGCAAAATTAACACAAAGTGAGGTGCGTTAAGCGAGTTATTTAAATCGTGGCGTGGATTTACTTTAACAAAGCGGCAGCAGCCAAGTTTGTACGTTGTGATGCTTCCCTCATATACAATTACTATTGAGCAACACTTGAATACAAATATATAATAAAGAATACAATTTATTAGAAAATAAAAGCAGTAAGTTTTTGCCGAATATCTGAATATCTAAATCTGAAAAACAAGCATCCAACCATATTAACAACAAGCTTCCAATGATAAAAAAATATATCTGACATTTGATCTCAGATTGTGTCTTTACATGGCAAACGGCAGGTTGAAATTTTATATCATAGATGCAAACACCTGAATGTACCACAAATATATTAAGAGCATTATTTAAACATACTTTGCGGCTGAGATGAGGCATCTCTTCTTGGTTCTGGCTTAGGTAGTGGCTGTGCTTGTGGTAACTGTTGTGAAGGAGGTTGGACATTCGTAGATGATACTCTAGCAGAAGATAACATGGCATGTTGCACCATCATATCAGGACTAAATGTGCTGAAGAAAAATAAGTCAAGGATTCACTATTTCTAGAAGGCATATCAAACTAAAACAGGAGATATGGCCTGCTTTTTTATGCACTGATGAATTATTTCAAGCTACAGGAAATTGACTGACAATATTGTAAGATAGAATAAGGCGTTGAAGGATTTAGGGGTAGTAATAAGACTAACAACAGAAAGAGTTATCAACTAGCTTGGCGGAGTGGCGCATTGTGCTGAGCTTTGGGAATACACTCGTAACCGCACTTCTGATTACGCTTCGTGTGTTCTCAGGTTCGAATCCCGTGTAAGATTAATATGTGTGAGAGGATTGCTGGACTCCTCGCCGCCGTAGGGTGGTTCATGTAACCGCAGCTTGGTTACTGCTTCCGAAAAAGACAGGATCGCGAAAGAATTTGGACATGCCAAGTGGGTCGTAATGAAAAAAGTTTGAAGAACAACACACTAGAAAATAAAATATAAGTCAGTATCAAATTCTTTATTTTAAAACTTTTCCACAGTGCTAGAATGCATCAGGGTCATTTGAATCAGAAGACAACCAGATGATTTTATAACAAATATTAAAGGATCAAGAAATCGTCCACAATTACAACAGAAATGCTTACCTCATTACTTTATCCTGGACTTGTAAATCTGGGACTGTTGTGGGTGCGGCATCAGTAAGAAGAGCTTTTCTAATAATTTCTTCCAGAGATGAGCTGGGAGTTGGCTGTTGCTGTATTACACTACCTGCTACTGTTGGTTGTGGAGCTATATTCGATGTTATCGGCATCCTTTGTAAAGGTATAGCGGGTCGGGCTTCTCCCATGAGTGATGGATCTACAGCTGTGAAAATTTAAATCAAAGCTATGAATATAAAACACATATGTCTTGATTGATTAAAATTGTGCATTTTGTATTATGCAAGACCGGGCAATATTGCATGCAATGTGCAAAGTAGATTTTTGATTCTAATTTCACAGAATAGGAAAAGACGACTCCTCAAGTTAAGCACCTTTGCCAACTCTGTGGATGGCCAAACCGAATATTTCCCTATTCCGAATACATTCTGAAAAAATATTTTCGAATATGGAATGGATCAAATACATTTTAAATTGGGGGCAAGCTAATGTGAAAAACGATATAAATAGAAGGGTCTTTGTTTTCTCTGTGTTGTTCGTTACCAGTTGATTTATTGAACATTTAGATCCATTTGTCTGACGACTCAAAATAAGAATGTTCTAAATTATTCCTGAATTCAGGATTTACTATTTCGAATATAATGAATTTTGAATAAACTCCAATATTTGATTCCTCTCTAGGAAATCATACTTCGAAAAAAAACATGCTTCAATATTTCTTAGTTTATATTTTACCAATATTTCACTTACGGTATTCTGCAAGTCAAAAACAAAAAATTCTGAAGTCTACCAAGACCAATTTTACTTACGGAGCACTGCAACACCCGTTGAAATGGGTAATCTTGTGTGAAATTGTTGTTGCTGATAACTTGATAATGGAGGAGCTATTTTCACATCTTGTTTTTGAGAAGCAACCTGAAAAAAAATAAAAATAATAGCATTACGTACAAAAATCATACTGATAGAATATAAATATAAAAATTTCAATTTTTATTTTTTTATGGGAAAATAAGAAAAGGTAAAATATTTTGACAAGAATGTTCTGATAGCATATAAACATAAATCGTAGAACACAAGGTTGGGTAAAAACATGTGTTTTGTGTAATCTATCATCACAAAATTGAGAAAATTCAGGGTTACAGGATGCAGGGATACGGGAGAGAATTTAAAAAAATACAAAATTGATCATTCAGAAGACATTTGACTTCTAATTACTGAAAATTTGAAAGCGTTTAAAACAGTTTCAAAAAGAATGAGTCTACTATATTATGTCCAAAAATAAAAAGATTCTAATGGTTTGAAAATGCATTGACAAATTTTTCATATGACAATTTTCAATGTATTTCACTCCAAACAAGGTCCAACACATCCAGCTATTAATATCTAACAATATGTAAAAGACTACTATTATTTGAACTATTATTTACACAAGAATCTTTCTCGTTCGACATTTCCTACTCAATTTATAACAACCTGAGTGATATGGCATTTGAAACAGAGATGTTTAATTTGCAATGCCAACACAGTTAAGTATAGATAGTTTAACCATTGTGCCGCCTGAAACGATGATAATATTTTCTTCTTGAGTTATTAATCTCTACTAGGAAGAAACAAATGAAGAAAAAAATTCAAACCCACAGGATGACGTCGATCTGGTGGTGTAACAGGTCTTGATGCCTGCATTGGGATATTTTCAATTGATTTTGATGAACGAGGACTTCCTGCTCCTATATTAGGAACCGGTGACATATTTCTATCACCTGCAGCTGTGGTCCTATAAGCAATTAAAAAAAAAAAAAATCACATATCCAGAATTATGATAGTAGATATTGCAGCAATATTTATAATAGAATGACTTCTCCCCATAAAAACATGAGATATCTACAGAGGTAATTTTTAATTTAGTTTACAGACTGGTAAAATATTAAAGCAAATTTTGCGAATCGGCAGAGCTTTAGAACCAACCAGAAATGTCACAACACACAAAACAAAGTTTGCAGAAACTCAAAAGTATGAAAAACTAGATAGAAAAAGTTGCTTCTTTTTCAATATTATACATGATAAAAATGGTTGTAACTAAGCATCTCAAAGGTATGGTAGGACGTTGATTTTCATCAATGTCCCTGTTTAATGAATAAATTTCCATGTTCTATTTCATTATAATGGATCAGCTTTAAACATATTGCAATCAAAATACAAAATTGGATAATATTGACGGACCAGCAGTAAAGTAGACATGGATTGGTGGTTGAGAAACCCTGATGTACAATATAAACTATATCAAGGTAGTCACAATTACAGACATTATTTCAAATCTGACTTTAGTCGGACGAAACGTTACAGAAATACATTTGCGTTAGTGTGCATCAATACTCTTTTAATTGGATGGAATAGTCATGTTTGTTCCTGCTACAGCATCCTTGCAGCATACACATACAGATCCACTATGTTGCGAGGATGCTGTAGCAGGAATAAACATGACTATTCTATCAAATTAAGAGTCCTGCTGCGCACCAACACAAATAGTCAGGCAGAATCGGGCCTTAACATTGTTTTGGGACATAAAATTTTTTTTATTGATTAGATATAATGTATATGACATATATAATGATACCCAGGTGGGTGTGGTCGTGTGGAGTATATAATGTTGAGCAATTTTGTCTAAGTGGATTCAAAGTATTTGGTCCAAGATGACGCACATCCTGAACCCTGACCTGGTAAACATACAATGTTCAGGTTGTGCGCCATCTTGGTACGAATACTTCAGAAGCGCCTTTTTGTTAAAAACAATTATTTCATAACTGCATGGTTTAGTTTTGCATACATAGTAACATTGAATCTCCTTACAATGTCAGAAATTCAATTTTAGTAGAATAAATGGTAGTTTATTTCACTAATACAAACCATAATCCATCGACAGCATCTAGCCACTTTCTATTGCGCTCTTCAAACTATTTTTGCGTTGCCGCGCGCATCTCGTTTTCCTAGTTTAAGCTTAGGGACTTTTAAAAATTTTATTAGTTGAATTGGATTGGAATATTTGACCTAGTCTTTCACTCCGAACAAGGCCATGTAAAACCATCCACTGGTATCTAAAGATGTGTAACGTGTTTTCTTTTGGAAGAACCGCAACCTTTCAGTGCTGCATTGACTTTGGCAAAATTAATATATCCTTGTGGAGATAGAAGGTATGCGTATGCGAAACCGAGATGTGCACCTGTTATGCCAACATAGTTGAGTCAAACGTTTTGAATACTAGTACATCACACACATTTTTCTGCGTGCTTCGGTTGTACGTAGCAACGCGCTTGCGCACATGCATCAAATTCCACTTGATTATTGAGCTATAGGTTTTTGACGAGCTTTTGTGTATGATTTCATTCCATAAAAGTTGTATGCTGTTCTGCGTGTTGGTTTCCAACATCCTTAAATCGGTGATGCCAGTAAATTTTTAATACAAAAAGATCAGTGACATCTGCAATAAAAACAGCAGTACCCACTCAAATGACAGCTGGGGGATGGATACTCTTAGTATCTACTCCATCGCGTGCCTATTACAGTCTTACCAGTTTACATGAGTGCCAATTGGTATCTAAGCTCAGCCAGAGACAAAAAGTTTCGAACTGCAGTTGGCGTGACGAAATGTTTTTAATAACTATATATTATACTGCATACTACTGAAAATTCCGCCTTATATGTCTTTTCCCATTGCACTATTCCTTTACTGATATTCGATAATATGACGCTCATCTGACATAGTTCTTAAAGTGTGTAGATAGGTATAATCTTTTCCACGCTGTTCAGATGGGAATGCGCGAATATATATAAGAATTGCTAATATTGGTTTGCAATGCGATGAAATCCCATCTTGGCATTTCTGCCCCTCGCAATTGCTGCGTATACTTATCGGGGAAGTTCTGTGGCGTGGTTATCAAATGAAAAAAACAACATGAGAGTATTTTTTCTACTTCTCTACTACTATCAAACCTTGACATTTTGTGAAAACTTTTTTCCATGCAACCTTTTTTTTAAAACATCCCAAACAACCACAATTAATTCTGTTAATAAACTTCCGAAACAAACACATAAAATCATCAACAGATGCATATCACCAAGTAGATATTGCTGAATTGATCTTTATTTTAACATTTTTCATGTAATTCTTTTTGGTAAACCTGTTATCTATCGTAAATACAGCACATTTGACAATGTTGTAGTGTGACTTTTTTGGCCTCACATTTTTGATATTTGTTGTTAGAGCTCTTGGGGCTCTGTCAAACGTAGCTACATACAAAATATTGGTTGTAAATTGCAAAACATGATCATGTTGTTGGAATAACTTGGCATTTTACCACCCGTATATCATTCATTGTTAAGAATATATTAAAATCATAAAATTTAAAAATCCGTTTTTGTGAAATTTTTGTTATAGCTTAATTCCAGGGACAGCATGACAACAGGCAAGAGAAGCACGGAGGCCGCTGATCGGTTATCTCGGAGCACGAACAAACAGATGGAAATGCGAATATATAATAACAATGTATTTTTATACAAGAGAAGAAGCAAAAGTGTTGAGAGTCTTTGGTAGATTGAAAAGCATTGGCATGGAACATAAAAATGAACTACATTCTTTCCCAGGGATATACTATAAAATGTAGCCATTTTCTCATTCTTGTTCTCGTGATATCATTATCTTTCACTGCATCGTCGTGATCATCCCGCTGCATACCAATTCTCGCTAACAAATAATTGACTGTTCTCTACCGGGTGTATATCCACTTGAACCACTGGCGACTGCATTAGCGGGCTTGTATTGTTAATTGCAACAAAAACGGGTATTTTGAAATAGTAACTCTTTATTTTACGCGTATGTTTCGACAGTATTTTCATATATTGTATATGGGTCGCGACCCAAAGCTGGGCTCAACAAACACCTAAAAGTCATTAATTTTATTTCCTAGTAAATTTGGTGCTTGCGTAGTTTGTGCACAACCTGAACATAGTATCGTAACAGGTTATGGTTCAGGTTGTGCGTCCTTATGATGCACATGTTTGACGAAAAACACTAATACAAATATCTCAATGAATAACTAAAAGTTATTGATTTTATTTCCTAGTAAATTTGGTGCTTGCGTAGTTTGTGCACCAAGATTGCGCACAACCTGAACATAGTATTGTAACAGGTTATGGTTCAGGTTGTGCGTCATTATGATGCACAGGTTTGACGAAACACCCTAATACAAATATCGAGCCGTAAAAAAAATTTGCTCAAGGCTGTAAACTCCACACCCATGTAGAAATGATGGGCAATGACCCCAAGATGAATAATCACAAATGAAAAAAACTTTGTCTGAAATCAAACTTGGGCCAAAAAGGTCCCTATCTACCGGACTAAAATGTATTTCTGTAACGTTTCGTCTGACCAAAGACAGATTTGAAATAATGTCTGTAATTGTGACTACCTTGGTATAGTTTATATTGTCATAGATAGAATAGTCATGTATATTCCAGCTACAGCATCCTCGCAGCATACGCATAAAGATCCACTAGCATGAAGGCATAGAGGAATGATAAGGAGTTAGTCACGCACAACCCAACTCAAAATTATTCAAATCATATATTTTCATGCAATTTGGGCTTTATTGCAGATGAGCCGGAATAGTATATGTTCAGCAGAGCATCTCAAAATGTCATGCTACAAAATGTACAAACCTGTAGTATTCATGAATAACATCAGCCGAATGCTCTGCAAAAGTGGGTCCCTTGCCTTGTGCCATTGGCAATGACTGAGTCGTCTTTGTTTTGTCAAGTTGACCTCCATTTGCCATAGCTTGTGCTGCAGCATAGTGAGCAAAAGCAAATGGATGAACTGCATAACTTCCCATTGTACCCATAGAGGGAGCTATAGGTTTGTTTTCAGGCTGTCAAGAAAATGAATATTATGAGCAAGCATGTCCATACTTCTCCTATTCTACAGACAAACTCGTTACAGTTTATGGTTAGTTACTGCAGTGGTTTTCAACCTTTTAATGCAGCCGAGCCCCAGAGAAATAATCCCATGGCTCGTGGAATCATTTAGTTTCATTGTTATATGCAAAAATTATCATTTATTCAATGAATCAAATTTTAAATACTCAGATATATATATATAAGCCAGCCTAATAATGGGAAACAAAAAGATCTTTATAGTATAGCAAGTTTGATAATAGTGACAAACCTAATACTTATTTGAGTTAGTATAATTAAATCAAATACCAAATGAAACCCAATAGTGGATTTCAATATCAATCACAATTCACAAACATAATTTGGAAAAGGTTTACTGTACCTCCAGTCTTCCTTGCGAAGATGGTTGTGATTCTGAAGCAGAAATGGGGGGTTTTACATGCGTTTGAGCCTTTTCTGATTGTCGACTTACTGTCGGTGATTCTGTTTTTCGTTGCTGTTTCATGCTTATGACAGATTGCTGTTGTTCACTGGGTGATGGTTGTTTCATTTCACTTTTTTCGTCCGAAAATTCTCTGTGTATGATATGATCGATAAATGTTGCTGCTCTCATTTTTGTTCGTCCACTTCTCTTCAAATCCTCACCAGGATTTTTCGAAACATTCCTTTTATAATTCTGAAAACATGAGAGCAATGCTCAAATATATGAACACCAAGACGAAAGGTCATATAAGTGTTCCCATATATTTGTTAGTAACTTTGCCAATGTGTACAAAGTATCAATGAAAATATTAAAATTCATTAGGAAAGTCTGTCTCATTTACGATTGGATGATCTTTTATGCAAATTTCAAAGAGTCAAATTTTATTCCTGAATCATGCTTAGTATATTCTGGTGCAGAATTCATATGACTTTTCCTTAATTCCGATAATAATTTTTTTTTATTACTACCTCAGAGCTTGCATGCCCATGCCCAGGAATTCTTTCAGCATGGGAGCGCCCAGGTCCTTCCTTGATCTGTTGCTGTTGTTGAGTAGGGTAAGGTGAATGAGTACGTTGCTTTTGAGGTGTAGAAGATGGCTCGCCATGGTAACCACTCCCAACTGGAGTGCCGGATTGTCTGAAATAGAATAATTGGGATTTGAACATGAAATAATTACTCCATTTATAAACGACCGTACTATTCATCACACTTGCTTATGTATAAGCTGTAGCAGCAGTGACAAAGATATCAGTGGCATATAAGACTCATATAAAATACTTATACCATTAAAAACATAATTAAAAAAACATAACTACTGTAACTATTTACGTAACTAACAACAATTTTTGAATAACAGTGTTTAATTCTAATTCTTCTGATGGAAGAAAAAATAGGAATTAGGATTCTGGGACACTTACTGTTGACGCATTTCAATGCGTTCAGCGGAAGACTTCTGTGAAGGTCTAGGACTGCTTCGATGCATGGATCTTTCATCCTAAAAATAACACATCTAATGACCACTATGCTTATCACTAAAATAGAGCAATGATCAAAAAATATGCCTAGCTGAGCACAGATTTTGTTGAGAATGATGTCGACAAAAGTGTTCCCATAAGCGATTAAAAGTGTCTCCATGGATCAGAAGTAAAAAACAAAATTTTAGGTGATATATCAGTCCCAGAGGACCAAAAATAGAAGAAATGTCCTTATACTGACTTCGTCCATTTTTCAATACTGAAAATTTAAAATTGGTTAATTAGTAGCAACGAAAAACAAGTTTTCCCCAACAACAATTCAGCATAACGTCAATCAGTTGGTTCACTTAAGAGTCTAACAAGCGCAATTTGTTAATCATCCAGTACCACTTTACCTTTTTTGGTTGGGCTTTCACAAGTCCATGACCTGTCATAGACATTGGTTGAGGTGGTGGTTTTACCTCACCACGATATTTTGGACTCTGAGAGTCTCTTCCAGCATGAGTATGATATTCGTGAGGTGGTTTAATCGAATCGGCTAGGTTAGGGCTTTGGGGCAGTGATCTTGGGTGTGGTCCCGCAGAATCAGGTCGAGATCTCTCAATTCTATTATGTATACTTCCATCAAATGATCCTGATCTGTTGTGCTTTGCTAAATATGGAGAAGACCGGGATTCCGCAAGACGTGACGCCGCCGCTGCATTAGCTTCTGCTAATTTATTAAACATTTCCGCATCCAGATAATGAGGTGGGATAAGGTGGGGTGACTTTGACATCGCAGGGTGATGGTAAGAAGGTTGACTGGATGGGGTACTAGAATGTGGGTAATGTGGATGATGAGAGCCGGCAGATCGTTGAGAATGTGAGGGACTTTGTTGTTGATACCCTTGTGGGGTATACCTATCTCTGGGTGATAAGTTTCCTCTGGGTGAATGATATCCCATAGGGCTGACTGGTGAGTTGCGTTCTTTGATTGCTGGATGATTGGCGAATTCTCTTGGTGGATCTCCAGATCTATGACGTTGTCTGATGAATTCTGGACTACCTGCTTTTGGAGGCCTTTGTGATGGAGACAAACTACTTTCTGCAAGATTCTTTCCAGCTTGTACAGCAAATTGAGAAGGATATGGGCTACGAGTTAATGCTGGATGGCCTGGTATGTAATGCAAACCAGCTTGCTGTAAGCCTAAAATAAAAAAAAAGCGAATGTCTTGGTCTTGGGTCTCCAATTTTAAAAACAATTTACTATCCCACATACATTCTGAAATAATATTTTTGAATATAGAATGTCATTTATATCTTAAATTGGGTCGTATTCAACAAATAACTCCAACAGTTCAATAAATCAAAACTTGTTCATGCAGTTTGCAGTTTGGTTGCGAATTACGATAAACATTTTTTGTCTTTGATTTTCTATTATTAGTGTCAGAATTTAAAAGATTTCTAATTTTCGTCTGAACATCGGGCGTTAAATGCTCAACATGCCAAAATTTGAAATAAATTATTCCTAAAATCGAGAAAAAAACTATAGCAAATATAACCAATTTCAAATGTAGGCCTATAATAAAATTTTTTCGTTTTGCACATCTCTGCATGCAGGTTTCAACAGTCCTCTGACAATATGATATTATGATGAAGCAAGGAGACAAAAATCAATACTACCTGCATATGGAGTAGCGAGTGGATGATATGCACCAGTACCACTAACAACTAGGGGTGGAACGCCTTGAAGCCCAGGTGTACTTATGGCAGCATTAGGAAACAAAGAAGCTGTAATAAAGTTGGTGAGCCATAATTAATTTAAACAATAATAGATTCGATTAATAGGTTAGAGCAGCTTTCTCAAAATGTGTGCTGCGGAACACTACTGTTCAACTAGGTTCTTCGGAGCATTCCGCGAGACAGGAATCAAAATTTCGACTTAATTGGTTGCCATGGCAATCTTGGTCGTGCTTCGGCGACTCTGGGTTGTAAATTTCTCTCCTCACTAGTGACAAACAGGCGGACAAACAATGTTTTTGTTACCCGTTTGATATCGTTAACCGTCGGCCTAATTTTTTTAATTGTCAAGCATATTGGAATGCTATTGATTACAAAAAAAGCAAAAGTGGAGACAATGAGCCTCGTGGCAAAACTGAATTTAATCGCAATCTCAACAAATTCCCTAAGCTATTGCTATATTTAGCTAAGACATCAAATTGGGTTTTAGTTTGGTTGTGAGAGCATCAGACGGGCCAGATTGAATTACCCAACCTGCCAGATTTGGCCCACAGGCCGTAGTTTGCCCATGTCAGGTCCAGAGTCCACTAAAAAATAAATTAGAAGTGCTGAAATATGCTTGTCATCACACCTCCGATTATGGGGGATAATAATATGCGGGGGGATTGTTGGACTTCTTGCCAATGTAGAGTTTTCCACATAACCTCTGGTCGGTTGGAGCATCCTCCATGACCAAGTCAATGGATATTAAACAAATAACGCGCTTATACCCAGTATGGACTGGTAACCGGACAAGAGACTGTGGTACGCCATATGAATAAGCCATCTTAACGGATTTCCTCTCTCTCTCAAGATATAAATATAAAATCCTATCATATCCAAAATGGTTTAGGGTGTGAAGCGTACGTTAGAAATGATTACCTGCTGTAACCAATGCAGAAGTAGGTTTTCTGCCCTGCATTAGCTGAGCTGTCACAAAGTCATTATTTAACATTTTAGCGGTTGATTCTCTTCCTGATTCGTCACTCTGTGGGCTTCGTGGAGCTAAAGGAGATCCTGGGGCTGCAGTATGAAACCAGGAAGGAAGAAATAGAGGCGATTGAAAGCCTGGTAATCTGGCTGCTTGATATTGTTGCATTAGGTTTTGGAAATCTGGATTCGGTGCAAATCCTAGTGGAAATTGTGTCCGCAATAAATCTGGATTTACTGAAATATATAATGTAATCTAAATTTCAGGTTTTTGATTCCCATTACAATTAGAAATCCTCTACTCTTCCTAAATTTAATGTCACTGGCATTCTAGATGTTTTAGCATAGCTTTACAACATAAATCATGATATTCGTGATAAAAAACCTAAAAATATATCCTGGATATATATTCATATAAAGAAGCATTTTAGATTAACAACACATCAAAATCCAATCCAAAATTTTAAAATCAAAATTATGTTCGTTCTGCAATAAATTTTTGCCGTCCTTTAAAAAATATTTCCCACCCATATGCAACATAAAATGAGCTAGTTCTTAATAGCAAATACCAGCTATGGTGCTTGCAGCAGCTGCGGCTGCAAGTTGATGAGAATCGAGCAATCCTGGTATAGCTGTAGTAAATGCAGGATTCCTACGAATCATTTCTTCAATTGTCATAGGACTGCCTTGTAATTCTTGTTTTACTGCCAAGTGCTGACCCAGAGGACCGGTCGGTGTACGCCTATGGCTCGGCTGTGAATAAACAAAAAAAATTAGGTGATTGAAAATGTTAAAAATGCCACCGCTAAGAATACTCATAAAAAATAGTACAAATACAAAGTATAAAATATAAATTTTCCAAATATTTTATCAAAATCTGCTCAAAGAAATCAGTTACATTTAATTAGTGATAAAATATATTCTCATAAGTGTTGTTCAGAACTACAATTAATATAAAAGTGTTTTTGTGAAGATTGCAATATTTTAGTAAAACTTTGATACATATAAACGATATCGATGTATATTTGAGACTGATATATCGCAATGTATATTTCAATTTCATTTATGATGAATACCTTTACATTTGAAATAAAGAACTCTCTCGAAGCTGTAATATGCAATAGTACTCGGTGATTGAAACTAACAAATTTATATTACTTGGCAACTATGACTTCAAAATGAAAGATTACTTACAGAAGCGACTCGTGAGCTGTGAGATGGATCTCTCAAAAGTTTTTCTGGAGTTCTTCTATGATACGGGTCTGTGAAAAAAATTTGAAAATAACTATTTAAAAAAAGCGATTCCAAAAAAAAACAAAATTGTAATTCAACTACAATGTTATGAATGCGTGAATGAAAATATTCTTCCAATATTCCTACATATCGTGAACTAATATTATTAAATATGGGATATTGAATGAATTCTAAAATGTGTTCTGTTCAGCCGATAAATTTTTATAAATCATTGTAAATTTATAAAAATAATTAAAAAAAATTAATTTATTACAGTGTATTGGAAGTCAAAGTAAGTTTATTTTTGTCAAGATGAGAAATTTTCGAATGAAAATATTCAGAATTATTCACAAAATCAAGAAGAAATTATATTGAATATATCTAATTACAGATGTATTCGAATATATATTTTTAATACCAAGCTCATTCATTCCTTTGGTTCCGAACAATGAGCACATGAAGGGGTACAAGCCTACACTGACATATAACTATATGCAAGGAAATACTAATTTGAGAGGACTGGATCTTGCCGGTTCGACATTGCCTATCTGATTTGTCACACTCTTGGTGAGCATGGGAATTAAACATAAACCCGCGATGACAACAAAATTGAGACATTCTTAATAAAAACAAAACAAGCTTTCCGAAAAGACAACATACCCTCTTTCTTAGGAAGATATCCTTGATGTAGTCCCCTTGTATCACTAGCGGATCTGTTGGAACTTGAACCAACACGTTCAGTTTGTTTCATATTAGGAGGAAGGATTGTAGGAGATTGTCTCGACACCACGGCACCATGATATGCTGGGTTAGAAGTAGGAGACAAACTTGAATTCGAATCGTCACTTGGTTTTCGTTTAACCGGAGTACCATCGAGTATAGAACCCTGCCCTGATACAGGTTTGGTAGGGAGCCCTTGAATTAGCGAAGGATGCATTCCAGGGAGAGAAAAACGGATAGCGGGATAGTTTTGCATTCGTGCCATTTCGTGACGCAAACTGGTTTCACTTGCTCGTGTTGGATCAGGTAGGGAAGGTGCATGTGAATATGCAGCCTGAACTAATATATCTCGCCCATGTATGATGTCTTTACGAATTTCGGTTCGCTTTTCGTGTCTTGCATCCTGGGGTCTGTTAACTGGCAATCCTGTCGTTATGGATCCTGGTGGTTTTACAGTTTGTACATCTTGTCTAACCATACCACGATTTTGATCATTACCCATGTTGGCGAGCTGTTGTTCTATCATACTTCTGGGAAGATTTTCGACTAACTTTACAATAGAAGGTCTTGAATCTTGCAGAGTTTTTCTGATCAATTCAGGTGGATGACCTCTGCCATCGAGAGCTTGTCCATGTTCAGGGCGTCTTTGGTAAATATGCGCATCAGCAGTACGAGGTAGCTGACCTGATGGGTAATCTTCTAATTTCCGACTTTCTATATTTGGTGCTGTAGGAGTCGGTTGCTTTAAAGGTTGTTTTTGTAAAACAGGAGCCCCAGAAGTCATTGAGCCAGATACATACTTGGTAGGTATTGAGCTGGTGGTAAGTGATGATCGAGCAAGTGATATTGGAACCTGTTGTAATAATGATGGTTGTATTGGTTTTCCAGGTTCAGCTTTAGGATAGTGAAGTCCGTGCATAGCTTTGCCTGTCTCAATGACAGACATATTAGGTTCTCTCTGAAATAAAGTTTGAGATATTTAACAAAAAGCAAACTCAATAATATTTAGCTAGCCAGTAGTAACGTATTAGTGGTCAGATGGTCCTTTTAGAAATTAATAATAAATTAACAAAGACAAAAAATACTAAAAATAGCTACCAACAGACAGACCTTCAAAATTGGTTCGGGCAATCGGATGTCTCTGCTCTGGCTTGTGCTATAAGAAAAAACAAATTTAATAAAGGTGAAAGGCAATTTAATAGATTAGAGATACAAACAAGGAGCAAAACACATACATTTTATTAGTAAACAACGAGATGAAGCATCGCAAATTACTTGCTTGAAAGTGAAACAAACATATTAATGTAGAGAGCGAAATAGAAAACAAATACTGGTAATGATAGATTTGGGGGCATAGTAAGATTTTAACCTGCAATGTAATATTGACGGCTTTCTTAGCTAAGGTATGAAAAAGACATTTAAACAAACTGGAAAATTAGCAACTGTTACTTATCAAGAAAAAGACATTTGTTTCAGTTTTAATTCAGATAGTCACTTTACAATTCAGAGTACGATCTAATATCACAAAAGTGCTTTCGCTGGATATATCGTTTCAACTAAAAAAAACTTATCCATAACGAGCAGCAAGTCAAACCTAAGCACAGACTATGTTAAGCTTAAGATTTACCTTGGCATGGGAGCTCTCAATGACATAACAGGAATGGCTGATGTTGCTGGTATCGTTGCGGCTCTATCACGCATCATAGCAACATCCGAATGTGAGTACTTATGTGGCCTTGAGATGGGTGCTGGATCTAACATATGGGATAGAAGAAGAAAAAATAGGAATTTGAGACAGATTATTTTACAACAGTCAAAGCCATAAAAGTCATAAACATCTATTTGATCTGAATTGTAAACTAATAATAAAGAAATGTAGGAGAAAAGGTACTACTGGTTAGTGTTCTCATCAGGGATGGATTTCAAATACATTGGGAAAATATTTTGAACATGGAATTATATATGTACATTCTAAAATGGGAGCACGTTCATGTAAAAAATTACTAAATTGGGGGGCACGTTCATGTGGAAAATTACATATATTCATGTTGATCACATCTGAAACGACATAAATATGAGAGTCATTGTTTTCTCTGTGCTGTTTGTTATCAGTTGAGACTTCGTACAATCTGATCTGCTTATCTGGCAGCTCCAAATCTCTAATTTTGATCTATTTATTTTATAAATTATTCCTAAATTCAAAATTTTTTATATCGAATATATTGGAATTAGAATATTCGATTCAATTTGGACATGCCTGGTTCCCGAATTTATAAATTTTAAATATATATCTTTCGAAGTTTCATAAAACCATATGAATAAATTATAATCAATTTAAGAGTAGACTAAAGTTGTTAATAATTGCTGAAATGATACTAGGAAGAACGAAATTAAATCTACCCATAAAATAAATAACTCGAGTACAGAAACCCCATGCTTTGAGGACTGAGATTAAAAACTATATTTTCAGGTCTACCTCAGTATCCTGGATATTTGTACTTTACTAATTATTATATCGTCTCAAATGATAAATGTTGCATTGGATAGAGAAAAAAATTATGCCTACATCCTAGTGGTACAAGCTCAACACTTCTTGGGCTTCCAGTTATCTCTTACATAGATACACTGATCATCTTTGTCATTCACAAATTCAAATTGCACAATGAATAAAAGGTTTTACATGATTACCGTACCTTCTTTAACTTTCACTTCAATCTTCTGTGCTAGAAAATCTTTCTGCAGAGATGTAGCCTCCTGTGGTACTGGATGATAATGTTGCGGACGGTGTTGATCTTTACCAGAAGTGACAGGCAGTCTCTTGCTTAAATCTACAAAATATATGACAGGAAATAAACAGAATCTGAATCCGTTTTTAAAAAACTCTACAACGACTAGGATAAATAATATTATGAATTAACTGGAGTCAATTTTTGAGTCAAATTTCTTGTACAACTGAAAATGACTACAATTATGGTAAGTCATGATTTTGTCTGAAGAAGTCTGACCTCGGTCAGAAGAAGTGTAACAGAAATACATGTGTTATTGTGCAGCAAGACTCTCAAATCCAAAAGAAAGAGCACCCTTGCATTATACATATAAGCCCTCACTTGCGCAAATGCATAGGAGGCAAGGAAAGGTAGTCAGCTTTGCATAATTCCAACTGATAATAATTAGTCATGATTTGTACAATTTTGGACTTGAGTCAAAACTCTTATGCAACTGAGATCTTAAAATTTGAACTCGTCTGCCTGCACTCCCCTTAAAAACCACCAATCACACTCAATTTCAATTCAACAAGAAGACTTTTGACAGAGTTTTCAAGAATAGTGAGGGGGGAATAAAGAGTTTTAAAATGGACAAAGCGAAGAATATGTCAAAAAGGGTTGGGGAGCACTTTCACTTTTGTGGGTAAACCAAACTTGAGAGGTGAGGGGTTGGTACTAACTTTGAATGATAGGTACAGATAATGCATTGGTACAGGCTCATGTTCAATGTAAAAATATTTGTCTTGTGCACAACAATTTTAAACGACATTTACCTTCCGAAGTCGGCAATCCTCTTGCAGTTGGGACAGTAAGGTCAATAGTTTGAGAGACATCTTGTTTTATGGGTTTAGATTGTGGAACAATAACTGGTTGATTTATTGATGCAGGAATTGGAGGTTTGCTTTGTGAAACATCAACATTGCGTAATGCAGAAAGAAACTCTGAAGCTTCAGGTACTTTTCCAATGATGTGGCCTTTGAAGTAACAAAAGATTTTAATGAGTGAGAATATAGTGAGATTAAAACTGAACATATGGCCTGAGAACAATGCTCAAATTGATGGACATGAGCGGGAAATGAGCATTCTCAAAATGCTTTGAAATTCGGATCAAATTACCCTATTGCCATTAATTACCCTTGTCGCTCACACATACGGACTGGGGAGACAAAGTAGGCCAAAAAGGTTGACGGACGAGTGTGATGGAATGACACATGGTGGCACAATGTAAAGAAGCTAAACTTGAAGTGAAATATAGGGCTTCACAGAAATTAGAACAGCCTTCTAGTCAATTTTTCCTTCTTCCAATACTAAAAATTTGAAATTGATTTGTCAAGCAGTTGCAAAGAAAAGCTATTTTTCCCTAAAAAAACACAGCTTCGATAATTATGCAATGCGATCCATAGGTCTACTTCATATGCAAAAATTTGAACCCCCCCAAAAGCATTAAATATGATGTTAAACAGTTGTATTAACGTATTATGCTCTAATTTGTGTTGTGTACATTCTCAAAATATATTATTGGATGAGAGAGGCAAAAATCAAATTTTAAAATATTCCAGCCAATGTGACAAATAATTCTTTAAAAATTGATGGAGTACGATAAGGTAGCAAGCATGTTTATCTGAATATGACAGACTCAGTGGCTGAAGATCTCAGATTTTCGACCTGGGCAATTATTCTATAATCATTTACCCCAAGTTACCCCAACTTCCTCACAGTAAAAGAAATTTGACCGTGCCCAACTAGAATTTGTTTTGGATAAAGGCATAAGAAAGTTATTCGATAAAAAAAAAGCGCGAGTCATATTATTGTACTTTTATAAAACTTGTTGTGAATAATAGTAGAGTTTACTAAAATTATGGTACTATCGACAGGGTAGTCATTTTGATTTATGACATACGAATTTTGTCCGAAATCCCTAGAAAATAGTAACAGACTAAGTTTGACAAAATCTCATTCAAAATGGCAGCATAGATGTATGAAGTGAGATTCATGGAAAATGTATGGTTTTCACATGAAAACAAGTTCAAACCAGATCATACCTGAAAAAGGTCCATGCGCTGGTAAATGCCAGGCAGAAGTTGGTAAGGCCTTAGAAGTTAATACACTTGGCATTGAAGATGGTACAAGAGATGGAGTAGAATTTGGTCGTAAATTACCTACAACAATTAATATGGTGCCATTCAAGCATGTAATTAATTCACACAAAACATAATTTGCAAAAAGATATATAAAAAAAGCAATATACTGTATTAAGACCGTTAAGATTCAGGCATAGATAACTTCAAAACAGTTGAATAGATTCTTGCCACACTTGTCGTTTATTTCTATAGCTCGTACATCCGCACTCTTTTATTATGATAGTTTGTTAAAATCTTGAAAGTGCACAAAAAGGCCATTTACTAAAACATTCACTAAAAATCTGAATATTGAAATTTCATATGACATTATCCTGAAACAAAATCGAGAAAATCTGCTGTATTCTTATCTTCACTTATATAATGATGTAAACACTCTTTCTGTAGCTTGTTCGACACTTTTTCATTTTTCTATAAGCTTGACACTTGCAATTTTATAATTTTCTATACAAATGATAACTATATAAATAGCGCAATTTTAACTAAATCCAAACAAAACAATATTTTATCCTTCAAAGAATATTGCTACACTATACTGACTACAGCTGTTATCTAGTCCTAAATTACATATCTTAAACTGCTACTTATTTTGAAACTAGGAATCATCTTTCATCACATTCACTGACATAAAATTGCTTGTCCAATTCTATTCCAGATCTATCGATTAATTATCAAAGAAACTCTTTATTAAAATTATAAACCGTAATTAGCCGCAGTAAAACCAAAGTACCCTATGTTAAATGGACTTCTTTATTTTCCCTCATTAAGGATAAGGGATCATCTTTTGGTCTGGTTTCAAAGTTGTACTGAAATTTCTCCATGGCCAGTTTTTGGTTTGGCTGTTAGAACCAAACTATTACAAAAATATGAATCTTTCAGAACCTTATGCTGTGACCTGAGCTTACTTGGTTCTACTGCGGCGATATGGAGTCCGAAAACGCTCAAAAACAAATTTTAAAATTACTGCAAAAAGCCAGCAAATGCAAATTAACGCAAATTTACACAAACAAAGATTACATAGAAATTAATAGTTCTGAAAAAAATTATTGCACAAAGCACATTCCAAATTACTATCAGCAACCCTGGTCCAAATTATGCAGAATCAATATTTTGATATGACAATTCAATTCTCCTTACTCCACAACAGTAAATAATTGCAATTACCACACAAAGTAAGTAATTTTACCCGATTTTTGTTGTTTGACGACTGGTGTAGGTTGGAAGCTCAGTGCACTAATAGGTACATTAGTGGTTGGAAGAGCGCCTGGAGGTGGGGGTAATGACTGGGGTCGTTTTTGATCTTGTGGTACGAAAGCCATCTGTAGGGGTGGATGAGTTGAAGAAGGTCTTTCAGCTGAAATAAGAAACATTTTCACTTGTAATATTGCGAAATGTAATAAATAATTAGCAGAGATGACAGTATCGGAATAGCCGGCATTTCTCAAATTTTATCCTAAAATTAATTTAGATTTCTAATATTCTGAATTCAATAATTTTACATTAAAATCATGGAATATACCATTGTCAAATACGTATAAATATTAATAACCCCAAAAACGTCGAAATATTAATGAAAAAACAGTAAGTTCAATTATATGAATTCTTACTATACAACTTTCATAGCATTAATTTCAAATTCTTTGAACATTTCTAATAAGGAGAAGAGTACAAATATAACTTATGTGATATCAAAAATGTAAACGAAATGATGAACCACTTTCACGTTGGTAAATAATAGATTGTATATTTATCCAAAGAAAAAAAATGTCGATACATTGATGGACCACATCTTACAATCGATTATATCTTTGGTTGGAATTGAAAATAATTGAACAATGATTCTAAATTGGAAAAATTACTGAAATTATTCCAAATATCAAACTGAAAATTATTATTCAGTCAAAGTAAAGTCTTACTATTTGCTGGTGGAGCAAAAAAAACAGGTGTTTGCTTTGTGGTTGTGGCTGGTGTTACGGTAGTGATTGGAGTTGCATGAAAAACCATCGGAGCTCTTGATGTTTCTAATTTAATAGAAGCAGAAGAGTCATCTTCAAATGCATACGGAGAGTCGGCATGCTTGCGTACACCAGCTTTATTAGACTCCTGTCAGAAGAAGAAAATAATTACAGAAAAGCAATTTTAATAGGGTTATTTTCAGGGCTGTGCAGTCGGAGTTTGGCATTTCTTCACTGGCGCCACAGCCACATTTACAATTTCGATATTGGGAGTAGGAATTAAAATTTTAGATTCAGACTTTCAATGGTGATAAAACAAGCCAAAATTTCTAACAAAAACTCAAAAACCATTATGTTTACTAATCTTTGTTAACATTCTTATAATAAAAACTGTTGGAATACGCCAAGTTTTTCGTCATCCAAATTAAATTTCTCAATTTCGTACCAGGGGTCAAAATTTTTCACAACCTGTAGTCGGAAGTGGAAGTCAAAAACCTTTTTTAAATGTACATTTTCCCTGGCCTCGCGGCTTTGGTTATTGCAGTGGAAAATTCTTTTAACCTCGATGGTTGATGCACAAACGTCTTAAGCACCAGCTACCTGACCAATAATTTCCAACCAATCAGGAAAACAGAAAAGCCAGATGTATACAAATCATTAAGTTAGCATTACATTAACATTGCAAGCGTCTTATACTCACCACATCTTGCATGTTTGGTTCCTCATCTGCACTGCAAGTAGCTGAACTATCTCCTCCATCATTTTCACGACCAGGTAATAAGCGAGGCGGTAAAACGTGTAGATGTGGAGGCTGTGTTTTTATTGGTGCTTGTATTTGTACTCCAACAGGTTTCATTTCACTTGATGGTGCCAACATTGGTTTAGTGTCTGCTGCTATAGTAGTTCTGATGGTTTTAGTAGTGGAAATTGTGCTGATAGGGGAAGTAGAGGATATAGTACCAGGTGCAGATGCTGGAGTTGATGATATAACTATCGCTGGTGCTGGTATGTTTTCTAAAAAAATAATTATTATATCTTCAGACATTTCTTCGTATTTGCCATAAGAAAGTGGTTGGATAGTTTAAAATAGAGAGATATAGGGAAGTAAAGAGTACAATGGGAAAAAAAATATTATCCAAAAGAAATTTTTTTCATGCTGAGTTCAATTACTCTGAATTTTTGGAACAATATTTGTCAAATCTCCAGATTTTGCGTTATTAAGGCTTCGCTTCAGTCATTTAAATTTAATAGGCATTGAAGCAAATTCTTCATGCTAGTGGTGGTGGGTACTTAATTCTATTATGAAAGTAATTCATTGAAGCGACTGGTTTGGAAACAAATTTGAACTAAATCTTCACAGCATATGCAAAAAAGAGAAATAGTCTAACCTGGTTTAGTCGCAGTAGGCGTCTCCTTTTCCTTCCCAGCAGATTTAGATTCAGTGATCGTCTTTTCATCCATTGTTTCCTGCAAATAAACAAAAGTATTATTCCAGAGTCAGAAAAGCAAAATATATTAGTAACTTTAAATAATTTAAAATAAAAAAAATTAAAATTGAGAATTGAGATTACAAGAATTGTTATCCCATTCCCAAATATTACTTAATGATGAAATGAGGTGAAATTGTGAATTTTCTACATATTCATGCCTTCATTACACAGTTACCATTATTAGAAAAAATGGGATTGCTTTGGTTAGGCATTGTCCACCTAATTTCACTCCTAGTGAGATGGTGGACATGAGTTTGAACCAGGGGACGATACCGACATAGTTAGCACGACTATCACGAACTCAATGTCAATATTCATTTATAATATGTTTCTCCTTACTGTGACAATTAGTCCCACAATACCTGCGGTTTATTTTCAACTTTCTCTGTTGGTTTTGCCCCCTCAACCTCTAAACTCTCTTTCTTGTCAACTTCATTTTGTTCCTTGTTTTCATCTTTCACTTCTTCTGCTTCGACTGATTTCTACAGAGTAATTTATAAAAACAATGATGAAAATAACACGTTATCATTTCAATCCGAACACCACTTAGATAATATGCATCATACAAAAGTTGCAATATTCAGAAAAAAATGATGCAAAGTTATTTGTTTCATTGTATGGATGGTGTAGGAAGTCATAACTGCCCAGTTGTAACTTGAACCACCCTGCAATCCTCTTTTTTTAAATCTAGCCACTACGAGATTTGTGACCCCGGGCAGGTTAATTAGAGTCGTGGCGATCATAAAGTTGAATCATGTTATATATATATATATATCAGAAGTCGACAAACTTCGGATTAATATATAATATGGACCGCGCTGCTTCACTGAATAATAGTAACAAAACAGCTGCTCTGACGATTATATTCTTTACGTAAAAGAATTTATTGTGAGACAAGTGTAGACTAAAGTATAAAATTCACAATTTAATGAGCTTATAATTTAATAATATTTAGACAAATGGCAACAAAACGCAGAAAAGTTGATGCTGAGTGCAAAGGTTTCAGTGGCGCCGAAAATATTTAAATGGAAATCTTTGAGATGCAATGTAATGAAGAGATGTATCACTGCTTGATTTTTATTATAAAAAGTATCATCCGTTCGGTTTTCAACCTTCAAAAAAAATATGTGCGCCCGCCAATGACTTGCAACACTTAATTTTGGTCCGTGAGCGACAAAAGTTTGCAGAACCCTGATATACATGAATCGCCTACAGTTCAATAATTATTATTATTTCAACTCACTTTGGCTTTCTTCTCAGCCGGTTCATCAGCAGTAGTAGATTCTGGAGATCGTTTTGCAGCTTCACCTAAAAATAAACAAATTAAAATAATCAATAATCATTTGATTCACTGCAACAAATCTTGTAAAACGAACTACTCACTCCTGGTAACTTCTGTGCCTGCAGAACCAGCAGCAGTTCGACGAGTCCTGATCTGCGATGACAATGAAACGGGGGTTGTGACTCTAGAAACAGGCTCACCTGATGTTTCAGTTTCAGTTGTTGTTATGGTGGGAATGTTGCTTGCAGGCTAATATAAAATGAACAATCACAAATGTATTAGTAAATATGGCATTTATAACAAATTACCATGAGATACAAAGAACTTGGCAAACGGCCAACAATAAATTACCTACAGTATAAATTGTAGACAAAATAAAGTATGAATTCATTTTATAAATTGTTACCTGTGACTGTTCAGTTTGCAAAATTTAAAATAATCTAAATTTTTACAATAGATCTTCTAAGTAATCATACAGAAACTGAGAGTCACAATTTTCCAAACCAGTACTGTCGAGTCAGACTAAATTTTTCAAATGCAGACAACAAAAAAAACAGACTTCAACTCCAGCCCGCAACGCCAAATTAACCAATGCCAAATCCAATTTCATATCTCTTGATAATAGCAGCATAATTGGTCCCGCCATATGTCATTGGGCAGTGCAATGTCCTAGTGGTTAAAGCGTTAGGGTGTGCAACAGGCGGCATGCAGGTCACAACATGGCCCACCAAGCCATTTAGTGTGGCCCTCGTCAACACTCATATTTTCCCCCTCATCAAACATAAAATCCTTATCCAACAGTTATCCAAAAATGCATGAACAAGCAAGCACAAACGAAATCAAACCTTTTCTGTCTGTACTTGATTTGGTTCCTCTTTTTTGTCCAGTTTTTCATCCTCTTTCTTTCGTTTTTTGCTCAATTCTATTTCAGTCGTTGAAACTTGTGGGTCAGCACTTTTTGGTCGACTGTCATCAGCTGCCATATCCTCATCCAACAATGGAGATTTTGATTCAATTGATGGTGTTGATGACTGAGACTGATTTTGTGTTCTTGTTCTTCTGGAACCTTCATTTGGCTAAATATAATATCAACAGATTAAAATTTGAACTCATTAAAAAAAGAAAGTATTATCGGATATGCAAGACTAGCTTCCTATCCTTTTTATGCCTCTGCACTGCTCTGCATGAGTATAATATAAGGATACTGTAGAAGGAGAAGAGATGACCATGTGATTCAAGGGCTGCACACTAACAAAAATGCCTTTCTGTAATGTACCATCTAATCAGGGTCAGACTTCTTCAAAATCAGATATTACCAAGCATATTGAAAAATAAAGAATGCAAATTATAATTTTCATATAAACTTCATATATATATAAAAGTAATAGGCTTAATTAACACGTAGGCTCGGCTTTGCTGTACATCTGAGCAAGGTAAAATTTCATTCACTATAAATATCTCCAATTTTTGGAATATGTCATACTGAAACACCAATGGCAATTAGGAAGAAAGCTGTTCATTTTAAAGTGTTAATCGAGTTTAGATGTTGATAGAATCAACTTTTTAATGTAAACTAATCATTTAAATTAACTTATTTAAAAAATAAATTAACCTCTTTAGCTTGTTACCATAAAACTAAATAACCAGAAATTCCATTATTCAGTAACGAGACCAGTATTTCCCAATGAAATATCTAACCATAGAAATTAGTAGGCAATATTTACATATACATACAAGGCAAAATTTTTCCATTCGGATTAGCCGTTTTATGTGCAGAGGCAACTTATCAGAAAAAGCACTTCCTCATTATCTTATTGGAGGGGTATATATGGGGTAAGGATGCCAAAACGGACAATATAGGTCATTGGATGAACAATTTGAGTCTAGAAAATTTAAGAGATATACAACTGATTTACCTTTTTCTTTTTCCCATCTAATATAAGCTGATCCAAATTGTGTTTCTTTTTATAGTTATGATAGAAATTTTTAACTTGAAGTTCAGATTTGTTTGCAAACAGACGTGAAATAGCAGCAAAGTCTTTTCCATGCTTCACAAAACCTTAAAAAAAATATATAAATCTTCAACAAGGTAAAAAGCAGTCAATCAATTTCAATCTGTTTGTTTATAGTAAAGTTATAGTCACTCAATATTGCTTTGAGCTTTGTGATATAACAAAAGCCAGCAAATACATCTTAGCAAAGAAATACATTACAACTACATCTATAGAGTATTTTCAAAATATTCTTCATAATAATCTTCATAATAATCTTCATAATAATCTTTGTATTTTAGCCAATTTTCTATGGATAATTGTTATATTATGATTTATTGGGGATATTGGGGCCAGATAGTGAAGTCGTCTTATTTTCATTCTATTCATGTTTCCCCCGTGTATCAATCTTCTTGTTTATTTCCCTAACATTGGCTAATTAGCAAGATGTCAAAGGTGATGTCATCATTGATATTTTAGCAGCGCACACTTTTTTTACTCAGACTGATTTATAAATATTTTGTTTGTAAATATTAGTAGCTAGCAAGTTTGTATAGTCTTCATGATTTTGATAGGTATTTATCACTTTGTAGTTTTGATACTAAAACCGGTCAAATAATTCAATGATAATTTTTTTGTTTTCAGAGGATTTTTAATTTGGTTGCAGTCCAAAAACAGCCACAATAGACTAAGCTGAATTTTTTATAACAAATTCCAATTGAAGGTGACATCAAAGCGACCATTATGAAATAAGTAAACCCTAGTGCCAACTCGCAAAAAATTTTATCATTAATTAAGCATCAAAAATTTTGCAATGATCTAGTATGATTGCATTTTTCTGGGATCAAGTGTCTCGAAAACATTCATTACCTGTCCCGAGATAATAGTGAAATCCAATGAGTTGGTAAGCAAAACCAGATACCAAAACCCACCTAGGTCAAATATTACCAGGTAAAAGTTTCAAATTCAAGAGTTGGAGTCTTGGAGACAACAAATGATGAATGAAAAAATTATCATAATAAATTGTTACTACCGGTAAGTACTTTACCTTCTTTAGCAACTGCTATATCTTCATCTGTCCAATTCATGTTTTTGTTTCTTGATCCTGTTGTATGACAGAAATAAGTGATAGTTAAATAAGTTTTTTTCACAAAAAAAATAATAAAAAAGAACAGAAATATCCGATTTTTATCACAATATTTTATATTTGATAGATGCTTTGCAACAAGATCACTAAATGGTTCAGCATAGCTGAGAAATGAATAATTGAAAGTTTGAACTGGATTCTCTATCCAACAATGCAAACGGAGTCGAGACAGTGTACAAATCGATAGTACAAAAATGATTTCAAAAATATAGGTTATCTATAATGATAAATAATGGTATAGCTTCCCAAAACAATTGTTGATCCATTCTCACTTGCATGAATTAACAGTTTTTCATAATTGATGTATAGGGATAAATTGCAACAATATGGCATAGCAGTTATTACTAACTTGTGATTCTCGGAGAAGGCGGCCGATCAATTCTTTCAATTTCCTCTGTTTTTACAATGGTTTCGGGTGACTCTCTTTTCTGTTCTGAATCTTTATCACCACTGAAAAAGAATTATGATAGAGAAAATTTCTGAGTGTACTATAGTCTAAAAATTACAAAGTATATAAAGATTCCATAGATTAGAAAACTAACCCAAAATTTAAAATCAGCACTTAGTATATTAAATGCTTTTCGAATGCATCAAAAAGCAATAAGAAATTTCTCAAAACTATACAAACGGAAAATCAGATTCCCAATGTTGAGATAATACTATACTTACATTGCAGATTTGTCTCCAGACTGTCCCCCATTTTTTATGTCTTGTGATGTTGTTGAGGCCTGTATAGAAGATGAATTTAAGCACATAATATTTGCAGGATCCACCTTTTGTCTTCTTATAACAAAATTTTTACAAATGAAAAGATAGATAAGAAATTTTGTTGCTAGCTGAAAAAGTAATCCTTTTGCCCATGAAACCCATAACTGAATCATTTATAATTCAAGATATTTTTTGTAAAATTATGAAAAATTTAAAAACAATTTCAGGTATTCCTAGAATTAAATAAAAATGGGACTAAGTAATTATTGGCAAGAATATATTTGATATGATCCAGATAAGGGGTGTGAAAGGGCCGATCCACAGGCCACAACCCGCCAAGTCATTTAGTTTGGTATATTTATTTTGCTCTTGTCGCTAAGTTAAATCTTTCACCGTTTTGCTCGGTCCCTATATTACTGTGAGGCTAAGCGATAGATGCATTCTCTGCTTTATCTTCCCCGCAGCGTTTTTAATTCGTTGTGCACACAAAACACATTATTTTGTGTGGCCCAGATCAGAAGTCGGTTATATGGCCCACTGACAAAAAATGTTGCACAGCTCTGATCTAGATGGAAACAGACTTCTCAAACTCGCTTTGACAATAAGGTAAAATGATCTCAATATCAGCAATTATACATTTTTGACATCCATATGCTAAATCAATACATGGAAGGTTTGATAACATAACTATCACCTGTTGTGTTTGGTTTCGCACATTCTTTACTTTCCTTGGTTTCAAATTATTTTTACGAACCAATTGCTTGTACCCAACACTCTTCTTTGACAGATAATAGAATAAAACACAATCCGCTACAGTCTGAAAAAAAAATATTCATCAAAAAGAATAAAAATGAAACAAAAAAACAAAAAATTTACCAATATCGATATGACAATATTTATACATAGAGTGTCCATTCTTGATTAAATAAAATTATGAATTTAACAGTTGGTACGTTCGAATCCAAGGCAGAACACGAAATTTCGTAGTTCCCAAGGGGAATTGCCTAGATCAGTGATTTTCAAGCAGGGTTTAGCTGAACCGCTGAGTTCCGCAATTTTACATTTAAATCCGAGAGTCTATATTAATTATTATACTATTAGTATCGTTTTGTTTTGCCAGTATTAAGTTATAGTTTCTACAATTCTCCTTGTGGCTTTACAAGTATTGCACAGGGGTTCCGCAGGCTTCTGAAATTGGGATTCCGCTTCACTAAAAAGGTTGAAAACAACAGGCCTGGATGCCAGATCTCTCCCTCACAGCGGGTGATTTTTTCCAAAAAAGAAAATATTGAATCTAGGATATAGGCTATAATAGAAATATTGAGAATAGTAAATGTATTCAGTAACAACATAGAAGAGATCAAATACGTTTGGATACCTTCTTTTCCAGAAAAGATGAAATCATATGAAAATTCTTCGGATGTTGAACATATTTCTCTTTGAAAATCTGTTTTTCTTGAGAATCCCAATGATCCAACTCTTGTCGTTTCTGTAATAAAATTATCTTACAAATTAGAAACATATAAATTCAAAAATTCCTATTTATTTTGAATGTAGAAAATTAGAATAGATGATTAATTTCATAACATTATTGTGACATATAATAAATCTTAACTTGGGCTATCGAATGGATTTCTGCAAGATCAAGTACTAATTAGCTTATTATCCTTCAACATGCTTAACCCCCACGGGTGGTCGATAATTAACAAGTATGCCTGCAATCTTGTTATAGTTGCAAATTAAATTTGTCTGAGAAAGTCTGACTCTGGTCAGAAGAAATGTTACAGAAATATATAGTGTTAGTATACAGTAAGACTCCTGAATCAGAAATAATAATAATCTTATTCTATAAATCTTAGTTGAACCTTATAATCTTCTAATGGGTCAGAAACAAGTCCATTATTATTTATAAACTTCAGTCTTCTTTCATCTCTATCCAATAGCATTGGAGGTACAACAGCTAACTGTCTCATGTGTTGTTCTTGATGCTCCTGCAAATTGTATCAAAGAATAATATTGTAGGAATATATATATAACAGTAACATATGGATTTTGTAACTAACTTTTTCAACTTCACAAGGTATAATGCAATGGATTATATGATGGAAATTTATCCCTCAATGAGCTGTTACCAGTATATCACCATATCTTATAAAGAAACTAAAACTTTGTGACACATTTGAATTACAGATAATCGTATAATGCAATTAACAGATTCGGATCATTTCACAGTTGTACAAAGAATGAAGGTTATTGGTGTAACTCAGTTTTTCAAGTGAGGCCCAGCAGCCTAACTAGCCTCGGCCAAGATTTTGTTGGAAACTTTAAATTTAACCATGTCATGAACTTAATAAGGGACATTTAATTTGTAATTAAAACTACTGCGAATGTACCGGTACATGTAGTTGTACAAAGATTGAACAACTGAACATAGCGGAACATGTCGTTAGCTTGCACAATTTTAATGGCGCAAATAAAAAACCGAATACACAAGAAAATAAATGTAATGAATGATCGTTTGATATATGAACAAAAACTATTTGGCAAAAAATTTATATGTAATGTTGGATTTATAGAAGTTATCTGTGTATCACTGCCTCTAATTGAAATTTATTAGAAGGCGGGCCACTAGAAAATGCTTGGCCACCCACGATTGGGTTGCCAACCACTGATGTAACTCGTTCATAGTTATGGGAATTAATTGATTATACATTTATACTGAGTTAACACTTATTCCTCAAGTGGACATTAAATCCAGAAATAATACTGACCTGTTCAGAAAGTCCATCGACAATTTCATTGAAATCTGCTTCACTTCGACATGCATCTCCTCTTGTACCAGTTCGTGAAAATCTTTCCTGCTGCTCTCTCTGTTTTCGAATTTCAGGAAACTGTTTCTCAAAAAATTCTCTCACTTTTGCATCTTTGACTCTAAATTTAGATTCAAACGATTCAAAGAGGCAAACTCAGGGTGCAATAATATGTATATGCAATACACAGGGATGTCTAAAACGAATTGAATACTCGAAAACATCGAAATTCATCATATCCGATAATAGCGAATATTTGAATTTAATAATAATTTAGAATTTTGAGCCGTCAGACAAGCAGATCAAAACATACAATATCGCAACTGGCAAAAACAACACAGAAAAATCAATGACCTTTATATTTGTGTCATTTTGGATATGCCCAACCTGACGATATATAGTGATTTATGTAATTTTCCACATGAACTTGACCCAAATTTGAATGCATTCGAAACTCCATATTCGAAAATATTTTCTCAGAATGTACTGGGATAGTGAAGTATTCGCTACTGGCCATCCCTGGCAAAACCCAACAAAAATATTTTTATCCTTACAAAAATATCTCTGTTTCAGTGGATACTTGCCTAGTGTCTTGTTCAAAGTTAAAATAAATTGGTGGTGCATAACCCTTCTGTACTATATTATATGTTCTGTATTATATTGATTTTCGAAATGAGCATGTGGCAGTATTATATTGATATATAATCTTTATAAACATATGATTTAACTTATGGCTTGGCCTAGGTTACTTACTTTCGCTTGGGGTTGTTTTCAATTTTTTCAATTTTCTTTTGCCATTCAGACATCAACTGATCATATCTTGCACACAAATATCTTTCACGAATATTAGAAAGTTGACTTCGACGTTGGAAATAAGCCAACAATTTCGGTCTCATTTCTTCATTCCTTTAAAAAAAAATGGAGTTTATTTTCGTACTATCAAAATAAATATCTAAGGTATTTTAAGACTAAAAGCTCCAAACAAGATCACTTTCCAAATATTGAAATATTATCTAATTTCTGGTGATAGCCAAATCATATTCTCATACAATAACTTGACATGCCAAATTCAGTGAATAGCCGACAGAATATCATTATCCACCCTTATTATAAATAAGTATTATAAACCTCAGATATTCTGTAACAAGTGAAAAATAAATTATATAAAGTTGTTGGCTTATCATCGATCTTTCGCAACTGTTTCCTTGCAATTTATGTCAAATTGATAACATATAAAATGATGGTTACACTAACAGCTATTCAGTATAGGAGTTTGTTCATGGACGCAACATTAGCACTGCACAATATTCCTAATAAAATCATCATTTTTAAAAATAATTTATCCAGCTTGCGAAATTTAATTTGAAATAGGGAGTATTCAAATAAATTTGAAAAAAAGAATTTAGTAGATATTGGACGCATTGATAGATATTAAACAAACTAAATAACAAATTGGCCACATTTACATTTCGTTATATTTTGTATGATTCAACATCAGATACTAGAACTCCCACACACAGGAATGTTCAAAATTAATCCAATATTCAAATACATTTAAAATTAGTCACATTCAATGTAGTACAGATTCGCTTGCTGGAATAATTTTGAAAATTCACAGCTTAGAGAAAACCAATCCAAATTACTTTACAGTAAAATAAAGATCAAACCCCATGCATATATGATTCTTTCCTTAAACAAACTCATTAACAATACAAATTCCATATTTTTAATAAATAAAAGACCTATGTATCATTATGCAACCAGAAAAGAAAATATCATACTTTTTGAGATTATCCTGATATACTTTAGTATCACAAGGTTGATTATACAGAGGCATTTCATATTGCTTACACAAATGGTCAAGCATCCCTCGAGCTGCTTCAGCCTTTTTCTGAACAGAAATCAATTTGAAGCAAGAAAGAAATGCTTACATAAGTGGACACAGTACTGTTACTAGCCAAGTACCAAATCGGCATACAAGCATGACAGATTTGTGATGCACTACACACCAAACAAGCTAAACTTGAAAATTTGACTCCATAGAACTCAAAGAAAATTTAGCCTATTAGCGACTACTACTTCCATCTTTAAGTACTGAGAATTTGAAGTCAGTAAATAAAGTACAAGCAAAACCGATTGTATCAAAAAATCCTGACCCCAACGAGTACAACTTGGCACAACAAAACCCATATATCCACTTTAGACCAATAGACCGACGAAATGAAGAATCAGACATTTAAATGAAACGATTAGTCAGTAGATCAAATAGCTGCAAGCAAAATTTTCTCACAAAACCCTGACTCTAACAAGTACAACAGTTTGGCAAAACAATTCAAAGGTCCTCTTTGTAACCATTAAAATACAGAATTAGAAATTCAAATAAAATGATAACACAAGCGAATTGTTACCTTGTTTTCAGCATAGATAACTTGCCACAAGTCCCGATGTTTTGGTTCAACTTTTTTTGGCGAAGCTGATTTTTCAGCAGGTGGAGGTTTTTTAGCTGTATTTTCCAGTTGTTGTTTCTTACGTTCCAATCCTCTGATTTCAATACATACCTGTGAGATATAATTTGAATTAATCAACAACAAATACATAATGAGTTAAAAAATTAATTTCTCTAAAAAGATTAATATTCAGTGTTTGAATTGCCAGGTGAAAATAGATACCAGATTTTAGGAACCATAGGGAGCACTTTTTTCCTTTTTTCTCTAAAATCCTTTTTTCTCTAAAAAGTCGATCATGCTCCATATTAGCCTGTGTGCCTGATGTATGAATCAGTAAATGTACATTATTCTTCATTACCTAGACTTAAAACCAGTACCGCCACCGGTATTGCTATAAAAGCCGTTGCGTCTTATAGCCTTATGTACGAATAAAAACCCAATCTAAGCAAGTGTGCCTCATGGTGCATAAAATACAGTACCAGGATATTGAAATTTTGTAACTGAAATTATTTTTTTCGATTCAAAGTTTATTCCACATTTATGTAGTGAAAAAATTTCTTGTTTTATAGTGTATAAAATATATAGAGAAACATTTACATTAGTAATTGTGCATTATGATTGCACAGTTGTCATTTCACAACAGTTAAAAGCTACCGATGACAAATCTAAATTTCTAATATCAAATGTTGAATGCAGGCCATATTGCAACCAAGAAGTATAAACTTTCATCTGTCATGTTGTATATTCTAAATGTCACCAAAGTTTAAAAGCCCAAAATAAATTACCTTTTGAATTTCTTTATCAACTTTATCCATAGATGCCAGGAGAGTTTCTTTAGCTGGCATATTCTCAACCTCTTTGGTATGTGGTTCAGCTTTAATTGCAGAAACTGACGAACCTAAAAAAAAGCATATTCAATGATGAGATTCTATCTTCCCCAATTACTAATTAACACTAGAAATTCTCTTAGTCTTATGCATCAGAAAAAGACAGGGAGTTCAAGAAATTTTTGTAATGAAAAAAGAAAATACCATTAATAAAGTTTTGTAATCAATCGTCTTTAGACCTAAAACTAATAAAATGATAATGGTAAATGATGACATAACATAACACACTAAGTTCAAGTAAAAGTATCAGCAAGAATACTATTCCCATCTTCGTTCATATTCTAGCAGTATAGATTCTAATCGATAATATATCCCATTTTACATTCTACTATTTGAAGAAGCATTATAAATGAACAAAGCAATCATTTTCATATATCATGAAATTCCAATTTCACTAATTTAAATTGTTTGATTACATTCTTTTTTCCTCAAGACGAGATCTTACAGGAAATATGAATTAAAAAATGGGAACATTGTTCAAATATATGGACACATAGGTGGTATCGTCATTCGGCACCTATAGCTGCTTACTGAATACTCTCTCCTCAAAATAGTTCTACAGCCAACAAAATTTGGAGTGAACCATACTAATAAAATTTTAAAGTCAATAGTGGATGGCCCAACAACTAGAATTAGCATGGTCGATTCATGGTGATTTTTTCAAAATTTCAACCAAAAAAAAATTAAAATCCAAACCTGGATGTTGTGATTGATGAACAGGATGAGTTTGTGAATGTATTAATTGTGGTGGATAATTATGAGACTGGATTGACATAGGCGATTTCGATAAATTGGATTCTTCTTTGACATAGCTGGCCATGGGTTGTTCCTTCGAAAATATAATAACATGATATATTCTTGACTCATTTTACAGAATTTATTCTACTCGAGTTTATTGAATTTCTAAAAATAGTCATATTGATTGATAATCAGCAATTAACCATAAAATTACGCATTCTTCGGTGCAGATATGTTGAGACATGTATCTATTCACACTAGGAGTTAGGCACTTACAGTACTTGATTTAGGTACAAAATATACTATTGATCAAGAAATGAAATAAAAACGATGATTTTGAGTTTAACAATACCGATTTAACAGATGCTGGGTTTCCAGAAATAAGATATGGAGGATGTTGTTGATGAATCGAAGACGATGCTGTACGAGATGATTGTCCAGGACCACCTGCAGTGATATGTCTTGGGGGGGTAGCAGAAGAAGACTGAAAAATATCAAAATAGTGAGATTGTCAAATGAAATAGGCCAGAGTTTCCCAACTGGGAAAGAATTTGATTGTATTATAGGATGAAATTAATTTGTATTTGCGTGTAGTATAATTTCTACCTGTAAGTGATACGGTAAAATTTATTTATCCACACATTATATACTAATCAGACTGTACAGGCAGGGGCAAGAGTACAAATTGCACTTGTCACTAAATAATGATCGATTATTAAATATTGAAAATCATACAGAAACAACTTTATAAATACCGGAGATTGAGTGAAGAGTTTCAATATTGGAAGGGAGTAATGTATCAAAAAGTTTGGGAACTATTAAACTAGGCAAATACTACACATAGACTTGCAGACATGTAGACTTAGGCATACAGATAACATGATTTTAATTGGAAAAGTCTTAAGTATTTCTGGAACATAGATACATTTAAATCTATGGTTTAGATATGTTCAAATAACACATTTTCCATCTTTGTCAAAGCTGAATCAGTTAGAACATACTAAGATTTATAATGTGAAATGTGTCATAAAATAAATATGTAGAGATCAAGCATCAATTTTTGTTTATTACGCCAATCAGGGTTTCCCAAACTTTCTGTTCATTGGTACCTTTAGGACAATTCAAGATTCGCTTGTGTACGCCAATATGATACGGCGGGCCATGTTTGGACAAAATAAGTCATGCGAACTGCGAAAGTAGAGTTGTTAGTTACTGTAGTTGTAGTTACAGCCTTTACTTTGATGAAAATATGACCTCCTAAGGAGTTCTTGAATTCATGTCTTTAAATTATTAACATCAGGCGATAAAACAATATTTTAGGGCAAATAAGAAGTTATGGAAAGAATATCATTACACCTACCGGTAATATAATTTTCCCCATTGAAAAATCGAAATGTATACCTCAGGGATACATGTACATACCCCCAGTTTGAGAACCCCTAAGATGCTAAAATGACGTCACATAAGGGGAAGAAAATGATGAAGCTATTTAATTGAGCAAGATCACATGAAATCTACCTGGGATGGTACAGATCCTGGGATCAAAGCTTTTTGACTAGAATGTAATCCACCCATAGAGCTCAACATACTCATGTTGGGCCGTCCACTGTATAAACCAGGCCCTGATATGACATGAGAGGAAGGAACAGAACCTGTAAAAAAATCATAAAAATAAAGTTTAAAGCTGTTTAAAGCTACTGTATATGACTGTCCATCCATCTATGAATATCTATATCATATTTGCTTAATATAATTTATCAAGGACGACAAGAAAAAAAAGTTCAAGGAAGTCAGAAATCACAAGGAAATAATTTAAATTGATAATAACTATTCAACGAATAATTGCTGAAAATTTTGTATTTGCAAAAATTCACAATTGGTATAAATGATAAAACATCACAAATTTCCATTCCTTTAATAAATGGTTTTAAAATATTGAAACTCAGTTTAATTGCTTTTGAGTGTGAAAGTTTGAAATGCGATTGATAATTTACTATATCATCCATATATATTCCACTCCGCTATGTATAAAACTCAACTGTTTTGAATATTTTTTACAGTCACTCCACAAAGATCCAAAGTTTCAAAGGATCCTCGCATAGAATCTAACAATTGGAACAAACAATATCTTAACTACTCAATAACTAATTTTTCTTTCATGTCTCGCGTTATCCTGAAATACCATATACCATTTAGTTTATTTTTACATTCCGTAAGTGTGTATTTTCAAGATGATGAAATAATAAACTACTGATCGCCGATTCGAAATCACTCAATAATATATAAATGAAAGATAAAATTTGTAGAAACTGAAAATCTGCCAAACAAAAATTTTATTCAGATTATCGGTAGTTTAGGAACAAGAAATAATATTTTTCAGGACTTTAATATAAAAATTCATTATGGTATTTTATTAACAAATTTATTCTCTTTGGCATCAGAGAACCATCAATCTTGAAGCTGAGCTATCTACTATTAATAGTGAATGAATTTTTTGTTGGATATGTGTAGGGGTGGGCAAAATCGAATATTTTTTTCGAATCGAATAATTCGAATATTTTTAACGAATACCGAATAGTCGAATAACGAATATTTTTTATACAAAACAGGAGGTCCAGAACTTCGGTCGATACTCCCTTTGGAAATTAATAAAGACATTGGAAAATCGGCTACAAAGCGTTTTTTATGCTGATTTAATTTCCTGATGAAATGTTCTCGCATGCCGAGTGAAATGTTTACATTTTCGAAACATTACTTGGTCAAGAATGAAAGGGATCACTAAAGAATTATTTGAAAGTACATTAGAAGAACTACATCCTGTCATTTCTTTTCTGGTCATAGCTTGTTCGTTTATGGTTTCATGCGAAAGTAATTTCAACTTTTAATTTCCGTTAAACAAATTTGTGTTTGGTTCGTGCATGAAACGGATGATCACGTGCCGCCAATCATACGGAGTTTAAAATCTGGGATATTTATTTTAAATACCTCATCTGATTTGACGTTTCTAAATTTAGGGAACGGTGTCGGTACTTTTTTTTGCAAAATAGGGAATTGAAATGACCGACTGAAACGCGAAGAAAACAAATAACACCACAACGCAAGGATGATTTTTTCTAATTTGTCGCTTTTGTCTGTTAGCGAGCGTTGTAGGTGAATTCTCGCGCAATTCACGATCAGTTCAGAGATGTTCTGTGTCCAAGTGAAGCCGCGGAGCCGATATTCGAATAGTAAAATGCCATTCGAATAATTTAATATTCGATTCGCTATTTGTTATTCGAATATTTTGCCCAGCCCTAGATATTACCTGATCCTGTACCAGAATAAGACTGTGGCATCAATGATCCAACAGACGATTCCGCTCTGTCTCTTTCACCTCTTCCAGCTGCTCCAATATCCCAGAGTAATGACAATCTTTGACCCGAGGTTCTAAATAAAAACAGGTTGCCGTAGTAATGATATCAAGATATCTTTATGAATATAACAAGAGAGCATTGGTCAAATATAGGGATACGAAGGCCAAAATGATATAGTATGGTGTGCAATCTAACACGGTAGACTACTGCCACAAGGTGCGCAATTTCTAATTTCGATGACGTCATTGCACACAAAAAATTAATTCCACAGAGACCACAAAAATTGTTGAAATAAAGAAAAGTGATGGCCTTGCAGCAAAAAATACAATCTGTACCCTCTAAAAATTTGGAAAGCAATTGGTCTAATAGTTGATGGGGAAAGCGATTTTTTCATAATAACAAGAATAAGAAAAAGATAAAAAGATAACAACAACATATTAACAAAACATCCATATGTACTCTTTGTGTCGATATTTTTGTTTCCACAGATAAGCCTATATATATATATATATACGGTGGGTTTAGCAAATAAAATATCATAAACGAAAATTTATATGTGGACTACTGTTAATTAAAATTCTGTTCAGTGAACATACAAACTATACCTTCTCCTTTGTGGCATATGACCAGATGATACTCCAAGACTTGGTGTGCCTCCCAAATGGCCTCTATGTTGTTGTAAATCTTCTCCTGGTACATGGTGATGAGAATGATAATCACGAGAACCACGTGGACTAGAAGCGGAATTGTGTAAACCCAGAGATGAAAATGATGGATGCATTGTTGGTATTGACTGATGTTGTGTTAAATATGGAGAATGGCTTACTGAACCTGTTGTCGGCACACTTCCTCCATGCTGACCAGAATATCTATAAAAACAAAGCAATCATGAATGACTGAATCTGAATTTTTCCAATGCATTATTCAAGACAAAAAGCATACAATTTCTGTGTTTTATTCAAATGAAGAGCTCAAAAAAGATTACATGATTTCAAAATCTATAAGAGATAAAATTATGAAAATATCCATCCGAGAAAGAATTTTCGTTCCCACATAATTATGGCTAAATTTTTTCGTTTCGTCTATGTATTGCTTAAAGCAGAACTTCTGTATCACAATATATTTATATATAATGAATATACATTATTCCAATGTTAAGGTATTAAAATATATGTTACAATAAAAAGAAAAGTTGATGTTTATGGAAAAATCAATTTTTAAATACAGAACTACATCTCTATAATTATTATAATTTTTTTTATTATTATATTTCTATTATTATGATTTCATAATCAAAATTATCTGTCAAGAAAAATTAAACTTTGCATTAGAAAAATAAGAAGTACCCAGTTATTAATACACAGTCTACATTATATGGATAGATAAGATTACCTTGGCAATGAAGATCCAGGATCGCCATATGGTCCAGAAGGTTTCATTATGACAATCCCACTTTTTAAAAAAGTTTTCTCAACGAGGAAATGTAAAGCTCAGTATTACTAAATTACTACATTTTGTAAGTAAAGTATATGCCTGAAAAATATTACAGTCATAATTGAAGAGCAAAAACTCATTGACAATAGCTCTATATTTTTGGAAATCCTGTTGGTATCACATGAACTTGAGACATCAAAAAGTAAGGTCCACATTGCAACTTTTTACATTACTGCATCAAGTATGGTTGTAGCCCAGCATGTTCAGCATTGTATCGTGAAAATAATCTGGTCAAAAGAAACTGAAGAATTTACCCTATTCAAGACTACTATCAGACTATAGTCATGACAAGAAAATGTAACAAGATTCTGAGATTTGGAAAAAAAAAATCTTTACTAAGCAACATTAATGGTAAAAACAAAATTTGGACAATACAATGATAATATTTGAATGACTGGATGAGGCTCGTGATGCATTTGTACATGCTGTATCTGTGCACTGGTGTATGGAAGCATTCATATGAGTATTTACAGTAGTAATAGAAAAAATTCGAAATGAATTTAAAAGAAAAAAATTCACAAAAAATGCACGACCTTATACTAAAAATCAATATAATAAATGGAAATTGTTATGAGATCATGCAATCAGGTGAAGTTTTGAGCCAGGCACTACCACAAATCAACATACAGACATACCGGTAGGCTACAGACATCTGGACATAGGCATTATAGCACTAATGCATTAGGAGTGATTCAATTGCTGGTACATTAACCAAGACTATTAGGAGTGATTTGATTGCTGGTACATTAACCAAGACTGTATGCTGGTATGCGGGTTTGAGCATGGCTCAAATCTGCAAGTGCAGTTTTAAGTATTCTGTGGCATCTGCAGCTGCCGCAAAACCATGGCGGTATTTCATTACCATGGCCGCTACGGCCAAACTCATGGCAACTGACTTTTTAGCTGCCACAAACCAATGTCGAGCTGCCGTTACCGCGGCAGCAAATTGAAAACCAATGCAATGGCAGGTAAAATTTTGCTGCCGTAACCGCGGCAGGTGGGTCGTAAAGACAGGGCTGTCCATAATGGTGACAAATATTGGGTAAGTTGGAATGTTTTTCTTATGGATACAGTTTTGATTGATTTGGGGTTAGGGTTAGGGTTTAAGTAGATATAGTTCCACGTGATCAATTAAAAATCTGGTACACTAATTTGTGAATATACCGTTAATACTGATTACTGAATAGCGCTATAAACCATGGCAAGTGCTGCCGCAGTTCGTTCGTGGCAGGAGCTGCCATGAAGTGGTAAGAACTGCGCCTCCAAATCTGAGGGTTGAAAATGCGTTATTTAAACTAAAACAGATTTAATAAAAACTCTGTGATAAAAAAATTGCGTCTAGCACAGTGAATGCAGTAACTGCTTAAATAACACTATATAAAAATGTGATGTAAAATTTTTGTTGTTTTAAAGAAGTGTGTCTGGCGCAGAACAGCCTGGCAGCGAAATTAAATTATTGCAGTATTGACAGACAGCGTTTACTTAAAATCAAACCTACTATATTTTGAACTAAGCAGGAATGTCACATGCCAATTACAATTAGCCTAGCGTATTGTATACCGGTGGTGTTCCGCACAAGATTTTTTTTTTTTGTTTTTAAATATAAATTTGGACTATATTACCGGTACCGTCCCACATAACATTTTTGCATGGCAAGTTCTAATCAGTAACAGCATTTATTTTGGCGCCATACCGGTACCAGTATTTTGTTTGGATTCGTATCTTGGTTGGCGACATTTATGATTTAGGAAACTAGTGCTCTACAGTCAGACAGTGCAGTCGGATAGGATTGTATCATTTGTATGTATGTTTATTCGCCTCAAAAATGTAACCGTGTAATGTAACAGTGTAACTGTGTAAAATGTAATTCATATAGCCTACTTACCCCGACAGTATTGTAGAACCAAAACAAAAACTGAAGCAAGAATGCAAGATAGACCTAACCACTGACTGACTGAACCACGTCAATACCGGTATTTCCAACCGCACTTTGCAACGCCCCAATATCTTAACCCGAATTCACAACCCGCCCTGGTACGGTACTAGGCCCAACAAAGCTGCGAACAGCAAATCGACTACCGTACCGGTATTCCAGATATTCACATTGGTAAACAAACACTAAACAGTAGACACAAAACACCCACCCAAAGCATTACAGAGAATGTCTTATTATGCGAACTTCAAGGGATTATATTCACTTTGCTGGTATCAAACAAAATAGCCCACATGAGGGCGGAGCGTATTTGATCCCCACTTTGGTTACAAAATGTACTTCTGGGTGGTACTCAGGTCGGATACTCAACTTCGCTTCAATGGTCGTTTCTATTTTCGGGTTAACATTTCTCGTTTTTCAAGCTCCATAATGCCCTACTGTTCAGCTCCAAGCTGTGCGAGAAGAACAAATGACATTGTAGGGTTGTTGCGGAGACATTTTACAGCGTCAAATTGGCGCATCACTGTAAAATCTTCGAAAATATGACCAAAAATGGTTCTACGTCGTGTATGTGATTAAATTTAACGCATTAGATAATTTTTTATTCTTAATTGCGTTATATATGTAGATAGCATATAGTTTAAAATTAAAAATCCACCTTCGGCTTCATTCTAGCCCTAATAACAGCTGACTTATTCGATTCGGGCCATCAACGCGACGAAAATTTCCCATAAGACTCCATTGTTTAGCGTTTTCCAAATATGGCACAAGCGTTCATGAACTAGTTTAACATTAGGCGAGTTGGATGCAGGTCGTTGGTCCATACCACGGTAGTCACTTTGGTCCAAATTAGGGATGTCCATATCCGAATACTAAACTATTCTAGAATACAACTGAATAAAAGTTTCGAATATCGTTCAAACTAAATTAATAGAACCAATGCAAAGCTGCACCAGTGGCCAAATCACTTTATTTTCCATCATAGTTGAGTAGAAGAAAACAAGACATGATACAAAGTCTGTCTAATTGAGCTTATTCACATTGCTGTTAGTAATCATTATCACCCTGCAAATAACTTATTTTTAATAGTTTCATAAAAACAAAACCCTTACAAAAATGTGAGAATATCTCCCGACCCCTTTTAAAATTTTCGGGAGATCGAAAAAGCCGCTAATGAACTTGGGACATTTTACAGGCCAATTTTGTCTGCATCGCTGATTGTTTTCTTTGGCGTGAATTGTTTATTTGGGGAGTGAACATCATTATTACTTATCGAACTTGTTACTTATCGATCTTGATCGGTAAGTATGTTGATAGTAATTTCTCTCTTTGTTTGTCTGTCTGTTAGACGTATATATTTACGGTTAGACACTTTCGTATGTTACGCGATATCTCACGAAAGCAACGTTGAATCTGCTCCTAATTTTGCATGTACATTCATCATATCATATCCACCAGAAGCCTATTGATTTTGGATGAATTATGTCGTATATTTAGCTCGGTAATAATTAAATAGTGATGGTACAAGCGGTGTCGCTATTGAGTCAGAGCAGAGAATACACGCCGCTAGATCGATAAGCCGGCGGTCTCTGATCGCTATCTCGTTTTTCCAGTTAAGAATGGATGAGAAAGTAGATCGCCATTATTCATGTTCCAACTTCAGTGACTATGATATAGTTTCCAATGGATATAAATCATAATGTGAGCCGTAGACGTGAAATTTCGGCAATTTACAGCATCAAATAGCGTTTTATGTTTTCTGTCGCGTGCTCATAAATCAAAGTTTATGTGGCCCACAGCTTCATTATCTGTGGCCCGCTTCGCATTCGGAGAGAAATCAAAAAATCGCATTTAATGTTGTTTCATCGTAAAATTAACCAGAAAAATCCTTTGACATATTGTAATATCACCAACGCCACTGAATTGACTAGTGTTATGGCTAGCTGAGGCAACTAGTGCGTCTCGAGCATCGACATCGTATCTTCGCAGAGCGATTGTTTGTTCGGCGAGTTGAGACTCATGCGACCGTCGGCTCACATTCATGAATATATAAGTGTTACTGTCATGTCTTAAGGTTTTAATATGTTTAAAAATACGCGTTCAACATCAAAAATATTGAAAAAAGGCCAACAAAGGCGCATTTATTTCGTCGTCGTATTTATGTGGGCCCGGGTTTTCAATATTGAAAACTACAAAAACGATATATCGAAGTAGGCTGGATGTAAGAAACACGTTACGTGTATCACTGTCGACCGTATCTCAAAATTGGAAACAGTTAATGGCCAGTAAACAAATGAAGATTTCGCATTAAATAGCATAACCTATGTTTTTGAATAAACTGGCAACATATATTTTTCAACGCGTGTAATTTATTACATAGGCTTTGGCTCATTTGTATAAAAGTGGACCGTCAGCATGACGTTATTATTTAATTCGTAAACGCTTTTACGTTAGTGTTTTTTTCCCTAAATCACAAATTTCTCACAAATTTATGCCACGATAACCATGATTATTACTTTATTTTTGTATTCGCACAGAACTATGAATCCGGTGAGAGTTATTATACATTCATCAGCGGCGAGATGCTGAAGACAACTAAGGAGCGAATCCTCCACGCATTTCTCGACGAACTTCTTCGATGGAAAAGTGGCAATATAAAATACTAAAAATAAAACGGTAAACAATATGAGTTTTGTTCTAGGAGGCTCGGGACAGATTAAAAACGCTTCTCTAGGCATTGGGGATCGCAAAATTTCGCACACATTATCTTTGGTCACTAAAATCGAAACAGACCATTGTGCGTTGGATTTATCTTTTTATCCATCAGCTTTAATTAAATTGCCGTCTAACAGTTTCGTGTTAACATTATACAAGGTTGGAAAAGCAACTTTTTCCGGGTTGTGATGATATATAAGATAATTAATCTGAAGTATATTCAATCAAATTTCATTGCACTAACATTTATTTTACTTCGTCAGATTGTATACCAAATTTACCGATTGTTACAAACGGTTTATCTTTAAAATAATCGGAGTGGCAGGCTGACAGCATTACGTTAGAGCGGAGTCAGTGTTGCAGTTACAGCGCTAACATAAATTTTACTTCGTGAGATTTTATA